ATTGGCAGAATTATAACCTTGATAATTATCTTGAAGGAAATATTTTTCACCCAAACAAGCAAACAACCACTCAAAACAAGGTAAAGATTTTATAGTCTAAAAGGGTCATAAAAAAATAAAAATCAATATAACAACTTCTACAGAGAGATAAAAGTTAGTAAACTCGCTAATCAAGCTAATATTTATTAAAAATGGATTATGAATTTGAATTAATTATTTATCTATTCATTGGGTAAAAAGAGTATCTCTTTCCAGTCTTCACTTCAAGACCTTCTGGCATGAATAATGGGACAACTGAGAAACGATATTTTTTTGTGGACACCTCGATTAAAATTGTTGTAAATTGACAAGAAATTCAAATTAGCAACCGTTTCAATTGAAATGTCAGTAAAGCTAACATTTCTCAATTGTTTCATTATTCCTGACAGAAAGCGAAAAATAAGGACACAACAAGCCTGCATTGTAGCACAGCTTCAGGTTGGCCAAATACCAATAGCACAATAAACATTACAGAAATACCAACATCACTGCACACTGCTTAAGTTTCCCACACCACTCTTTAACTGCCAAGTTCCACGCAAGAGTGTAATCCTGGACCTCTCATCGCTAGTGACAATTCACGTTTAAAAAATTCTTCCCTTCTTGTCGAGGAGAACAAGTCAAAAATAATGAAGAAGTTCAGGAGCTTATGAACAAAAAATATCAACTTACAAATCGGTATCAAAAGCATGTAATCGCGTAGGACACTATATTCAGAAATAGTGAAAGTATGGTTTGTGTATAATATTAATCAATAAATGTATAAAAAATAGTCACTGTTTATGTAATCTCGTATTTATAATGCTTAACTATCATTGACACCTCGTGGCCTTGGTTTGAAAAGGTTCTAACTGCATTCACTATAAATTTGAGAAACGGTGCTTTAATGTTACAATTTACTCTGGTATGAATATTTTGTAAATTAGACTAACAATTTTTTTTGTGTAAAATACCTTGAAGCTGTGAATTTACTTTTGCATTCATCAATGACTTAATCCTTCCACTTATTAATATAATTTTTAATATTGAAATTTCACAGTTAAAACTTTCTCATTCCAGAATGCATCTTCTAAGTGCAGATAGCAGCACTCTAAAATATGAAATTTTACTTTTCATAGAGAATTGAAAAGCCTAATTAAACAAAAATATTTCGTACTTTTGAAGTTAAATGAAATAAATGTTATTTATTTCAGAAGCAATACTCTACTTTTAAATTATTACCCATGTAGTTATAATTTAAGAAAAAATAAAGAAATATATTTTTTTTATTTAAAAAAATCAGAGTAAAAAAAAATTCTGATTGTCTAATATATTGCTAAAACCAACATAAATAATCTAAAATTTGTTTGTTTGCAGATTTTTTATCTTATATCATTTTAGCATAATAAAGTTTTTTTTTACAATTTTTCTTTTTAAATCTTTTAAAACCAAGGCCACGACCTGATAAATTTAAATAAATAAAGATGATTTAAAATTACCACATTTAACCTAACAGGCTTATAGTAAATTAAACTTAAGTACAATAAAATTTTTACCTGTTGCCGAATTTCATTGGAACCACAAATTACTATTCTAATGTTAAACAGCATACAAGTATTTGTAATTTTACAATTATCTAAGTAAAAATGGATCACCCAGATGCTTAAAGGGAGTCGCTGAACTTATGTTGAAGGAAGAAGGCCTTCCCTTATTTATTATAACCTCCTGGCCTAAGCTCCACCCATAAGTGTTTTTTAAAAAATTGTTTGCCTATAATCTTAAAATATTTAACTTATAGAGTCCCTGGTACAGACCATTTTTTTCAAATTATTCACATCCGCCTGAAACTTAGTAAATAGCTTCATCTCGTCGTAACCTACAACTATTTTATTTACGAAAACTCTTGGAATTAGGGTGTTTTGCATCTGGAAGTCGGTGAACTTTATCTATTTAATTAGGTACTAAAAACTTGCAAATACACATTTGCTTTCTACTTGGATTGTAAGATGATTCGATCACAAAATCGATGAAAAAAGTGGCCTTAAAAAATATTGAACTGTTTGGCATGACTTGCATCCCCAAAATATCAAAATAATGAGATTTTATAGGACGAACGGTCCAATATAATTGTAGGGTACTTTTTTCTTAATCAAATTATCTTACGATCCAAGTGAAAAGAAAATGTGTATTTACAAGTTTTTAGTACCTAATTAAATAGACAAAGTTTGCTGACCATCAGATTGAAAACGCCCCATTTTCAAGAGCTTTCATAAATAAAATATTTGTAGGTAGGTGTAAGTCGAAGTAGGCAGGAGTAAGTCAGAGGGGAACTTGAAATTGTTTTCGATCCTAGCGTATTAAGGGTTCTACTTCATCGTTCTATTTAGAATGATCATCAGAGGACGCCTTTAGAAGTAAGCCAACGATATACAGTTCGGAGTGATTACAATATTTCGAAACAAAATAATTGGCTTGAAGAAAGAAGGCAACTAAACAACACAGAATGGCATCACATTCACTTAGTAATGTTATAAATTAATGAATAGAGTTGTGAAATGAATAAAGTTATTGGAATGGACATAGATCAAATAACTTATGAGTAATGAAGGCTTAAAAGACTGAAGTATCTATAACCACAAAGCATGGTGACCACTTGGACCGCTATAACCTTCCTAGAAATGTTCATATAACTAAATAAGTAGAAAGTTTTCCTAGAATTTGGAATATACAGGATGGTCTCAATAATCCAAACCCATAAGTAATCCGAACAAGAAAAAAAAGTTTAAAGTTGGCTGACGAGGACTGCTTCATGTGGTAGTATCGAATAGAGTATTTTGGTGTCTCTAAATGGAAAACATTAAAACAAGGCAGTCATCCAGAAACTGAGGAATCCTTAATGTGGGTTTTACAGGGAAGATCACAAGTGTGTTCAAATGTATGTATAGCTGAAAGTCGAAATTTGCCTTTTATATTTTTTAAGAATGAAAGAGCAGATTTTAATGCCAGTAAAGATTGGCTTGATGATTTCAAAAGCAGGTATAAAATACGTTTATGATATTAACTTTTATTTTATTGGAAAATTTATTTACACCCATTTTATTTTATATTATAGATAAGTTATAGAAAGGCCATAAATGCATTTAATACTTACTTGGAGTGGGCGAATGGATACAATGTCGACCATCGAAGCCTGGTAATTTTAAGGAATTTGCGTGATCAGGCATTTTCTTTAGCGTACATTATATGATAATTTTCAGAATTAATGTTGTTTTCAATGTGTTTATGTTTAACTGATAATATATATATTTTTGTTAAATTGTGCAATTTTCCATAATCTTTAATTTAATCTGAACAGGCCATGAAATTTACGTTTAGATTATTAAGACTGTCCTGTACTAGAAATTATGTGTTTTGTAAGAAAGGAAGACATCGATGGTTAACAACTGACTATGGATAAAAAGTTAGTGGGTAAACAAATTTGTTAAAAGCTTCATAGAGCTTTTCCTAGCCACCTAGGAATGTTAAATCGACATAACCAACCTCGACTTCTATCCCTACTTAGTTTAGTTCAGAAAGGACAAGCAGGATAGCACATGAATTCACTACTTGTTCAATTATATTTAATTTTTAAAAAAATTGGGGCGGTTCGTCCAAATGGACACGCTGCTGAAGTGAATCCTCTGCCATACAAATAATATATTTTATATTTTTTTGTAGGGAAGTATTTGAGAAGAGTAGGAGGCAGAGAACACATGCAAACGACCAATGATGGGTCAAACCTTCTGCTTCACAAAACCTATTTATTTATTATTTGTAACTAATATAAATTAAAAATAATAAGTAAATTTTGATGACCCGGGAAGGCTGTTTAAAAAATAACAAATTGGTTATCATAGGGCATCTTGAGAAATATAAATATTAGGTAAACATCTGCCGATAGGAATTAGGACATAATAAAAATAATTTTCACAAAGAAACAGGAACCGACCTAGTCGGTACAAATTAAAACTGAATCAATTTATTTTTAATATGATTTTTTAGTAATATATCAACAAATTTATACTTTTGAAATCAAGTAAGGAAAAAAATATGGAACTTACTATATAAAACCATAAGTGAATGGTCTGTCATAAAAATGAGATTTAAAAAAAATCAACAATAAAATAAATTTAAAAAAATTTAAAAACCTGCTAGTATAGGAATTTTAATCCTGGAGAAACAAGAGTCTAAAAACAGACTTAAATAGCTTTTTTCAAACTAAAAACTCTTAAAAGTATAATTAACAAACTGGAAGTAAAACGGGATACATTTTAAGTCTTAACCATTAAAGTTTACAATCTAAAGTCACCAGAAATTTGAGTTTCATGTCGTTTTCTTTGAACAAAATTTAATTATTCTTGACATTTATTGATTCATTTATGTTACAAAGTTTCAATAGTACGGCCGTTATCAGAACATATAATAAAATCATGAATTATATCCCCTATAATGTATTGTTTTAATTTCAAGTGTGCAGTATTACTAACTATAATAACTTTTATTATAAAAGTAAGATGAAAAGTTAAAACACCCTGCACTAGATATTTTAATGGATCCGCTATAAATGTAATAAATAACTAATATTAAGCAGGTAAAATTATGCACCAATATTTTAATCTAAAATATATTCACTTCCACAGAAATATTGCTTAACCCACACAAAGATGAATATTAAATCAAATACCTGTTATTAATATTTATCAAATTTAATAACAGGTATCTTCAAGTTATGTAATGGTTTCATTCATTGCAGTTCGTCTATAAAATTTCTTAGATTTTAGCCTTTTCTCCACATTCTTTATCATATCAATAATACTGAGGACAATCTTATTTCTGATGACCTCAATTGTAACGAAACCGACAAACGATAAAAGAAAAAAAAAGAAAGAGCTGTTAAGCCCCACAACTAGTCGAATAATAATTACATCTTTAAAAATCTAAATTTAGTGCCTTGAATAGAAGAGTAGGTACGGTGTTAAGGCTGAACCCTTAGCTTGCTTTCCGGCCAATATTTCTTCAAGCTGTCGGCGCGAGATCACTCTAACCGTTTCATCGTCACACTCAAGCCAGGTCTCGTCGTTAACCTCTTCTCGCATTCTCACTCCACAGCAGTCGGATCCTCTACATGAAGACCTGTAAAAAAAAAAAATAATTTTTTCAACATTTACACTTTTCCGCAGGGTAAATAAGCCTTTCTTCTTCCTCTTAAAAAAATAAATTTATGTAACTGTGAAAGATCAAAATCAGTTGTGACAAATACTAAAAATCATTGAAAGACCGGATGTTTACTATAGTCCTTAGTACAGACCCTTTTTTATAAAATTATGATTGCATAAATTACATCCATTTAAAACTTTGTGAATGGCTTCAGCATAACCTACAACTTTTGATCTAAGAAAATTCTCAGAAATGGGATGGTTCCTCATTAAATTTACTTTCCACTTGAAATGAAAGATAATTTGATCACAAAATCGTGCCAAGAGGGGGAGGTGACCTACAAAAATATTGGGCCATCTGGCCTGTAGAATCTTGTTTTTGTTATTTGGACATGCTGGGGAATGAAGTCACGCTAAAATGCCCAATATTTTTTAAGGCTATCTTTTTTATCGATTTTGCGATCAAATTATCTTATGGATTCAAGCAGTTTACTGATCTCCAGATTGAAAAGGTCCTATTTCCGAGATTTTTCATAAAAAAAAAAAGAAAAAAAGTATGATACAATAACATGAAGCCAAGGATACGATAAAAGGGGTCTAGACTTCAATGGCCTCTTTATCAGATCGATAATGATACCCTCACAACTTCTCTTGTAATGGACCAAAAAGATGAAAATCGCTTAGAGCCTAATCTGGACTATATGGTGGATGGTACAACAGCAGAAAATCGAGATTTTGAAGACAGAGGACTGTTTTTGGAAGTATGAGGACGAGCATCATCTTACATAAAATTACACATTTTGAAAGTCTTTTGGAATTGATTTTTGACTTTAATTAATGCAGTAGCCCAAAATAGCTGTCACTATTTATTGTTTGATCTTTAGGTCTGATGTCAATAAATAGACCTTCCATATCCCTTGAAGTGGAAAGCATACCAGCCGCTGTATATCACACAGAGAAATTGTACCATTTTTAAAGCAATCAATCCATTTGTAAATCTTCCACTCAAACGACTATCTCCATGTTGCTGCTGCATTCGATAAATAATCTCTGCTGGTTTTACACCTTCTGAATTGAGAAAAAGTATCACTTCTAGCATTTCTTCCTTGATGCAATCAGGCAAAGGAGAACTCATTTTGAACAAACAGTTGATAGAGATTATAAATTATAGCAGAAAAATCAGTGCTACCACACATAATTCCAAGGGAAATCCAAATTTCCCTTTACTTTTTGACTTGCCCTCATATTTCATACTTCCAATGAAACGGTGAATACCAACTATCACCGCAGAATGTCAACATTCATATTATTTCTATCTTTCACAGTCTTTAGAATTTAATATTGGGTTGGCAAATAAGTACTTTTGGTTTTTCTGTTTATTTTTATGTCACTATGATACACTTCATATCTGATGAATTAATCCCTAAGATGGATTGTTTGTCCTGTTTGTAATATGTCAACCACTATATCTCTGAGCGCACCTGTCAAAATTGGTTGGCCAAATTTCATTCAGGGAATTTTGACATCAATGATACTCAGTGGTCTGGTCGCCCACATGAAACTGAAACGAGCAATGTTAAGGCCATTGTTGATCAAAATCCCGCCCATTCAGTGCGAGAGATTACTATGGCCCTAAATGTGTCGCACACAAGCATAGAAAACCATTTACACAAGCTCGGCTATGTTTCCAGGCTTAATGTTTGTGTCCCTAACTCTCTAAGCAAAGTCAACTTGGCAACACACATTTCTGTTTGTGATTCACTATGGAAACGGCAACAAAACTACCCATTTTTGAAAATGTTGATAACAGGATATGAAAAATGGATATTTTACGATAATGTAGTCCATAGAAAATCATGGGGATCTAGTAGTGAGGCTCCTAGAAGAATGTCAAAACCCGGATTGCATCCAAAGAAGATAATGCTTTCCATATGGTGGGATTTCAAGGGTGCTATTTTCTATAAGCTATTGCCATCAGGACAAACAATTGATTTAATTCTATACTCCTCAAAATTAACAAAATTGGAGCAATCAATTAAAAAAAAAAAAAAACGCCCAGAACTGGCAGATCTGAAGGGTATTGTGTTCCGCCAAGACAACGCTAGGCCCCCCTCCCCAGACGTCATTGGTCACACGAAATAAATTATTGAGTGTTGGATGGGGACTTTTGCCGAATCCTCCCTATTCACCAGACCTAGCTCCAAGTGACTACCACTTATTCCGGTCTCTGCAGAACTCCATGAATGGAAAGAAATTCCAAAAGGAAGAGGACATCAAAAACCACTTGGATCAGTTTTTTAACAATAAACTCCAGACATTCTAGTAAAATGGCAATGTGCAGTTAGTGGAAAGATGGGAAAAAGTCATATTAAATAATGGTCAATATATTGTAGATTAAAATAAATTTTATGTCTATAATGTATTGAGTTTTATTTCACCCTGAAAACCGAAAGGACTTATTTGCCAATCCAACACAGTTTTAAGAAAAAAATTATAATAATCTCGACATAAACAAAAACACAAAAAAAGGTATTAAATGATTTTTAAAAAAGATGGAACATATTTGTTATTTTATTTAAAAAAAAAAAAAATTAATAAATTTTGTACTGATGTAAATTCTAACCTTCCTACAAACCTGAAGTACTGTCCCCTACTCTCAGTAATTGAACCATTCTTTGGAGTTCTGAAAAACCACTTTTTTTTCGCAGTTGCAGAAGAACTCTTGTCAGGAGCTGCACTTGATAATGAAGCTGTTTTCCTTCTCTCTCTAGAAGAATTATAACAATTTTAAGATAAATTTTAATTATTCAGTGAGTCATGAAATCAACGACACGCACCAAAATTTTACTTATAACTAAAAATTACCTTTTATTCGTGGCACATCATTTCCAAAACTTTTCAAAAACCATTTTAAAAAACTTACCTATCACTCACTTCATTCAAGAAACATCACTAATGTTTAACCACATTTCAGAAAATTATTTCGATTTGACCCATATATGATCAGTGCTCCACATATATGGTTTTTAATGAAAAATAGCCAAATAAACATGAAATTTTTTTATCTTTCGTTACTAGCAACATTACCTCTACTTCCGTTACCTACTTACATTAATTATTCTATATTTTTATAAATTAGTAACAAAATAACCAAGAGACAGGTTATTATAAATGTTAGATTATTATTGGAAAAATTCCAAACCATACTTATTATCTCCTAAATGCAGGCAAAGAAAAAAATCTGTCAACGTTTTGCCAATTCGAGCATCATCCGGACAGAAAAGAACAGCTAATCGAACATCACTCCATGAAATTCAATCGCATACTCTTTTTTCTTTGACTTTAACCATAGGTAATGTAAACACTGAGCCCATACTTTACATATATTTTTTTCCCCATAATATAATAATAATAGTTTTCAGATGAAAATCGGTGAAAAGTGCTAAGAAGAATGTTATCTCCATTAAAAGAAAGAAAAATAACTATTGATAAACTATTTAATAGTTTAATGATAATTTAATAAAGTATTCCTGTCACTGTCTGAAATTAAGAAACTTATTATTTCCTAAAGAGATATATAAATATTTTTCTTATCATTATTATAATTTATAAATGAGAACATATTTATACAATAGAGTTAAACTGTTAATTGGTCAACTCCTTGATGGAATGAGTCTTGTACTTTAGAGCAATAAAATTTATTATAATATATTATGAATAGCAACAAACAAATTTGCTAATTTAGTAAATACGATTGTAGGGCAAGTTCCTAAACTCAAGGCTGAGTTCATTGATAGGGATTAAATCCATCAGATCTTTTCTAACTCATCGATGAATTCATAAATGAGATTTAATGTGTCCCATTACTCAATGATTAAATCAGCAATAGCTCGGCGGTTCCATCGGCTTTTGGGGTCGATGGATCAATTGGATGTGACCTCGTAATGACATCATTGTTATTATTCCTAAATTTGATTTACACATTGATTGATATTCATAAATAGGCTAAATAGTGGTAAAAATTATTTTATTGAAAGCCGACATTTCGACCCAACTTTGCAGGTTTTCTTCAGAACTAGAACGGACAAGATGCAAAAAGATAGAGAATTGTGGCAGCTACATAATATTTAGACAAAAAATTATAAACAATGTGAATAAGCATATTAAAATTATAAACAGTAAGTAAATTAAAATATAAACAGAGTAAGCTAAGTAACAAGATCATAAACTGAAGTAAATAGACCATCTATCTATTTATTTAGTTGTTACCATCTATTTACTTCAGTTTATGATCTTGTTACTTAGCTTACTTTGTTCATATTCTATTATACTTATTGTTTATAATTTTAATAAGCTTATTCACATTGTTTATAAATTATGTCTAAATATTACTGCCACATTTCTCTATCTTTTTGTATCTTGTCCGTTCTAGCCCTGAAGAAGATCTGCAAAGTCGCGTCGAAACGTTGGCTTTCAATAAAATAGTTTTTACCACTATTTAGCCTATTTATGACCCCAACCCTGGACCATCTCCTTCCTTTATAATGCAACGGTCAACAATTAAATATTCAGTTTACTTTTAATTTTTTTAAAATTAACGTGTTAGCTACGGTTTGAGAAAGATCCTAGGAAATAAGGAGACAAATAAGAAAACATGAAAGTCACTAGTTTCTGTGAGGATTTTGCTGGTATTCCCAAACTGTTTGCTGAATTTCAACCAGTATCATAACCAGTTAGCAACTTAATACTTCACTTTCATTTCTCCTTTTCTTAAAACAAATTCCAATGTAATAGTGAATACTCAATTACCTATATTTTTCTTGCAATGTCACAATATGGTACTTATTATGTAGCTTAAATTTCTTATATTCCATCTAATAATTATAATAATTATATTTAATAAAGAACCTTTTTCTCATTTTATTTTTAATATTTAAGATTTACATCCCTAAAAATAACTTTTTTAATGAAATAAAGAGATATAATAAATAAATGGCACCAGACGTCGGAGTCTACTCCTATGTCGCTGGACATTAATGAGGATACAATTAGCAGATAGAGACACTGAATAAGGAATTTAGATAAACTTTGTTGTCAAAAGATAGTGGTATACCTCGAGACTGATGTATGACTGATGACATTAGGAACTTCAGAACTAGTGACGGTCGCCGGGGATCGATTTTGATTTTGAGATATCAAGCTTAGCAGCTAACGTGTTAATATGGTGCTCGTTTGGAAAGGTATTGAAGTTAAGTAGAGGGGAAAATAAAAGCTTTCCCTTGACAGTAACCAACCAGATTAAGTTCTACAAAGTTCTTCTTTAAGCTGTTTATTTATCCTTTCTGGGTTTCATTTTAGTAAAGATCAACATTCCATTATGAGGTCTATGTAAAATATAATTATCATTTTTATTGTTAATTAATAACTATAAAATTTCATTAATTGGAGATACCTGTTACAGGATTCATAATCCGTTGAAAAATCTCGTGGTTTGACATAGGCAACGTAATGACCTGAAGCCATGGTAGCCCCGAGGTGCATGATAACAGAGTAAAGACTATATTCATGTTCTGGGCTGGGGCTGCCGAGCTTTTCACATCCTTCACAAAAGCATCCGAGCCTCAAAGGAGTTGGCATATGCTCATTAACTTTGCTCACTACAGACCTAAAAAGAAACAATAAAATAATTATTATTTATGTGAATTCAATATAATAATAATAATAATCAAAGGCTTAGCGAACCCGAAGGTTCAATGCCGACATCACCAATAGCTTATTGCACACCTCCCTCCACCGTTTGCCGTCAAACCCACCAAACCCAGTCCCTTCAGATCGGCTTTAATGCAATCTTCCCACCTTCGCTTTGGTCTACCTCTCGGACGTTTACCATTCGGTATACAGCCAATATTAATAAGCTTTAGCCAATAAGCTTTTAGGAATTCCTTCGTTACTAAACCCAACAATTTTACAAGCCCATTTGATTCGCTGCTTTTGAAATTACATTAATTATATTACCCGGATACAGTTCACGCAATTCGGCGTTAACCGTCTGAACTCTCTGGTTAATTCATCCTTCTTCGGTCCGAATTTTCTACGCAATACTTTATTTTCGAAAATCTTAAGACACTGCTCATCCCTTAATGTAATCGGCCAAGTTTCGCATCCATAAAGAACTGTAGGTAAGATAATGGTTTTATAGATTCTAATTTTTAAGTTCCGGGACAAGAAGCACGAACTAAGTAGTTTTGTGACAGAAAAATAACAAGCATTTCCGGCAATCAGTCTAACCTTAATCTCTTCTTCAATTTCGTTTTTTCTAGTTATCGTAGAATCTAGATTTTTCTACTTGTTCAAACATATTACCATCTATATCGTGTGAATTTAACATATAATAGAAATTTTTTAATTAATTCAAAAGCAGCCAGTCTCTGGTTCGTAGTCAGTTAGTGCAAGTATTTTAGTTTAGAAGAAGGTTCTTCGTGAAGAAAATTAGTAATGAACATTTATCAGTGCTTATCTAATGTTAAGGTAATATTGTGAAATGATTAGGTGTATCAAACCAATGTACAGTGTCAATTATCAATAACAATAATTAATTTATTGATTAATAATAATTTATTTATTAATTGTAGGGAATTTAGTCACTAATAATCAATTAATAATTATAGGCACAATCTACGAAATGTTTTCCGTTTCGAGCTCTGAATAATACACATATTCTGTACACATTGCATTGTCATATATAGATAGATAGATAGAAAAAAAAACTTTATTCTGGGACTAAGTCCCTTCAGAATAACAATAATGTACAAAATAATAGAATATTACTGGCCTGAATGTTGAAACAATAAATAAAATTGATAAAATAAAATAAAAAGTAAAGAAAACCTTAGGTGCACAAGCTATATACAATACAGATAAAACTATGTACAGAGCATTTAAAATTATGAACAAAACAATTAAAACAATGAACGAATCACTTGAACTATGAACAAAATTATATTTAAGGGTTGAACAACATAAACATACACTTTGAGAAATGAAGAACGAAAAAGAGATACAATGAGTTCATTTCATAAAAAACAAAACAAAAAAAAACAAAAACTTTACTTGAATATATATATAAAAATAAACAGTTACTTATAATTGAATGAAAAAAATAAAAAAAAATGTATGTATTGAAATTCCTACGTCGATAGTAGGAAATGCATGTACTATCTCTTACCAAGTGTTATGATTATATGATTGCTACACAATACATATATAATATTAATCGTTAGCTGGTATCAGACTGTTTTTGGAACAGGAATTGGAATAGGAGGTTTATATCATATACAGTGTACTAATTCAAGATCAATTTGATCATGGTGTTGTGAATCCATTGGTGATGACATCTTATTAATATATAATCATTAATATAATTAACCATTATATTAAAATTAATATACTTAAAGAAAAATGAGTACAATGTAACTTACCCATAACCAGAAGAGAACCTTTTAATTTGCAAAGTTAACAGTTTGGGCAATGACTCAAATTTAACGCATCGCCTAGCTTCATTGTAACGAAGACATCTTTCACACCAGTATTTGTTACTGTCATGTAAATACTCCTCTGTCACGAGAGCAGATTGGTACAGCTGGTTAACGTTAAGGCCATCATCTGTTTAAACAAGAATTAGAAATCATTTTTAAAATATTTCAAATTATATAACATGAATTAATACACTTCTGAATAAAAATTAAATATACTACAAAAATCATTTAATTTGTATTGTTTTCATTTGAAATGTAAAGCTTTAATTATTTTGCATTAACTAACTGAACTGGCTATTAAAAACACAACCTAATATATTTTTAAAAATCTTAAAATAGAGATTTCTAAGAGTTTAGTTGGTTTAAATAGTTAAAATAAAATTCCCAAATTTTCCCCATTTAATGACAATTTTCCCTGACCAATATGCCTGGGGAACATAAATATTAAAATTGAATATTTAATAGTTGACCGTTGCATTATAAAGGAAGGAGACGGTCTGGAGTGGCGGTCATAAATACTTCTATGTACTTTTACTTTTTGTATTTTACTTCTTCCATTTTTGTTTTTATTCACATTGTACTCTTATCTATAATCTCTTAATTCTATTTTATATGTATACGTATATATTTATAATTTAATATTTCATAGATATAGTATTTTTCCCTTGCATCCACCCATATCTTTAAATTTTAGAAACTGTAATTTTCTAGGTTTTTCCCATTACCCAAACAAGTCAGCAAATTCTCCAATACCTGCCCTAATCCTGATTTACCAGCTCTAAGTGAAACTCCTAGCTGAACACATCTGTAAGTTTCTATTTTTATTCTTCTAATTTTATTTACTTATTTATTTATTGTTTTTTTTTTCTTTTCTTTCTCCAGATTCCTTTATGTCTATTATTTCATATTATATCCTTTTTCTTTTTCTTTCAATCTCTCCTGTAGATCTGTAGAAGTATAATCATATTTGCATATATTATATATTACGCTACAACAATTGTTACCATCTATTTACTTCAGTTTAGGATCTTGTTACTTAGCTTACTCTGTTTATATTTTAATGCACTAACTGTTTATAATTTTAATAAGCTTATTCACATTGTTTATAATTTTTTGTCATAATATTATGTAACTTCCACAATTCTCTATCTTTTTGTATCTCGTCCGTTCTAGCCCTTAAGAAGACCTGCAAAGTCGGGTTGAAACGTTGGCTTTTAATAAAATAGATTTGCCAATATTCAGCCTATTTATGACCGTCACCACGGACCATCTTCCATTATAAATATTAAAAATGTGTAATTTATAACTAAATTTATTTATCATACATGAAAGAAAATTGATGATAAAATGATTTGAGTAAAAAAAAAATCAGTCTTTTAAATAACAAATATAATGCTTTAGAGAGATTATTTTTTAAGCTTGATTAGGATTATTTATTTTAGAAGACTAAACATTTAGTAATTTATTTTTATCGCTTTTATTTTATTTTCATATACTGAGAGGAAGTAAAAGTTGATGTTTGACATTTTCTCTATTATAAAATAAAGTGAGCTACAGGGATTGTAATATTAATGTAGTTTCTCATTAGTAATTTAGTTTCTTTATTACTAGAAACAGCATAATAATTATCCATATAACACCAACTATGCAATTTTTGGTTAAGAAATACTCTCTTAAGGAGCACCACGGGTCGAACGAACGCGTGCTTGCCAGCCAGATCTTGATCCAGTTGTGTATATTACAAATAGTAAATAGTATTGATGTTTTTACTTAAAAAAAAAAATACTGTTTTAAGTACATTATTTTTGAATTCCATTCATTACCCTATTTGACATCAATATAACGACCAGTGACGTTATTGACAGTCAAAGGTGGATGAACATAACGATCGTGGTCGTTTATATACAATGAAGTTTGTTCCTTCAAGGTCGTCTGCCCCATAAACGATATCCATTGTATATTTATTTCCAATTAAAAAAAAAAAAAAAAAGATGTACTAAAAAAAGTTCCCTGACTTTAACAATGTTTCCCTTCTTACTTACCCCTGTTTTAAAAATTCTCAGACTTTTCCTATTTTTGCAGATCGGTCGCCACCCCGAAATATCAAGAATTTCTGATAAGAATTTTTCTTTCTCACATATTTAACATGTAGATGTTTATCATGAAGTGTCTGTCGCTCTTATTTTAAGAACTCGAAATATTCTGAATTTGAAATATTTTAATTAGAGATCAATTGAACCTATTACCAGCTGTTATACTCGCCTTGAACCCTTCTCCAAAATTATTTTTAAAAATTGCTACCACTACAACCCATGGAGGGTCTTGGGTTCCGTGGTTTGTAAAGAAGTACTGTATTTTTGGTCAGAGGTTGATCAAGAAAGGTGATTTGACCTGCTCAACTGCCGGGTCCCCCCCTCATTAATTAATTATTCAAGAGTAATCTAAGAGCCTGGGTAAGCCCTAGGAGTGTTCAGATCCCAACCAAGATCGATCGATGGCTGAGGTAACAGAACCTGAGAGCTGGAGCATAGTGCCTTACTCACTGAGCTACCCCGTTCCTTGATATAATTAATGGCAACTAGAAATAGGTTAATAATACACTCTGATAAAAGCAGAGAAAATTTCAATTATGAACAAAAATTATTTCATAAAATAAAATAATACTCACCCTTCCCTTGTGAATCTGTCGTGATAGGAACACAGATATCACAGAATGTTTCCTTCCTTTGCGTCACCTGCTCACACTCAAGGCAGGTAGTTCTCAATAGAGACACTCCCTCAAAGTGTTCGGATATGAAGTTGTGTCCGACAGCAGTACTTTCTTCCTCGTAATCGACACCGTTGGTACAACAGTCCCCGTTTTGAGCTATAGATTCTATAAACAAATAAACAGAAAACTAGATAAACGTATTATTTTATTAAATCAGTAACAATGACATTTCAGATTTCATAAATCACCAACATCATCAGGTAGTGAAAGTGCTCCAAAAAGGCTTAATGAACTTGGTTTGTTTCTTATATAAATAAACTAATTTTAATTGTATTTATTTTTTAATTGGTTTTATTTCAAATAGAACAGCTATTTAATAGGGTACAAGATACATTATTTTATACTAACCGATTCCCCTAGAGTCGTTTTCTCCTTTACCACGTCCCTGCCTTCCAATACTTAATGATTTGCGTACCTAAAAAAATAAAAAATAAAGCATAAATATACTAAAAGATCTTTAATAGACAACTTTTTTCATATGAATATGCACCACAAATATATAACAAAAATTAAAGGAAGGAGATGGTCCGGGGTGTCGGTCATAAATAGGCTGAATAGTGGCAAAACAATTTTATTAAAAGCCAATTTCAAAAGGGTCGGATTTTAATAAAATAGTTTTGCCACTATTTAGCCTATTTATGAGCGCCACCCCGCACCATCTCCTTCCTTTAAATTGCAACGGTCAACTATTAAATATTCTATAACAACAATTCTTTAGACAAAATAATGCCTAGTCTTTTGATAATGAGAAAGGTAAATCTATTTTTAAAAAACTAAAAAGTAAGCAGGATAAAGTCACTAAACTGATATCACTTTTTTTCAAGCCATTTCGTTTTTCCACCTGGATTTCAGATAATTAGACATATTCAGTGATATATGTATCATGTGGATTAAAATATAAGGTATAACTAGTTTGTTTAATAAGAACTTGGAAAGATATTCATTTTGAAAAATTTGTTTCAAAATTCACTACATATTTGTAAATTAAAATAAATAAATTAAAGTTAAGTGTGTATGTTATGTTATGGACAAACTTTTATATCCATCCTAATAAATAAAAAATGAATATATTGATGGCTTATATTAAAAAAAAGTCAGTCTCTTAGAACAATTTTCGGATTATTTTGTTTTGTCTTCATTTACTTGAAGGCCGATTTACTGCATTGCCTCTCTTATTAGAGTCCGAAATTCCAAAAGAGGCTGAAAATTTGGCCCCAATAATAGGATCTGTGTAGAAGGGAGGAAAATCGTTTCTGAGAGTAGAAAAATTCAATCAATGATCAATAATCAGAAATATACCAGGGTATAACTAGTGCAAACAGAACTTTCTTCTCCCTTTCAAAGATATTGAAATCCTAAAAAATCTCAAATCAAGGGTGTACAGTGCTATGATAAAGCCAGTTCTAATATACAGCTGTGAGACCTGTACACTAACCAGCACCCTAGAAAAAAATATAACCGGAGGGATCTGGGATCAGAATACTAACACATGGAGAAGAAAGACCAATAAAGAACTGCTTACAGAAACTGATCAATAAATATCCCATGATATGAAGTCATGGAGGTTAAGATGAGCAGGACATGCAGTTCGTAGCAATCCATCTGGAAGCGTCTCTGTAACAATGAATGCCTCAATAGAAGGCAAAATACCACGTGGAAAGCCAAAAAGCAAATGGATAAATAGAATAAACAAAGATACAATAGAGCTGCATGCAAATAAATGGAAAGAAGTAGCCCAAGACAGGCACAGATGGAGCAGGCTTGTTAAGGCAGCAAAAGAACTACAATGTCTGAAATGGCAACAGAAAAAAAAAAAAGATCAATTTTATCATTAATTACAATTTAGAGCTAATTTCGAATAGTGTATTTGGATCAAATTTATGGACGCAAAAACCTAAACTCTATTAATGTAAATTTATCAGTAATAGATACTTTAAGAGTAATTTTCAAGATTAATCTGAACCACAGCTCTTGTTCTGGAAGTGGGTCTTTGCAAATGGGTTTAATTGTTTATCAATTTTTTTTCTATACAGTCAATTAGTTAATTATTCATGAAGAATTTAGGAAATTCTGACAGCATACATTGCACCAGTAATAAATACTAGGTATATAGATTTTTCATGAGTTGAAAACTGTCGATGACTGGAACATTTACGTCATAATTACAAAATAGTTACACTAAATACATAATACTTTAATTTTACAGAGGGAAAATTCATCAAATTACACAACAATGTAATATTTTAAAATCTGATTTAATAATTTTTTTGTAATAAAATAACAATAGGTAGAGTAAATATACTTTTAATAAATAATTTTAAAACAGCCAAAAATATTAATAATATATATATATATCACTAATTGTTTACCTGTCGAGACCAAGACTGCTTAACAGGAGGTAGTGGCGGAGGAGGTGCCGTGGTAACAGCAGAAACAGACGCAGCTTGTCGTAACTGACAACATGTTTCACGAATGTTGTCTAATAAGCACACCAAAAGTTCATGTGCATCGTGTTGTTGGTTGCCTTCAAATATTGGGTTCACATCCCTAAAATATGTGTTTAGAATAATTTTTTTAAATAAGCAATTTTATGACTAAGATATAAGATCTAATTATAAACAATAAGTTATATGCAGTTTTAAATTTGTAGTAGATACTCTCCAGTATTTACACCTTTATGTGACATTGTGCGAGGGAATGAGAAGAAATATATAGGAATATGAAGTTGCACTATGAATTGTACTCAATTGTGCAGTGGATAAATTATTTTAAAACTTTAATAGATTCACTTATTACAGTTGTAAAAATAAATTGTTTTGATAAGACAGGAGTGAAAAGCCATCTATTTATTTAGTTGTCCTATAGGCCTCACAATTGAAGAATAACAAACCAAGTGAGTCAATTCATTCAAAGTGTATTTACTCAGTCCCATATTTCATATTTATATATTCTTATTATTTCTTGTCACTCAGTGTCACAAAAGTATTAGGTTCCCGAATTCCCAACGACAGTTAAACAACCCCAAAAAGTCTATATTCAGTGCCAGGATTTTGTTTTAAGAAAACTAAATTCACGAGTGTAAATAACCTAGTTCTTCAACGAAGCGGAAGGCTATTCACAATTGCAGCCAAACTAATTACTAACTAATACTGGACCGACATAGGACAACTAGTGAGTCTCGTAATTAGACTATTGATTCATCACATGTTAATTTTCATTGATATGGTTTCCACCCGAAAAACTCCTCTCAACTGTGGATCTGCCAGTGGAGGAAGCTATAATTCTTTCAAATTATTCATTTATTTGTTCCTCTCCTTTACACAAATCCCACAGATGAATTATCAGTGTAAATTATGAGAATGATTCAGTGGATCATTTCAGGTGTCGTATGACATTTGTTCTGAAGTTGAAGAATGAATATCAAATTGTTTTGAAAAATTGAAAACAAAACATTAGAATTTTCCTATCCGAAGACTAATAAAAAGTAGGTGCTAGATGATCGATCTATAGGCCTAATTTTTGTTTTCACACTTTTAATAGAAAATAGTTTTCATTTTTGTTCTGCATTATCGTTTGTTATTCTGCTTTGAGGTTTCATAAATTAGCAAAATACAAAAATTATAAGATGTTATGAACAAATTTGTTATTGATTAATACTATCACAAGCCGATAAAGTATTACCTAAGAGACTGGAGAAATAGATGAGGATGGAAAGGTTCGGAATGATGATCCTTCACTTCTTCAGTCCTCAAAGACTCGTACAGTTGATGCAGCTTATCGGTAGCAATTTGCATCTTCAGGGCATCTCCACCCGTCAATGAACCGAGGTCTTTACTGCTCCAACTTTTTCCTCCTCTACCCAAAGATGAGCACTAAAATACACATTAATATGTATTGAATTATATAAATCTATATGTGTACTGAATATGAAATATATGTATTGATATATATAAATTACAATTTATATGTGTTTTTCTCATTTATACCCTCATGAGTCAGTCTGATGACTCTGTTTTCACCAAGAAAGTATCAAAAGATTAAAGAAATTACAATTTCTTATTATCATAAAATTACTAATATTACAAAAAAAAAAAGAAAGGAAAAAACAATTTTAAATTAAGTGTAAATCACATGGATGAATTTGATTAAGTAATCACACAATATTTTATTTAAGGAATTTAGTCGACTGTTCTACATATCAAAGGTGATAAATAGTCAGAATGCAGTCATTTTTTAAGATTTTTATTAGTGTAGACGTTTCAACTTAAACATGTGGATCATCATCAGGGTGTATTTCGAGCATTGAAGGTATTCAAGTACATATTATTCCAAGGTATTCAGTACTTGAATACCTTCAGTGCTCAAAATACGCCTTGATGATCACCCACATGTTTGGGTTGAACATCGGCACTAATAAAAACCTTAAAATTGACTGCGCCATGACTATTTATCACTTATCATTACAATATTTTGCAGTGAAAAAACCGGAGTTTAAATCTGATCTTTTTTTATTTATTTGATTTATTAATTTTTTTTTCCTCAATACATATAAAAGAAAACATAGTGGAAGTTAGACATCACAGGTTTGCTGCAAATGATATTATTAAATTCCTGTGTACCCAGTTATTGGAAAAATATCAACAAGTTTTTATATTGATATATCTATATACTTGACTGATATTTTTTATATCAATATTAAAATTTGGTCACTAAAACTGACATTTTCCAATAAAATTAAGAAACAAAAACAATTAAAAGTTAATATTAATTATAAATGTTAATATTTTTATAGGTTATAAGTAATTTATTCAACACAGGATTTCTTCCACACTTTTCATTTTTTTTATTTTTTTATGTTTAAGTAATTTAATAATAAAAAGAACAGAATAGCTGCTAACAAACTTAAATTTTGATATTTAAATCACTACCAAGTTACTCGTATCGGATAGCCCTTGAAATGAAAATTTTGTATGGAAACTGGACCACCATCCATGGACCCATCCAGACAAACAGCAACAAGCATTGGAGAGATAATTACCATTTATATCGGTAAAATCATTTATTCTATATATGATGTAGACATGGTTGACCGTTGATATAATATGAGAAGGAGTTGGTCGGGGGGGGGGGAGGGAGGGGGGAGGAGGGGGGAGGGGTCAAATTAATACTAAATTAAATAAGTAAAATTATTTAATTTTTGCTGACGTTTCGACCCACTTTGTAGATCTTCATCAGGGCTACAAAAGATACAAAACATGGTGAAAATAAATGAATATAAGTAGATATTAAATAAGAAAAAGTTGTCTGTTACAGAACTAAAAGATGATATCAGAGATATAGTGGGTGACAATGTAGTTAAAATATCAAGTATTATATGTAGAAGATACAAACAAAAATGGAAAATAAGTATGAATAAATTATTAAATTTTCCATTTTTGTTTGTATCTTCTACATATAATACTTGATATTTTAACTACATTTTCACCCACTATATCTCTGATATCATCTTTTAGTTCTGTAACAGACAACTTATTCTTATTTTATATCTACTTATATTCATTTATTTTCACCATGTTTTTTATCTTTTGTAGCCCTGATGAAGACCTACAAAGTGGGTCGAAACGTCGGCAAAAACTAAATAATTCTACTTATTTAATTTAGTATTAATTTGAAAGCATCCCCCCGATCAACTCCTTCTCATATTCTATATATAGCTAACTAGTAATAAAGAAACAGATAAGAGTTAACAAGTAATGGTAGAAGCCCTGTTAACATTCGAAGATTAGAATAGGTTGATAAAATTTCTTCTTAGAAACTATTTAACCTCACATAACTACAAAACGGCTCCAAATGAAGAATGGAAGAAGAATTATATTTGCTAAACCAATAGTTGGTACAAGTGACAAAAAGTATTGAAAAGAACTATTTTTTAATACAACATATTATTAAATTAAAGAAAAAAAAGTTCACCTTAAGGCCAGCCCGACCGGAATACTCTTGGAGATCGAGCGCAAGATGATGCAAATTGTGCAGAAAAGAAGGAGCGAACCGAAGGGTATATAATACTGAATTGAGGAAGCAAGTGTTTCCAAGGTTTGAAAGAGTGGTAATAGGGTTCTCTGGAGCATCTCCACCCCCTCGACCACTGCCGTCCACTCCGCCGACCACCATTAGCCCTGAAAAGAAAAAAAAAATATATGTATGAACGAATAAATGAAAATAATTTTATTATTCTGGGACTAGTGTCCCTTTAGAACAAGTCACAAATACAGAATATATATCAATATTTTGGTGTGTTCATGAAATACAATTTAATATTTACAGGTTGATTCGGAGTACAATACAGTTATAAATGATAAAAAGATATAAATACGTATAAATATAAAATATACAGAGAAAGTAATTAAGTGAACGAAATATCAATGAATTACAAAATAATCTGAGTATCTGGGTGTACTTTGAGATTTTTACAGCTTAGGTTTTTAAGTGCATTTCGTGATCAATCAGATTGGGAATGGAGTAGGTGTTCGAAGAGGAGAGATTTGAAAGAGGATATCGATTTTGCGTGTCGAATATTTGAAGGTATAGAGTTCCAGAGGGAGACAACTTGTATTAAAAAGGATTTATTAAATGCAACAGTTCGGTGAGGGGGAAGATAGAGGTCGGACGCACGGGATCTGGTGGAACGGGATTGAAAGGAGCGTTTGAATTGTAGGATCAGTAGAATATAGGCAGGTCGCTGTGTTGTAATGGCTCGGTATAGGAAGGTAGCCAGAAAATATTGACGGCGGTAGGATGGATAGAGCCACTTCAACTTGGTGTAGAAGTGGGTAATATGCGTATCCCTTGAGATCCCGAAGATAAAGCGGATTGAGCAATTCATTAATTGTTTATGTTTGGCTTTGAGTTCTCCCGAGAGTCCACCATACACCATGCAACCATAGTCAAAGTGGGGAAAAACAAGAGAGGAGACCAGGAGTTGACGGGTTTTGAATGGAAGAAGATAACTTAGATGGTAAAACTGTCTCAGGGTGAATATAGTATGGCGGGAAATTTGGGAGATGTGTGGTTTCCAGGAGAGGCTTTGATCGAGGGTAACGCCTAGGTTTTTAACGGTGGTATGGAAGGAGATAGGAGAGTTGTTCAGAAGAAGATTAGGAGGTATCATCCATTCTTGTATGTATTGTTCACACAAAATCTCATTAAAGTTTCAATTTCATTTATATAAATTTAGATAATCGTTTGTATATATAAAACAGTTTTAATTACTATACCATATAAAACATTAATTTTATCATTTTTGTTTTCGTTACCGTATTATGATTTTTTTTAATTTTTGAACACAAAAAAAAGCAATTATGGTAAAAAAGAACATGGCAATAGGGTATACATTTATTATATCGTCAGTATATAGCAAAAAATCATTAAATATACATTTCTTAACTTCAAATAATTAAGAATTTTGATGAATTTTCCCTTAGTGAAAATTGTACACTTAAGGTAACTAAATATGTTAAATAAAAGGGTTTTGCCTCATATACCTGCACATAAGGTGTTTTTGTCTAGATAAATAATGTGTAAATTAACAAAAACATATTTGAAAGTTAATGTACAAAAAAAAAAAAAAAGCACTAAATCACTTTTTGAAATAAATCTACAATATATTTCCTTCTTCTCTATTTGTAGATCTTGATTCTCATTGTTTGTTTCAAATCTAATTCTAGGTCCACTATCAAAGCCTATTTTCCTTTCATACTAAAGGCTACAAATCATGCTGAGCCTTCTATATCAATAAACTTGAAGGAAGTATCTGTTCTCTTTTATCTCCAGGAATTCAGCTATTCAATACTTTATATTATTGTGCCGGAGGGTGACAAGCAGCATGTTATTCGGACATTAGTCCAATACACGAGCTGCGGTTTCTGACTTCCGGCCTATGAAAGGTGTATGATTCTCGGCAGAGGGGTCAAAAACTCCTTTAAAAAAGTTTAACAAGTAGGGTTAGCAAAGCTTCCTCACCTTTTTTATTGGGTACATTATACATATACTACATTTACAGTTCAATTTCTATAAGTGATTTGATTGAAATTTTATAAATAAATAAAATTAATGACAAACAATTTTTGAAAAATATGGAATCGATTTATGGAAATCGATAAAAGTTGGTATCTAGATGGTCCCAACTCACACGATTCCAGAAAATTTCATCAAAATTGGCAGAAGATGTTATGACCGCCACATGGATTCAACTACAGTTAAGGTCGCAGGTCTTGATGGCTGAGCGTGTCAAAGAGTAATTTTCAACATTCTTGAGTCCAACAACACAGGTTCAAGTCCATGCTGGGCAAGTTAAAATTTATTTATTTAAGCAAGTTAAAATTTATTAATGTTTGGGGGCCGTGGTGGTCGAGCGAGTTTACGTGCCTCCAAAAATTTTATATCAAATCCCATTCGTGAGAATTAATAACACAAAAAATAAATAAAATAATTAATAATAAATTTAAATAATTAAGTGCAGGCCCCCTCCTCGACTACTTAGACCACTAGTGGTAGAGACTAAAGCTCATAGGGAGATGAGCAACACCTGTGTCTTACACCAATGCTCCTGGTCCTCCAGGTTAGGAGTTGGGCATGGGGCTGATAATTCTCTATACCATAAAAAAAGTTGGTGGAAGATTGATGCAAAAGATTGCCAACCATCCTGCAGGAAAGTTCCCAATGAAAAGGGAGTGAAATATGATCAGTTCTGCAACATTGATAGGTTCATCATCCCCACAATTTTAGATATAGATCTCAACAAGTCAGTAAGGGTGTCCATCTGCTCCACTTTATTTCGGAGCTTTGCACCCAGAACTCAATCAATAATTGACATATATAGCCAAGTCGAACACATTAAAACTCTAGTATAATAACTCCATTTGTCTCTTAAACTCTACGAATTTAGGTGTAATAATTATATTGCAGATAGAATTAGAAAAATTAGTTACTGAGGTGAGCGGTGGTACATTGTGTTCATTGCTAATGTTCAATGCTTCGAATTGAAAACAAACCAATAGATGGTCATTTAATCCAATGGGAGTAAGCAGCTGAGCAATAAAACACACTGAAGCTATTTTATTCCATAACTCAAGTTTGGAAAAAATAAAGACATTATGGTTCTATACCAAAAAACATTTTTAGATTAGATTAAAGGAAGTATACAAATTATAAAATTATTAAGAAAACTAGACTCATAGATTTTCATTCAGTTTTTGCTAGTTTCCAGTATTTGCTCTTTTTCATTAACTATCTTGTTCTTACTTTTGGCCTGTTGATGAACGGGACGTATAGGCAAAAGGTATGGAGAAGATATCGAAAACAATTTATTCAGCACAAAAAAAATCTTAATGTAGGAAATTAAAATTTCCATTTAACAGCTCCAAGAGGTTCCAGAATATTGGGACATTAGATAAAATATGGGAGAAATAATGATTAGTTTTGAAACTCTGTATGTCGCCTTAATTTCATCGGATATCAACGATTGTGTATTTGCTAGAAATTATGTAGCTGTTTCTAATTGTGGTGTTTCTTTTTTCTAATTCTGTTCTACCTTATGAAAAGAAGAGAAAATGATTTTAGCGAAGTTTCATTGAAATCGGTACATTCGTTTAGGCGCTACAGTCTATAGCACCGCAGGTTTTTCTGCATTTTCATTTTTTTTCTCCTCTATTAACTCATCAAATTCTTTCAAAAGTTATATGTAGTATTTTTTTGTAACTCTGATTAATGAGAAATGATTAACTTTTTAAACTAAACCACATTAAAGGTACTTTAGAGGAAGGCATATATGAACATTGAGAATTTAAGCCCTGTAAAGTGACATCAACAGGAATAAGACTTAAATGATATTAAAGACCACTTAATTATACAATGATTCACTGAGTTTAATCAAAATCGTTAGAGCCGTTTTTGAGAAAATTGTAAAAATTTGTTTCAGCGTCCATATAAAGTGGCACTTTCTGTAAGCCGATTTTAACGAAAAAGTTGCTGTCACATCCGGCTCATATACAAACCTTAAATACTTAATATAAGTTTTGTACTACTTATCATTTATGAGCTAGACTGTTAACACACACACACACAGACCATTTTGCGACACTTGGTTATTTGGACTCAGGGGACTTCAAAACATGTATTTCTATTGTAAACTGAGATTCGAAAATTTTCACGATCGCAATACTTACCCTTACTATATATTACATATATACGTAAGTGAAAGTAATAAGCTACAGGTGTGTACGTCGTATAGAGGACGGGAACGAAAAGAAGTCGTGCCTAGCCTGAGGGCCTTAACCGGACTCTTTCCTATCCCTGCACTCCACGACCAATAGGTAAGGATACCACCTGATGGCATAAATAATATACCTAAATAATAATAATAATAAATACCACCTGATGTAATAAGCTGCAGCGGATATAATATTAAATGGTCAATAGGACAGGAAAATTGAGGTCTATCAAGCCAAACATTGATGCTCTGGTCGTAAACAATTGTTCCAACGGAAAAATAATGACACTTTTTTTACAATGTCCAAAAGTTTTACTTTTATTGGATACATTTTAACTTGAAAAATGTTTGGTTCGTTATCAGTTTTCATACTTTTGCAGAGTGAAATAAATACTGTGAAAAACTTCAAATACAAGTTGTAAACGAAAATACACATTTTCTAAATCCCAGAAAACCAAGCATCAACAGTGGTTAGTGTCAATGTAAGGGAACAGTCTAACTAAAAAAACGATAAGCTGTAGGAAACTAAAAATACGCATTTAAGGTAGGCATGTGCATGGGATGCAAGAGAAACGTTTTAACTAGAATAGATTAAACATAAGTGGCAAATCATATAATCAATTATACATGTTTTTACGATTTTCTCAATCATAGCTTAAACTGTTTTAATTATACTCATTACATCAATGTAAAATTAAGTAGTCTTTAATTTCAAATAGGTCTTATCCTGATCGAAATAGTCTGACGGTACCATTAATATTGTTTTGTTTTTTATAACAGCCTTTTATTGATAGTAATGATAATAAATGGTTATATATAAGCTATGAAAGGAATTGATGGTATGTGTTCACATGAGTTCCGCACGAATTACATGTGGTTCACAATCACTTCGATCACAATTGTTCATGAAATTCCGAAAACAGCCAAATGTTGCCATCTATTATGAAATCAGCTATTGCTCCCACCACAAAATCCCTTATCAAACATTTAAAAAAAAAAATAACATGTATTCCCATCATAGAACTTCCTTTTTAACGAAATATGCATTTACTAATTTGTTAATTATTAATTTTTATTATAACGGTCATTAATCTGAAATAAAAATAAATATATACATATAAAATTATGTTTGACTTGTCCTTCAAGGCATGTTAAAAAAAAATGCTTTTAGAAATAAAATTTTTATTGACATGTGCTTACATGTAGTGGGTGTAAATACACATATACTGTTGTATATTATCTTTTATAAGTGTATAAAAACAATTTTTATCATTTGGATAAAAAATAATCTGAAGTTATCTGTTATATGTTGGATTTGAAATTGTTCATCGAACTTTTGCAGCTTTTTGTATTTCTTAGATACAAGAGTCCACTATTAAGTTGTCGAGGACGATTTTTATAGAAATAATGTCAGATTGAAGATTGCGCGAGAAAGGTGGACAATATTAATAAATAAAATGCTAGTTGGACAACACAGTTAAATTAAAATTTATTTTCTCATTTTAATCGCAATTCTATTTATTGAATGAATTAACAGCATAATTATTGTAATTCGTAATTATTTTGCTTAGTAATCCGAAAATGGGAACTTATTGTAGTCATTTGTAAAGAAAAAAAATATCATATTTATTTTCGAAGAAGGAATTAACGTACTGGGGAAACATTTGACGAAGAACATCTGATAATTCCGAGATAATGGATAATGGAAATCAATAAGAAAAATAATATAGTGAAATAGCATTCAAAGATATAATAATTAAAGGTTTTTATCTGTTACTATATCTTTTCCATTGCTGTATAACATATGTACAAATTCGATTAAGGTTACATGATGTAGCCTAAATTTTTTAATATAAGTCAGCTCCTGCTATATAAATGAACATGACTAAGGTTATAGAAGTACTTAAATGGCGGGAAAGTTAATAGTAACTGACTCAAGAGATTGGTCGCCTTCGTTCTCTTTTGGATAAACCCGAATGCATTTGGCACTCTATGAACAAGTGTGATCGAAGTGATTGTGAAACACGCGTAATCTGTGAGGAACTCATGTGAACTAGTACCGAATTGATAATTAACTAAAGTAAAAAAAAATGTTTTTCCACATTGAAAACAAATTATCGGTTGTTCAGTTGAAAGAAAATTTTACTTTTGATAGAAAATAAAGAAATTTTTGTTCCCAACCTACAATAATAACAATCCCTAATACTCTTTCAGATAATTGAGAAAAACAACTAAGAATATCAATAATTAAAAGAAATAAAATTAATATTTAATGTAACATATTAATTACCGACAGGTCATTATTTGTCAATACTATGCTACTTTCAATAATCAATCTACAGTGTGATTTCAGTGAATACAAGTAGACTAATGATATTAAATCCTTCAATCATTCCATGCTTTATCTAACACTAAATATCTAATCTAATAATAAAGAATTTCATTTTTGAATGAACATATCTCATAGTACTAAATTAACTATATCACGATTCATTACCTGCTTCAATAGGTATTGCCATAAGCGATTCATCCACAGGTTGGCTTATTTTTTTTGCCTGATTGGTGGACAAGCAGAGTTTCTTCCTGGGTGGACATTCACCGACATCCCATAACACGGTCATTTTTGGTCCACCTTCTAAAAATAATAATAATCTTATTGATAAACACAAAGTAAGTGAATAGTGATAATTAAGTATTTGATATAGTGTAAATACTGTAAGCATATATTCTACAATGAAGAAAATGAGTAGTACACTTTTAACTTATGATGAACAATTCTAAAAGTTGACAAGAACTAAGCCTGGATATTAAACTACACAAACTTTTACTGTATAACTATAAACAGGAAATATCTTAATGTATCATACAATTTACACTTTTATGAAGAAAACAACTCTGTTCAGTAATTATCTACATTAAGTTTCGGTTTTTAAATAAGCAAAGGATAAAATAGTGAAGAATGAATACTTACAATAAGTCTATGTAAGAATACATGGAAGTCTGTTTCATCCACAATATACTTAACCCAAAATCCCTTCAACTGCCTTTAAACCGGGTAAACGATTTACGCAGCCATTAAGACTGTTCAAGATAAAGGCAAAAGTTTATAATAGTCGTTGCCAACAATATCGAGTTCAAACTGTTAACAAATTTATTTACCAAAGAATTCGAAAATAAAATCTAAATAACTTTCTAAATATGAAAAATCATTACGGGCAAGAAAAAAGTATTATTATTTTTGGACAAATAATGACTTTTTGATACAGAAGAATCGATTTATAAATGGCTAACTGGAAATTGAATTACCTACTTTTTTAACTTATACCTCTAAATTTCATTTTAAGATTTTCATTCAAAATGGTTTAAAAAAAATGCAATTAGCACGAAATTATGTAATAGACGTCACTGAAATATCTCAATATTATCAAATATCGACAATTTCATTCAAGAAGGGGGAAGTCTCTAAACTCAGCGCTAATTCCTTCTATGGTTTTCTTCAACTGATTGAATTCAGCAGCAATGGATAGCTATTTATACTGAGTTTAGAAACAATCTGATGTATTCCAGCATTCCAGTTAACACTCCTGGAAGATTACAAAACATGAAAAAAGAATTATGATATTTATAGGGAGTGGGATAGCTCAGTGGTAGAGTACTGAGCTTCCAATGTTAAAGGTCCCAGGTTCGAACCCCGGCTCATGGCAGAAAATTTATTTATCTGTTTCATTGGCCGTGGGGCGAACCTAGGTCGGGAGACCATCCTGGGGCACACCCAGCCTCTATAAAGTGGGTATCCTTAATTAAATAATAAATTAAGGGGAAAAACCTGGCGGTTGAGGGTGACTCGGTCAAATCACCTCCTTGCACAACCGTTAACCTAGAAACAGTGCTCTCTCTAAATAATACTGAACCCAAGACCCTTCATAGGTTGTAGTGGTACAAGTTTTTTATATATATATAAACAAATATAATTTTATATATATTAATAAAAAATATATATATTTGTTTCATATCATATTATATGTAAGATCTCAATCATATGTTTTGAATATAAATTGTCAATATTTAAAAAAACCGACTACAAAAAACGGGAAATCCTGCCCATCCTTTGGGAATGCACTTCCATATATACTTAAACATTTCTGTAGATTGTTAAGAAAATTGATATCTACGTATTGTTAAACTTGATGTAATAGTCGAGTGCCTTTGACTACAGATTATAGCTCTAGGAAAATAAATTTCGTCTCGAGTTTTGAAAAGAATGATTCTTGAGTTTCGTTCTGGGTGACACCCTTATTATATTACCAAGTTTAAATATTCTCTATCAATCTACCAAGACCTTTTAGTTGACATGAAAGTACATTCCCTTAGGGTGGAGACAATTTTCTAATTTCAGTAGTAGATGTTTTTTTTAATTCATCGACTCGTGTTAATCGACTAGGCTACTCCCCTCCACTCTGGAAATATTTTGTTCAAATACGTTTATAAAATAGTCGATTTTACTGTGGATGAGAGTCGATAAAAGGGGGAGAAGAGCGGCTAAATTAATCTCCTCCTCCCCCTTGGAAAAATGACTAGTTGCTGACTTAATGCAATTTTATCTGTTACTAAAAATTTCTATGGTGAACGCTTTGTTTTTAAACCAACCTAAAAGGCTTCCTTTAATTGAGGCGAATGTAGCAGCATTCCATCAATCAAAATGTCTTAAAAATAAAACATCAATTTTTTTTTCTTTTTGTCAGTTTAGTAAAATTGAGTTCTGCCATATGTTTACGTAAAGGATAAAAATGGTAAAGTTTGTTATGAGTTTTTTATTTTCTTTCAAATCGTTCCCTGAAAATGGTGTTCAATTTTATCCTCATTTATCAGAGAAAACAGAAGATGATACAGAAGAACTATATTTGCGATTTAAAGCTCATCCAGATCGAAAGAATATTTGTAATATCACTTACATAATACCAGGTCCTAGAGAATTGGTAGAAAAGAAGATATCAGTTGCTTGTTGGTCACCAATGCTTAAGGTCTGTTGAATACTTGCTATCATTTAGTTAAAATAAAGTTATCTGAAACATATAATGCGATATCATAATATAATTGACTATTAAGTTACTTCTGATGTTTAGTGCATTAAAGTGAATGATTAATAATCATAACTAATACAGAAAATATAATGGTCTATTGGAACACAATGATAAAGGTTAGGTTTTTCACGTGTTCTTTCAACAGGATTCGCTTTCAGTCAATAGTTACTACATCAGTTACCACACAGATATACATCAAAGTTCACCAGGCCTCATCTTATGACGGGTTTAAACATTCAAAATACACGAGAAGCATAGACAAACAGAAACAGGAAACAAAGATGTACATTTCTGTATTTCTAGACAAACTTGGCGGGCGCTGATATTCGCATTTGATCTAATCTATTATAATTTTAGAAAGAAGCTGATGGAAAAAAAGATAAATAAATTTAAATCGTACAAGGAACAATTAAACTTAACAAGATCTCTTAGGCAACCCAAACAGTAAACAAATGTCTAAAAGCGGCTCTAGCGATAGCCCAAACGGTATTACTGTACAACTGTAAGTCCTCTTGGAAATGTGGACCAAGATCTCATGGTAAAACTACAAATATGATTTTGAGAACAGCCGAGGATTGACGTGATTTCTACGTACAATCTCCCTTTATTTAAATTGCGATTTACGACTTCGGCAAACTAGTAGACTTCGGCCTAGTCCACACTAATAGACATGTTGCGCAATTTTGGTCTGTGACACATGTCTCAGTTTGTCTATGTAGACATGTCTATAGAACAATCTCCGATTACAGGCTTGTATCAAGACCAAAAATCGCATCAGTTTCCTGATCGCAATGAGAGACATTATGTAACGTTAGACATGTTATTTCTACAGAGTGGGCGTCTCTCGGCATCTAGAAGCGAGACAAGTACCAATCTGGCTCCAACTACCGAGTGGTTGCTTCGGCCGTTTACAGTTACTTTCTAAAGTTTTACTGTTCTTTTGAAAACTTTTGGTCTAACGAGAAAGTTTTAAAACTAATAGAAGATTATCGTAGCGCCTTCCAATCTTAAATTATTAATTAATGCATTACTGAACCTAGGTCCTTCAGCAAGCATTTTGAGCACCCATCAATGTTTACGTTTTCGCGTTATTTCACTTGAAAATAGCTCCATGTAAAAACTCTCCATGTAAGTCCTCTAATTTGAAATTCGGGCTTAGTTAGGTTTCTCCTATCTAAAAAAAATCAGTATTATCTCTATAGTAATAAGCTAACAAGTAACTGCAAGACTGTAGCGAGACTCTTGCGCAAGGCCAAGACCATGACCGCAATGAGTTTGCAATACCAAGACTCGTATTGGTCTCGCATTTGGGCAACACTAAATGTATACTAGTTGTTTTTTAGGCTTTACTGGTGCTTTTCAGGTAATTGGTTTTAGTTTCATACCTGCTTTCAACTCTCGTTGGCTACGCTCGCTCTAAAGCGATAAATAAACCATTAAAGTTTTAAATCGGATTCGGAGCCTTACCAGACGGATCGTTCAATTCCGTTAACTTTCGGGCACACTCGGTCATTCTCAGGATTTCATTAATGGTGTGATCAAGAGATCTAGTGCCGTCAACTAAAGTGAAGTGATACTTGAGTGGCTTCATGTGAAAGGCGAGATCCTGCCATTTTTAAAAAGTCAAGAAAATGCCATTTTTTTATAACAAAGTTTCAATTCAAACCAAATCTAATTAGTATTTTTCATGATCCAACATTTTAAAACAAAATTGTCAGAAACAGTTTGAGTTAAACCTATAATGTTTTAAAGGCAGATGTCCGTCTTTTACATGAAGCCACTTACTTGTACAACACAAGCTTCCTTTGATTTCACTCGAAAAACCAATAATAGACAGAACGGGCACAAACAAGAAACAATAACACAGACTTAGAATAACAACCGTTTTAGATATTAGTGTTTTCCATAGTTTGTGAACAGGGGTGCCTAGACGGAGTTTATATGGCCCAAGTTTTTTTTTTGAAAGGGACATATAAATTTTATGAGAATTATGAAGTTTTGAGGGAGGCACATTTCTATGGGGTTATGAATTTTCAAAGTGAAAAGTTTTAAACCAGAGAACAAGATGGGAAACATGGACTAGACTACAGCAGGTGTAATTATGTAAGATCTACGATTTTTCTTATTCTATTTTTGCTTGCACGGCTTTTTAGAAGAGGGCAAAAATAAAATTTCTTGAAAGAGTGGAGGGGGTTCCAACGTCTTCGACCTTGAGAGGAATGGATACCCCTGCCTGTTGTGGCACTATATGTGGCAAGTTTCTTAAACTTTTATTATTTCCTAAGTATGGAAATCGAAATTCGTTGTATAAGTATTTAAAAACTATGATATAAAAAGACAGACATTGGAATCCACAAGTTAATCTGCAACAATAAATGCCAGAAACACACCAAAGAGATAGATAATTATAGTCAAATAGTCATGATGACAATGGGGTGAGGTGAAGATTAGCAGGAATCAATGGGGTCGATTGATGCCCTTTGACTCAATAGTTTTAAAGGATTACTTAATATGAGATGTACGTTAACAGAAATTAGTCGAGGATTTAGCTCACACAACTGTGCGATTCGAAAGAATAAAATAGATGTAATCAGAAAAGGTGGTTTTTATGCCCCAATACATGAACACATTGTTATTCACGAACAAGCAGGTTACGTTGGGTTTCCTTTTGAATTATTATATTTTCGTTAAGTATTTTTCAAAAATTATTCATAAATGGATTTAATAAATAATATTAGATTTTCATTAATGATATTATATTACTAATGTTGGTGTTCCAAACCTTGAAGAATGGAGTAAAAACTGGAGGATTAAAATAAATTTCACCAAATCACTTTTACCCTTCGTCGTAAAAGTATGGTTTTCTGTCCTACAGTATCCTGTAATAATACCCACTTATCCCTGTTGAACAAATCCGATACCTAGGACTCCACCTGAACAAATGCCTCACTTGGAATCATAATACAAGACTGAAACGACAAGAAAAATTTCGACGTTTCCGCTTACTCCAACAGTTAATAGACAAACGCTCTAAACTTCCAATTAATTAGAAAAGACTCATATACATGATTGTAATGAGACTTATTAGGACATACGGAGTTGCACTATATGGCTCCACTAAACCATCGATTTCCTCTCGTATCCAATCCTAACAATCCAAAATCCTTCGAAAAATTCTCAATGATCCTTACTTTGTCTCAAATAAAATAATCCATAAACACCTTAATGTTTCATATATTTCCGATTTGGCTCAATCCGGATACCAATCCTTCCATAATAAACTTTATAACCATCCAAATCCTCTTGTTTCTAACCTTACTTCCTCTTCGATTCATGATAATCCTCCGAGGCGTCTGAAAAGAAGATGGCCTCGTGATCTCCTTATGCAGACATATTATTAGAGTGCTACCAGTGGATAGTTTCTCAACAAGCATTTTAACGTGATTATATTCCTATGTACACATTTACTTGATATATTTATATTCTAAGTTGTAAATATCATAAATAAAAAAATGGTTTTCTAGGTTTACAATAGGAAAGAAGACTATCATTTCCAAACCGAATGCACTGGCGATAAAACTTGGGCTGCCTTTTCGGTAAGGCAAACTTTGGACAACATCAAACTTGAACAGTTCAAAAACATTTTTCCAAAATCTCTTGAATTTTATTTTAATGAAGACCAGAAATCTGTACAAAGGTTTTTTTTTTATTTGTTTCCCATTTGATAAATTTAATGGTTCTTTTAGTTTGATTAATAGTAATAAATAAGTTATTTTGATCCTAAAACGAATTTCCAATTTCTCGCAAAGGTAACTGGGTCTCTTTCTACTTCTTTGGCTTGATCGAGGTCGTTGCTCTCATAGCGAACAGCTGGATTCAAGACCAGTGCCACCTTTCCGGTCCTGGAGAATGCAACTATGTCCGCGTATCTTGTTGATCCATCGCTATCAATGCAATAGACCTCGTCGAAGCATACGAATTCCCTTTCTCTAAGGAGACTCATCAATTCGAGTTTTACTCTATGGTGCCGGCGTGTTATGAGGAGGGAGTTGTGGGGGCATTTTCCCAGCACATGGGCTGGTGTTTCTGGATCTCTGTCGCATTTGCGACAGAGGGACCCAACTCCTTAGAAAAAAAACTTGTTCTATAAATGACACTTCAGCTCTGAAATGGGCTTTCTAAAAGAACAATCCCACGTAATAAATGCTACAGTAACCTCATGTGTGAATAAATAGCTAAATTTCATATTTATAATTAGATTTTAAAATTTAACTACGTAATCAAATAAATTTCGATTTAGTTTTCAGACTCCTGCTTTAGAACAACGGCTAATTTTTCAAAAGATCCGATCTTTAATAATTATGAGGATGTAAAAATTAGATGTGAATAGCTCCCCATCCCAATGGCCTCAAAACCAAAAGAGTGGTATGGAATCAAATACAATTACTGGCCCACAGGTATAACTTCCATCCATATCTTTTCCAGTCGACTTGTCTTCTTCATTTCCAATGGTACATGTTTAAGTATTCTATTTAGGCCATCGATCGTGCCCAACCCAACTCAGTTTTTTTAGTTAATGGAGTACAGAATATTAAGTTCTTTCGCTTTTTTCCTTAATGGCGTTATTTGGAACGTGTCATTGTCTGAAGATTATAAATCCATTCTATTGATAACAGTTTTTTGCGGAGTCAGTTGAAACAGTCGAGGTTTCTGAGGCAAATAACACAGTTCATAGTGATCTAATAGGATGTATAAAAAAAAAAAAATGACCGTTTTTCAACCACATATTTGTTTTATCATTTCTTTGATATAATTAATACTCAATGTATAGTCCATTGTATAGTCCGTCATTAGCCATCTGCTAGCCAATTGCTCGATCTCACGCTGATACCATGAAAGAACTCTCGGACCGCAATTTCAACTTTCCCAAAATTATAAAAAATTTTCGCTTGAAGAAAATGGACCATGGATCCAAATATGTAGTAATCTGATGATGCGAGGTGTGGACTGTATGGTGGATGAGGCAGTAGTCTCACATCAGAAGTGTTTTTCAATAAATTTTCACAAATTTCTAGCCTCTTAGCTGATATCTGAGGAGTGAGGGGCCAGTATTGTGCTCTTGTTCACTTTCTCCATGGAGATTAGATGGCGACTAACAGTATCTTTTGACAAACTAAATTCCCTGGCAAGTTCGCGAGTACTTATGGACGGATTTGACTCCACTGCTTCCTGCATAACCTTATTAATATCCATTAATGGTTGCCCAGAGCCCTTCTTCCTTCCCAACGTCGTATCTATACGACAATTTTTCGAACCAACGCCGCACAGTGCGCTGGTCAAGGACACCGTTCCCTTCATGTTTAATAATTTCATGAGTTGCTTCAGCGGCTGTGATATTTTTTTTCCCAGTAATGACTTAGAATTATGAGAGTTTCGTAGGACACAGTCATGTTTCTTCTTTGAAATAATTAAACTGAGGATTTTTTTTTAAGAAGTCGAATGGGATTAAACAAGCTTAGAGAATGCTCCAAGGGGATTATTAAGTATTGATAATTTTTAATCCTTTGAAATATTGAATTTGATAAAATGGTCATTTTTTTTATACATATTCGCCATCATTACCTTAAGCTGAATGCAGTTTATTTTTAGTGAAATTTTTATTTATTGATTTAGTTTTTTAAGTTTAAAAAATTAGGAATACAAATAATTATCATCGTGTCTCGTATTTTTTAGATTTAGAAACGACCCGTATGGAGCATACTTCAGTCCCAAAATTCCTAAGGAAAATCGTTTTGGGCCAGTATTTTATCTTAAAGATTTAACTAAACAGCCCGCAAGAGTGAAACCGGAGTACGGAACTATTCAACAAAACAATAGAAAAAAAGAAGTTTCTGTTAGCAGGAAACAGCCGGAGACTACAACGAGAATCAAAACATCGTAATTATTTAATCTGATTCTTGATACCTTGTTGATTTTTAAGACAACGGAAGTTCTATTTCATTCAATATATGTTTACTTATTTGCTGCTGCAACGTCATAAATCTGAAATTCAAAAATTTTCAGGATTTAATGCAAACTTTTTTTATTTATTTAGGAATATAATAATCTGTCACGTGGACAATAATCATAGTGATGTATGAACACATTCCACACCATATATACTGAAAATATAAAATTAATAAAAGTAAAATAATAATCAAAACCTATGTACAATAACAAATAAAATTACCTAAAGATAAGTAAATCAAAACATAAAAAAACAGTCATACCTATATACATTATACCTATATTATACAATCAGGCAGAGAACCTCAAGCCAGGTTTCTCCCACCAACTATAGAAGGAAAAGCAGGACTGCAAGAGATCCCTGCGCTGCTAAAGCCAGTGGAGTTTGAGCGATAGCGCTTTAGCTACAAAATGCAAACTAAAATGTCGCGATTATTGTCAAAAGCTCAAAAATGGTACTTTACTTGTTATATTTAGGCATTAAATAAAAAAATTAATAATTTTCGAGCTACGACGTTATTCAGCAAATAATGACTGGCTGAACCGCGGTAGTGAGTCTGAAGTACATTCAGTCTGAAGTCCGCCTCTCTGCCCTACCCCTCCCCCCCAAAAAAATGATTGGTCCATATTGTTTTCTGTGAGTGATCTGGCTATAGTACCAAAATAATCATAATATGTCCTAATGTTTAAACTACAACTCATATAAGGAAAATGTACCAGTAATAGGCAGTTTTCAACTCATTCATAAATAATAAATAGTCCGTGGTATAGACCTCTTTTTATCAAATTATTAAGATCCGCCAAAAACTTCGTGGATAGCTTCATCTCTTCGTAACCTACAATATTTTTATTTGTATAAAAATTTGGAATCGGGGCATTATTAATATGAAGATCAGCAAGCTTTGTCTATTTAGGTACTAAAAACTCATAAATAACCACTTGAACCGTAGGATAATCTGATGATAAAAAGAATAAAGATGGCTTGTAAAATTAAATATCATTTTATTTAGTTTTCCTTTTTTTCCTCTAGAGTAATTACCATATAGGAAAGAAGAAAGACAGAATAAAAAAAAACAATAAAAAAAAACAATTATATCCTGAATCTGCTGTTGCGGTGCATTGCATAGACATTTCATTCAAATTAAAGAAGAAAAAAATGTATATATTGTAAGCATAATTATACTCTGTATATTGAGTTTGAAATATGTTGTAAGAATGAAAGAAAAGAAAATTTTACTATGAGAAATTTAGTCCTTAAGAATAACTATATGTAATGAACAATGGAGTGACATTTGCCTGACATTAAAAGACAATCAACAATTATTTAAATTACATAGTTATCGAACCTTAAAATTAAAATGAAGGAAAAACAAAAGTTAACACATGAAATTTTATATATATATATATATATATATATATATATATATATATATATATATATATATATATATATATATATAATAAGTAAGTGAGATTGGCAAAGGCGTGTACTAATGACCCCAAATGTAGAACTGTAATATAAGGAGAAATATCTGAAGCCCTCAAAGTTCGAACGTATTTACGGCAGGGAGATGGACTATTACCGCTGCTGTTCAACTTAGCTCTGGAGAAGGTATTAAGAACAACGTTACAGGAAAAGGGAGGGTCCACGTCGGAATTAATCACAAAATATTTGTGTAAGCAGGTGATATAACTGTCCTTGGAAGTAATCAAGAGGACATAGAGAAACTCGCCACGACTCAGATTAGAGGAGCAGAACAGATCGTTCTACGAGTAAACGCAGACAAAATACAAAATATATGATAATAACCCAAAAATTTCACCCCAATATCAGGATCTGCGTAGAATGAAAATCATTCCCGAGAGTTGACAATTCAAATATCTCGGCTCCATAATAACCTCAATGAATAACCAACGGGCAGAAATAGACTAGCGTAAGCAGAGCTTCTTTTTCCCTTTTAAAGGTATTGAAATCCCGAAAAATCTCAAATTAAGGGTGTACAATACTATGATAAAGCCAGTTGTAATATATGGCTGGGAAACCTGGACACTAACCAGCACCCTAGAAAAAAGTGTTGAAAGATTTGAGAGAAAAATCCTCCGCACGAAAACCGGAGCTATCTGGTGGGATCAGAGAGAAGAAAGGCCAATAAAGAACTGCTTAGAGAAACTGGTCAATCAATCTCCCATGATACGAAGGCACGGAGCTTGGGATGGGTGGGCATGTAGCTCGTAGCAATCCATCTGGCTCTACGTAACAATAAATGTCTCAATAGATGGCAAAAGACAACATGGAAGGCCAAAAAGCAGATGGATGGGAAGAATCAACAAAGATGCAATAGAGCTGCTTGCAGATAATGAGAAAGAAATATCCCAAGACAGGCAGAGATGGAGCAGGCTTGTTAAGGCGGCAAAAGAACTAGATGGTCTGAAATGACAACAGAAAATATATATATGAATTTTCTCCCATAGTTGTACTAATAAACAATGTAGATAATATATAGGTATCTGTAAGATAACAGTGAAATGAGGCTGACATTTATAAAATACAAAAATATTATTCTTACATATATCCGGAAGATTGATTGCTGAGGAGATGGGGAAATTAATTGGTGTTTAAATGAGGTTACGGATGAAGATTTGCCTCTCTCTTCCCCGTCTGTGACAATGAGTAGTCAAATCCAGAAGGTAAGAGGGTTTTAAGGTTGTAAAGAAGAAATACACCTTAGAAATATGGCCATCGGAAAACTGGATAGAGCCACTTCAACTCGGCATACTAACTGGAGACGTGGGAGCGTCTGGGGACTCCTGAAATGAATATAATAAAACAATTCATTAGTCTCTTCAATATGATTTCAAGCCAACCCTATACAATGCAGCCACAATCGAAGGGGTGGGTCTGGTTCCGTAACCTCACACTACGACAAAAAAAAAGGCTAGCCTCGACTCAGAGGACAGCTCTGTTTCGGGTCACCAGAGCGTACAGGACAACTTCACATGAAGCGGTGCAGGTCCTCTCTCCTCCTTTTAGAAGAAGTGACAAAATATTCTTATAAGATGTAAGGCTCTACAGTACTTTCGGGACAATCTGCAGGTGAGGATTATGGAAGCACCTAATACATGGAAGAAAATACTCCGGGAGGATACAACTGAAGCATGGAACCGCCGGGGGGTAACAACCCCTAAAGGAAGTACATTGAGGAAATACTTTCCTCAGTACAGTCCAGTCTTCAGACAAAGTGGGTCCTCACGGACTACTGGATTTCCCAGTTCCTCACTGTGCATGGAGGATTTCGAGCTAAACTTCACGGTCTGGGCATAGATGTATATCCTCTATGCCCAATCTGTAGTGTTCCGGAAACTGTAGAACGCGTGGTCACGACCTGCACCGCATTTGAAACGTTAAGAGCGACTATGACAAGAGCCGCGGGAATCTATATCCTCATTGAAAATGAGTTTCCTCAGTTAGTCAGCTAGGGAAATTTCCCGCGGTTTAAGGATTTCATAAATGGATGGAAAACGGCGGTGGGGCCCGCTCACTTCCATATTGGTGCCCGCAGAAGAAGAGGCCAAGCGCCAGGAAGACCTAAAGATTCTGGAAGTTAAGGCGAAACAGAAGAAGAAAGAACAGAAGAACTGCATATCATGTTAACTAGTAGTAGTGTGCTATTAAGCATTCATGTCTAATAATACATTATCGCAAACACCCGTATTGCCATCGTGGCATGGGAGGGTGGAATACATAAATAAATAAATAATAGTCACAATCGAAGTGAGGAAAAATGAGAGAGGAAACTAGGAGCTGGCGAGTTTTTAGAAGCATAGAATCGCGGAATCTCAGGGACTTTTTAAGGATATCAATAGATTTTCAGATAATTTGATAAATATTATGTGGATGAATAATGCTGATTTTAATGACAATCTATTAATGTTAATCATTTGGGTTGATGTTGTTGGATTATGTTTTGACGAAAGAATAAGAATCAATGATTATACAGTTATTTTTTCTAGAAGGAAAAGGGACGCACAGGAATAACCTATCAGAGAACTTAGTTACGTCTCTGTTAAGAGTTTGGAATCACTCAGGATTCGTAGATGATCAAGTATATTTTTATACCTCTTATTCCTAGTGAAAATGAGAACTTCTTGAATCGCCCCTTTGAATTAGTTCTTCCAATTTCTGGATTTTTCTTCCACCCCTTCTTTTCTTGAATTTACTTTATCAATTTCTATTATTACAAGTAAACCGATATTTATTTCAGCGATCCAGATATATGTAGAACGGTTGCGGCGGCGCATCTCCATAAAATCCTTAAAATATTGAGAACTAAAAAAGACACCAATCCACCCATGACTCCGAGAAGCCCATCAAACTGCGCTATGTTCTTACCAGTTGCGAAATTGTTTTATGGTAGGTTACTAAAAATACACCTAATTTAACTGAGTAAGCTTACTATATTTAATCGGGTACACTCGTTCATGTTTATGTACTTAAAAATTTTCTTCATGTTATCTTATTAGTTTCAGTTTATTTATCTTATATTCAATTTATAAAATGTTCCGATGTACCTGGAATAGTGAGTTAATTATTTTCTAAGTATTGACATTTTGCAAGGAAAGGTTTCCTGTTGTAGAATACAAATTTTCTGATTCTTACTGTTGAATAGAATCTGATGAAAAGAAACCAACAGCAATGAGACGAAACACATACTTTGCCGTTCATTATCATTTTTCAAAATTTCAGGAGAACCTGTCAAATTTTGATCTACCTTTATAGGTATGGAATCATCGAATCGGGTCTCAAATCTTTATCTTCTTATGTTGTAGACTTTTATTTATATTTTTTAATTAATGAAATGAATGAAAAAATAATCTTATTCTGATACTTAAGTTTTCTTAAGACCAACTGAAAGACCCAAACAGCATTAGACTGATTATCTATCGGCTGAGGCAAGATCTATCTTCTATAATGGAGACTGGAAATCGACTGTAAAGAACAAGAATGCCTGAAGACCGATGCTACAGGAACCCTTAACCTTACGTGGATTGTAGCATAATTATTTTCGAAACCTCAAGAGATACGCATATTACCCAGTATTACACCAAGTTGAAGTGGCTTTATCCGTCCTACCGCCGTCTATACTTCCTTGCTACATTTCTATACCAAGCCATCAGAACTCAGCGACCTTCCTATATTTTCCACAGCCTACAATTTAAATATTCCATTCAATCCCGTCCCACTAGATCCCGTTCTTCAGACCTCTATCCACCTCCTCACCGAACTGCTGCGTTTGACAAATCCTTTTTAATTCAAGCCGTCTCCACCTGGAATACCATCCCTCCCGATATCCGACATGCACAATCAGTTTCCTCATTCAAATCTCTCCTTTTTAAACACCTACTTCTTTGATGACAAACAACATTTAAGTCACACAAAATTCTTAAAACTAAAACAGTGTAGTATTTTAATAGATGATTCCTTTTACAGTTTCATTGAGTTTACGAAAACAAAATAGAACACCGTGAAACAAATTCTATTATACCTGCTAGTAGATAGATGGAGTCCTTTGTAAAGGAGTTGTAATGTACACGATCGATATGTTTATGAAGTTCACACTGTAGCGATTTTTGAGGTGGCTTAGCCCAGAGAAATCGGCGCCTATGGATTGTAATGCCAAAATTGATGATGATGATGACTTAAGTTTTCTAAGAATAATAACCTCTTCTAATAACCTCTAACAATCTTGTAACCTCTCTTTTTTTCAGTTTGATATTACTTTATACGGTTACTTGGTATATCGAGCGCTGTCTGCGCGGCTGGAGAGGAAACTAAAGAGACTGATGAATTGTGTCATAAGATTCATCTTTGAGATTCTCATGTTTCCTTTTGGTATACCGATTTGAAGTGGCTCTATTTTACTCCCACGCGCAATTCCTCCTTGTTGGTTTCTTTTTCCAAATCCTCAGGACCATAAACCCTTCCAATATCCTAGATTTTGGTTTTCGTCCCCTTATTCACTCTCTAACTAATAGATTTCAACCTATTGATTTTTTTATTCTCTACCTTCAGCAAATTTTTCGCCTTTTGTGCAATTTCCTTTTTTAACTCTACCAATTTTCATACGTTTATCATCGTCCACAAATTCTTTCAAACAACTCTTATTCTGACACCTTTTTCATGTTCAAAATATGCATGAGTTATTTGTTTTTGGATTTAAATGATTACTTATTATTAATTTACAAGTATCTTAGTTTGTTGTCAGTTTAGTTATTATTATTCTCAGGGCAATGTTCATGATTTCTAAACACTTCAATTATTCTTAGAGGAGTTAAGTCCCAAAGAAAAATATTATTTCATCCATTTTTTATTGTGAAATCTTAAGTGAAGCGTATTTACTAGTAAAGCTGCAAAAGTAGTCCGTTTTAATCGAATTATTAAAATTTACCTAAAACTTCGTGAATAGCTTCATCTATTTACGTATAAATTTTGTATTAACAAAAATTCTCTGAAATGTGGCATTTTCAATCTGGAGATCGGCAAACAGTGTGTTGTAGGCCAAACGACCCAATATTTTTGTAAGCCATCTTTTGTTTAGATTTTGTGATAAAATTATTTTACAATGCAAGTGGAAAGCAAATGGGTGTCTATGAGCTTTTAGTAACTCGTTAAGTTAATTTATTTAATTAACTCATTAAATAGATTAATTTAATTTCTGAGAATTTCAGTAGATAAAATATGTGTTGGTTACAATAAGATGAAGCCATTCACAAAGTTTTAGGCGGATATTAATAATTTTATAAAAAGGAATCAGTAGCTAGGAGATCAATTTAGTAATTTCTTTAAATTACGAAATTAATCGGTTAATAAAATTATATATTTATTTTGCCTCATAGTAAAAAGTTGACTTTTTAGATAAGTCTGTATGGGTACTCAAAAACGATAGGCCTATGACAAGGAATGTTCAAGACGTTTATGTTTTTGTAACTGTTTATTCCTTCCTCGATGAAGAAGCCAGAAAAATCATTAATCCGATCAGCATATATCTACAATCGTTACAATACCTACCTTTGAAGGAATTACAAGCAAAAGGGTAATGAAAATGGTTAATAATTTCTTCATCATAATATAATTTCTTGAATGTTGATAAGTCTTGCAGGATAAGCAAAGTATTTGTGGAATATGAACTTGATCCAATTATTCCTAAAACAAGAACGAAAGTATTATATGTAAGGCAGCGCAGCATAATCCCCTTCAAAGATCTTCACGTGTTTTTCACCGAACAATTTAGTCCTTTATCGATTATGAGCTGTTTTCAAACGAAAAAGTTATACGTGAGAGTAAGTTGAAACTTTCAAACTAGAATAAGACCAAGTAATTTCTACTGCATAGTTCCGTTTCTCTATCCAAGATGGCGGCTAGATTTCAGATCACCAATGCATGCTACTTCTAATCCTAACCGAATTTGATGCTCTTCAAGTTTTATGATTTTCTTTTCTGCTAGGAAACCCATTTCAAAGCTGCAGGACCATTTATAATAATTTGTCTCAGTTTTTGGCAAATTTGATAAAAAGCACCGTTCGTTAACCGACCACTTAAGTCTCCTTCGGCTTACAATTTAATGTTATTTAACTTCATAGATTAATTTTTTTCGCTTCAATTCACCGTTTAGGAGTTATAAATGGGAAAAAAAAATCGAAAAAGTATTGCTTTTTTTGGATGTAAAATGTTTATCCCTTGGTGGACCGGTTTAGCAATATTGTTTATACATGTTTAAATCCATATATACAAGTTAACAAAATCAAATCTTTTCACACATTTTTCACAATAAGTTATATAATAAGATCCTAAAGTTACTGGCCTAATATTCATAAAATCAGTCGCCATTGTTTAAGGTAACATGAACCGACTGTCAGACTCTCCTTTTTACTCTCCTACCTATAGTAGGTAAGGGAAGTATTGCAATCTGGTCAAATTTCCGACATGCGGTTTTTGACGGATCTATACGTTTCAGAGCCCCCTGAGTCTGAAAAACACATTTTTAGCCATAGGTCTGTCTGTGCCAAGATTTTCTCGGGAACTGCTTAACCGATTTTGTTGCTTCTTTTTTTATTTTGTAGGGTTTCGACTACTGATGGCTGTGACAGAAATTCATTGTTCCATGCGTAATAGCTTGCGCGCAATAAACGAAAAACACGTTTTTCTATAATGCTAATATTTCTATAAGACTGTAGCGCATAAACGGCTCTAAAGATTTTGATGAAACTTTCCTATAATGTTCTAATCATTGTTTTTTTTTCAACTTTTGTATATAAACTAAATTCCCCTAAAAATTCAGGGAAAAAAGTTACAAGGAAAAGAAAAATGTTATGGGGCCTAACTCCCTAAGTATATATTATACGATAAAATTTATAATAACACTTTTGAAAGATAATTAAATTATCAACGAAACAAAAAAAAAATCATCGGAATCGAACCATTATTAGCGATGATACAGCTTATTCTATTTTTTACACATGTTACAACTTTTACACATTGTTTTCCTACCTATACTAGGTAAGGAAAGTATTGCAATCGGGTCAAATTTCCGATATGCGGTTTTCGACGGATCTATACGTCCGAAAAACGGGGTTTGAAAGGTTATGAAATTTCCGACAAAGCCATATAAAAATCTTTCATTTTGGACAATTATTAACAAGTTACAGCTATTCAATATCCAACATAAGATTACGGGTACATATCCTGGTTTCAGAAAGGGGTGAACGAGATAATAAAGATGACTAAGTGTGAAAATAAAGAAAATGTGTTGTCCGCATCACACAAGCTCCACTTTTAACAGAAATTATTGTTTGACAATACTAAGCTATGGCAAAAAGTTTTTGATCAGCAATATTAGTGAGCATTGAAATTTTTACACTGATCTACCTTAAGCCGCCGGTTTACATTGCTTTAGTTTATCAAATAAATCGCACTCAAATCTTTTCTTTGATCAATTTTCAGGAAAATAAATCTAGTTCAATTCTTTTTTTTTTTCTTCATGAACATATGTAAAGATATAAATACTTTTCTGAAATAGGCAGGAAAGTCATGTGAGTGGACACACCAGATATTTTTAATATAAATGTTATGAATAATCAAAAAATGATCAATTTTTTTGCACCGGCTTTCGGACTATCAACACTGGGATTTTGAAACCGACCGCCATATTGGAATAGAAGAGAGAACTATATATATATATATATACACATATTCTTCTTTTTTGCAGACCTTAAATTTATTTATTATAACCACAGTCTTTTTTAGGTAATAGGGATCAAAGATAGCCTTTCACAGGAAAAAGATGATAAAGTAGTGGTATACGGTGAAGATCTCAACGATGATCGGCTTTCGTCATGCATCAAAACACCTTTTACCATCCTTCAACACCAACGAGTTGTCAGATCGCCTGTCCCGAAATCTAAATCAACCCGTGCACGATCTACTAAGCGCCGAAGTTCAGCCTCAAGAAGTGTAAGGAATAAAATGAGAAAAAAATTTGAACAATTGGTTTTATTTCAGAGCAAGGCTTATCATGCCCTTATCGGAACTGCAAGAATCGATTTATCACCTTTGGTATTTGGAAACAGTTCGGTCATCGCTTATGAAGAATTATCTTCCCTGCCTGTATTAATTGCAAGTATTGTGTTAATTTTTGATCAATTATTATAACTCTGTTAAATTTAACTTGAGGAGGTTCATATTTGTCGCGATCGTTTGTACATAACAAGGTTTAGTGATCCTAAAATCAGCTGATGAAAGTGCTTACTTCGTAGGAAAGTCAACAAAACAGGACCGAAACCGGTATAACCGTTCGTATGAGGATTCTGGCATTTAAACAAGCAGAGATTTGCGATATTATCGATATATTCCTTTCGATATTGGCCAATATTGTATTGCAACACGGTGTTTAAATATATATACACACACTTGTAAAGACACTTTTTTGGTTTATTATTTTAAAAAATCAACCATTGTGATCGACCAAAAAATTCAAAAACTTAACCCCCTCTCAAAATTTGAGGTTTCACGTTTCAGGACGCGTAGAATCCAAGAAACGAATAAAAATTGTTTTGTCCGTCCGCCGTCCGCGCATTTTCTTCGAAACTACTGGACCGATTTTTTTTTCAAATTTTGATATAAAATCAGAAGTCACCCGAGGATGAACCTCCTTCATCGAAATTATTCTCCGCCTTTAACTTTCAAAATGGTGGCCGAAAAACCTGCGTTGCTATAGACTGTAGCTCCTAAACGAATGTACAGATTTAAATGAAACTTCGCTAAAGTCATTTTCTCGACGCCCTTTAAATTTATCTATATGACATACTTCAACGAAAGAAGCTGGGAAAAAAGTTACGAGGGATGGTAAAATTAAATTCGGAATAACTCGAAAAGTGTTTACTTTATTGTTGATATTGTATATAGTTTTTTTAAAGTTTACGAAATTTCCTTTAAAAAATCGTTAAAATCGGACAATTAGGAGCAAAGATATGGTCTCCGTTTTTTTTTAATATGTTTTACTCCAAATGTTATATCCTTGGTTTGGTTTTTAAATTTTGAATGTCTTACTGAACTAATGCTATTATTTTTTTAGCATATTACTAACGATTAAAGAAAAACAGTTTAGTCCAATAATTGGAATCACCTTTTGTTTTTTTTTCTTTGTAACTCGGAAGGTAATGTTACTTTAGATGTATAAATGTTTGGAAATATTAAACCATTGTGAAATAATTTGCAGCGTTTTTTTTTTTTTAGAATAACCCCCGAACTGTAGACTTTGAGCGTTTAAGTATCACACTTGTTCATGAGGATCTATGTAAATACGAGAATGGCGTATTTAATAACAGATCATTATATGAAAATAATACCATGATTAAGGTGAGCCGTTCATATAATATATAATAATAATTATATATATATATATATATATATATATATATATATATATATATATATATATAATATAATAATAAGGCTTAGCGAACCCGAAGGTTCGATGCCGACACCACCAATCGCTTGTTACACACCTCCCTCCACCGTTCGCCGTCCAAACCCAGTCCCTTCAGATCGGCTTTAATGCAATCCTCCCATCTTCGCTTCGGTCTACCCCTCGGACGCTTACCATTCGGCACAGCAAATATTAACCTTTTAGGAATTCTCTCGTTACTAAGCCCAACAACTTTACAAGCCCATTTGATTCGCCGCGATGAAATTACCTCAATTATATTACCCGGATACATCTCACGCAATTCGGCGTTGTGTAACCGTCTGAACTCTCCGGTTAACTCATCCTTTTTCGGTCCGAATATTCTACGCAATACTTTGTTTTCAAAAACCTTAAGACGCTGCTCATCCCTTAATGTAAGCGGCCAAGTTTCGCATCCATAAAGAACTGTAGGTAAGATAATTGTTTTATAGATTCTAATTTTTAAGTTTCGGGACAAGAGGCGCGAACTAAGTAGTTTTGTCACAGAAAAATAACAAGCGTTCCCCGCCTTCAGTCTAACCTTAATCTCTTCTTCAATTTCGTTTTTTCTAGTTATCGTAGAACCTAGATACTTAAATTTACCTACCTGTTCAAACATATTACCATCTATATCGATATCACCAGTAGTATCGCCATTTTTGCAGCTAACCATATATTTTGTTTTATCCACGTTTATTTCGAGTCCTAGTTCTTTCCCGGCTTTCATTAACGTTGTCGTATTCAGTTTTATAGTTTCAACGTCTTCGCTTAACAGTACCAGATCATCAGCATAGCCCAGCACGGATGTTGTCCCGCCCAGATCCAACCCTTTCTCGGTTCGCATTACCTCCCTAATGGCATGTTCTAATGCCAAATTGAACAGGACAGGCGAAAGAGAATCCCCCTGTTTTAAGCCCGAACGAACCTCAAATTTTTCGGACAAATTATTACCGATTCTAACTTTATTGAGTGTCTCCGTCAAGCACATCCTGACTAGATTTACTAGTTTTTTTGGAATCCCCTGCTCGATTAGAATATTATACAATATCTGGCGGTCAATAGAATCGTAAGCCTTTTTAAAATCTATATACAGCTGGTGAACAATACCGTTATACTCCAATTTTTTCTCTAATATTTGCCGTAAAGAAAATATTTGATCAATAGTCGAACGATTCCGTCTAAATCCGCATTGGTAGTCTCCGATAATTTCCTCGGCGTATTCCGTGATTCGACTGGTTAAGATTAAAGTGAATATTTTATAACATACCGGAAGGAGTGAAATTCCTCGATAGTTATTACAATCCGTCCTCGGACCCTTTTTGTGAATCGGAATAAGAATAGATTCTTTCCATTCTTCAGGTAATTTCTCGTTCACCCAGATCTTTTTAACCAACCGATGTATTTTAGAAACTCCAGCTTCCCCGCATGCCTTAATTAGTTCAGTAGGAATATTATCGATTCCCGCTGCTTTATATGATTTTAATTTTCCGATAGCTACTTCAACTTCCTCTTTACTTGGTCCTTCTATTAATGGTTCAGCACTCTGGTACTCAGAAGGAGGACACAGATCATAATTTACCGTATTTAAAATATTGTCAAAGTGGTCCTTAAACTTATTCAATATGTCAACCGGATCGGTCAGAATATTGTTATTATCATCCCTAATTCCAGACGTTACGGGCCCTACATATTTACGTGATATGTTTATACCTTTGTACATGTCTCTTACGTTATTTTCGATTCTATTAGTTTCTATTTCAATTATTTTATTTTTAAGATACTCCCTTTTTTTATTTTTGAGCAATTTTGTCGTTTCGTTCTTTGAGATTCGGAAGTATTCCAGATTGTCTTCGCTAGGATTATTTAGAGCTTTTAATTTAGCGGCTTTTCTTTTTTCACACATGTTTAAGCAATCTTCATCAAACCACGGTTTGTTATTCTTATTTTCCTTTTTTCCTAGACACGAGTTACCGACCGCTTTAATATTATCTCTGATCTCTATCCATAACTTGTCAATATCCTCGTGGTCCTCGTCAGGAAGCTCTAAAGCTTCAAACCTATTCTTAACATCTAGCTCGAATTGGTTTCTAATTGATGTATATATATATATATATATATATATATATATATATATATATGTGTGTGTGTGTGTGTGTGTGAGTGTGTGTGTGTGTGTGTGTTTCTTTTATGAGCATGGAAAAGATTTCCAGTTACTTTTCACTTAGAATTGTTTCATTTCTATTCATAAGATTTTAAATCTTCGAGACGTATTTAATTTTTTAATAAAATTGAACGCACTCCTCTATATGTATATTATCTTTTTTTTCTTCTTTTGTTATCTCCTATCAATCTACGTCTTAGTATATAGATAAAACTTTTCTAATGTTTACAGTACCATTATGAGTACTCATTTAAACATACTAAGGTAAAGACGTAAATCATTTATTGTAAATGATGTAGAGTTGAAGTGGCTTTATCCTTCCTATCCAATCCCACCTTCCTTCATACATCTCCGAGCTTCTTCAATTAAAATCCTCTGTTGGTTCCCTCAATACCCGTTCCCAGTCTCCTGATTTGTACATAAGGGCCCACCGAACCGCTGCTTTCGACAGATCGTTCATTATCCGATCCTCATCCTTATAGGGGACCCTACACGGTCAGTCGGAATTGGACTAATGACGTTCCGAATTGTCGTGTAAGGTAGTGAATGAAGTACTGATGGTGGTGCGCTGCGGATTTCCGAACATCCGGAAATCAAAGGTTCATTCACGAGAAGTGGAGGGGGGACTGAGGTAAAAGTAGTGGGGAGACTAACCATACTGCTGGATAGGTTAGGTTACCTAGGCCTCACAACCATTATAAATTCCTGATTTTCATTATATGTAAATAGTTAAATAATTTTTCATATCCCTTGTTTATAATTTTAAACCATCTTCAACTATTTCTTTTAAATAGTCAAGTGGGCAACAAATTAAAAAAAATGAGGAAACTTCACAATTTACTTGAAAGAAAAAAAAAAAAACTTTAACGTTGTGTATATTTATCAGTTCTTTTCCCATTTTCCTCAACAAATTTATTATTTTCGCAATACCTTTCCTTAATTTTTGTAAGTAGTAGACTTATATTTTACTAACTTTTGTCAAAACGATATGAGACTAACCTTACTACTAGATAGGTTAGTTTACCTAGGTCTCGTTATTAAGTAAATAATTTCATAAAAGTAAATAGTTGTTTATATCCCTAGTCTATATTATTATTAAACATTTTCAACTATTTTTTCTTTAAATAGTCAAGTAGGCAATAAATTGGAGAGAAAAAAAAGTGGAAACTTCACAATTTACTTATAGAAAAAAATCTTTAACTGTTGTGTTTATTTGCCATTAATTTTTCCATTTTTCTTAACAAATTGATTATTTTCGCAATACTTTTCATAGATTTTTGTATGTAGTTGACTTATATTTTGGACTAACTTTGGTCTAAACGATTTTCAGGCACTAGGAAGTAATTATTATATCTCCGTTTTTCTCTTGATGCCCAATATTATAAATGACAATGTCCAAATATCTATGCTGTTTCTTTGTTTACAACTGCGCTAAAATGGCTTCAGCAATGATAAGTAATGATTGAACGTGTAAGGGTCTTCATGATCAAAGCGATAGTGGGCAATCTTGGAACTTCTTGTGACGTTCATTCATGAATTACCGTGTAGGGTCTGCTTATGGAACTCCATCCCTCCCAGCATCCGTCGATCCAATACCCTTCCTACCTTTAAATCCCGCCTGTTCAATCATTTCTTATCCATCCAGTCCCCATAAAATTGTAAATAGATACCACTGTAAATATGTATATAAATTATTAGATTGTTCTTCATTATTTTTAGTTTATTTTAATTTTTTTTTATTATTAACATACTTAAGTTAGAAAGTTACATATAATTTTTAATATGACTATTTCATTACTCAACATTTCTTTTTATGTATCTCTGAGGCTCCTTAGCCCACATTACTGTCCTTATGTATTATTCTAAAGGGACTTGTCCCAGAATAAATAAAGTATTATTATTATTATTAAATATTTATCTATATTTTTTTTTTACTTTTTATTATTATCTTTTTCATTACTAAAATGGTGTTCCAACAAAAGTAATTTATCGTTCTTCCGATTTCATTTAGTTATTTCTTACTTTATTGGTTGTAGCAGCTATTTTGCAATGTTGTGGCCTTATTGCTCATATTTTGTCTTTAATATATCTGTATAGCTATGTTCTCTTATTACTTATTTTTTTATTTTAATATGTATTTGGGCCACATTTAATGATAATTTTTATGTCCAATATTGTTATTCTTAAGAGACTTTGTCCCAGAATACAGTTGATTCTTATATTCTATACAATAATATTTTTTTTCTTTACAGTTGACAGCAAAATGTGCATTTTTACTGACACCTCAGCTGGTTAATACAGATCCATGCATAAATTATGCATTCAGTCGTGTCATCACTATATTAGTGGACAAAGAATTCGCAACAGAAACATTACAGGTAATCCATTATATTAGTTTATTTTACAGAAATAAATATGGTATTGGTTTTAAAATTTAAATTTATTACTTAGAGTGCTACCAATGGGTAGTTTCTTAACAAGCGTGTTTCATGTGATAATATTCCTTTGTACACATTTACTTGATGTATTCATACTAATACATTTGTAAATATCATAATAAAAGTTTAAAAAATAAAAAATTTATTACATCAAATTTTGAAAAATTATTATTATACCTCTTATTGTTTCCTCGCTAAAGTAGGATTCGTGCGAGAAATTAGAAACATATTTGAGCTCAAAATACAAAATGTCCTTTTACATTTTAAACATCACAGAACAAATGAGTCGTTTATTTCCAAAAGAAACCCTGATCAATTTTTATGGAAATCGAGACAAGTATCAAATAGTATAAAAAAAAAAAAAAAAATCAAGAATCCGATGATACAATTATTTTTTAATAAAAAATAAATATTAAAACAAATGGTATAAAAATAAGCCAGTGTCTGACTAGGCTCTACCAAGAGGAGTCCACAATATAATTAAGGGATAAATTATGAAAATATAAAAATTATGATAAATCTTTTTAAAAATAAGATAATATAAGTACTGTCTGATGTAGTATGAAGTACTGTAATACTGTCTGAAGATAGGATAAGAAAGTGATCTCGAAACATCATAAAAATAAAGAAAAATTTTTGGGATAGTAAATGCTGTAATTAAATTTTATTTATATACCTCAGATAAAAAGCATCTCTCTTAGGACTTGTGAAGAAAATAAGTTTATTTCCGAAACCGGCCTTTTTTTCAAGGAATGTAATGAAACTTGAATTTCTTTAGCATTATTAAAAAAAATTATCAAACTTTTATAACCGTTTTAAACAAATAAAAAAAATTAATTAAAAAATTAGTTAATGATTTATAGTATGATTTTTATGACATTTTCCCTCTGAATCATACATAATTTTTTCTCTCCAAAACGAGCCTTGAAGTTTATTTCTTTCCAAAAGAAATTCAAGTTTCAATATATTTTATTTACTGCTGGAATAATCAGTGATTTTCGAATTTATGTTCCAAAACTAAACAATTTATAATTTTTTTTTTAAATATTGGTTTTGGTATAACAAGGAATAGAAAATATATATTTTCGCGTTTTTTGAAAAATTGTCAATAATGATTAGGATTGACTTTCAAAATAAACGACACAAGGAACAAATTTTGTATTTATTAATATAAATTTTTCAGAGACGTTGTTAACAAAGTGAACCACAGACGTATCTATATGGGGAGGAGGTTCAGGCAGAAAATCCCCTCCCCTCACCCTCCTCCCCTCAAAATGGTAAAATATTACCATGTTTTACAGAAAAAAGTATTAAAAACTATCTCTTAAAGTTTTCTTGTTCGTGTAATTAAATTTAATAGAACTTCAAGAGCCACTTAAACACCATTTAATGTAGGTAGTTAAATTATTTTTTTTTTCAAATTAATTATCGTTATAAATATATGAAAAAAAGCTTTCGGGCTGAAGCTCTCCCCCAAAAAAAAATTACATTCTAGATCTACTAATGAGGTGAACCAATATCAATTCTGATAACTATAACCTTTTCTTGTGCAAACTCTATACTTCACATAAAGACATATATATATATATATATATATATATATATATATATGTATGTATATGTATATAACCAGAAAGTAATGTTTTTGATTTGATTGTCATTTGATGATTCGATTATCATTTGTCAGCTCATGTCTATGTCGTGGCAAAGACATTCTATAGTTAGAGTGACTTCATTAGTTGCAAATAATTAAATTAATTTTTTTTTGTTGTAAAGTGTGGTGAAATGGTAAGCCAAATACCAGAAGAGGTACATATTCTGGCATTCCATGCTATTTGAGTTTCGCAAGACAGTTGCTAACAAAAATATTTGCGATGTTTATCCAAATGCACTAGACATTCTTAAATGCCAAAGGTGGTTTTTCAAATTTAAATCCGGTAATTACGATCTTTCAGACTCCTATCGATTCGGGCGGATTTACGGGGGGAGGGCTTTCGGGCCGAAGCCCTCCCCAAAATGGTAAAATATAGCCATGTTTTATCGAAAAAAATATTTAAAAAGTATCTCTTAAAGTATTATTGTTCGTGTAATTAAATTTAAAAGGGCTTTAGGAATCACTTAAACACCATTTCGCACAGGTAGTTAGTTTCTTTCTTTTTTTCCAAAGTAATTATCGTTATTTTTATCAAAAAAATAGCTTTCGGGCTGAAGCCTCCCCCAAAATTAGATCCTGGATCCGCTAGTGCCATCGCAGAACATATGCAACAGATTGGGAAACCAACACATGCAACTTATTGCTTCAACGGCACAATACAGAAGTGTTTTTTGATGGCTTGATCACCGGAGATGAAAAATGGGTCCTATATAATAATTCAAAACGCAAAAGGCAGTGGCTCTCTCCAAAACAATCTTCACGAAGAAGCACAGGCGGATACGAGGGGGGGGGGGCTTTCGGGCTGAAGCCCCTCCAAAATGGTAAAATGTGACTATGTTTTATGGTAAAAAATGTTAAAAAATTATGTCTTAAAGTTTTATTGCTCGTTTAATTACATTTAATAGAACTTCAAGAATCACTTAAACACCATTTCATATAGGTAGTTAGTATCTTTATGTTTTTCTAAAGTAATTATTGTTATATATATGAAAAAAAAGCTTCCGGGCTGAAGCCCCCGCCCTCCAAAATTAAATCCTGGATCCGCTAGTGCGAAGTAGTGCTAAGCCAGGTTTACATCCCAAAAACACCCTTTTGTGTATTTGGTGAAATATTCCTGATTTGTTCATTTTGAAGTGGTAAAAACTGGACAAACTGTGAATGCAGATCTTTACTGTAAATAATTGGATCGTGTAAATCAATCTTTAATTAAAAAGTATTTGGCAACAGAAAAGGCATTATTCTGCAACATGAAAATGCAAGATCGCACTACGTAAGTCGAACTAAGGAAAAAATGAATAAATTGGGGTGGGAGATACTGGTTGATCCACCATACCATCGGATTTCCATTTGTTCGTGTAGTTTCATCACTTTCTATGGGCCAAAAGATTTACAAATTTGAATAATGCTATCTCTGTAGAGTTAATGCATGTTATCTGGCAGCACTGCTAAGCTATTGTAAACAAAACAGGTTGGTTTGGGTGAGGTTACTCAGTGAGTAGTAGTCCCTTGTTCCTGATAGTGTGATGTTTATGTAGAGTAATTAAAGGTGTGTAGTGTATTGTGATATAAAGTTTATCAACAGAGAGCCTCATTTGTTTCCTGACATCACAATCTCTATGTATTTTGCTCAAAAAACAATTTATTTTTATAGATCCTGCATTGAAAATTTGCACACTAGGTGGCATAAGGTTGTTGATAATGAGGTTGCTCCTATCAATGATTAAAAATAAAAGCCCATGGACATTACTTTCTGGTTCCTTTAAAATATATATATTACTGACATTAATCGTTAACTTGTTTAAAGATGTGTATAACTTTTTAGGCAATATTCATGTACAACAGGGAATCATTGGATATGCGGGGTTATAGCTTGCCATTAGTCCCATTTCGAAAAATGTATAAGCCAAACCAACCTCCGGTCTTGAAGTCTATTTTCACATTTCAACCCGATAACTCGATTATATCTGATGAGGAAGATTCCTACGATCCGATAGACACTACCACTCAAGACGCCTACTTTACTGGTAAAAAAATAATATTATTTCATAATGTTAGAAATGCCATATTTTCATAATATGACATTAAGAATTTAAGTTATATTCCTTTGAGTTCTACCAATGGGTAGTTTCTTTTCATGTTGTACATGCCATGTTACAAATTTCTCATTTACTTATTGTATTCTCTATGTAATACAGTTGTAAAGTCCATTAAAAAATAATTAAAAAAAAAAAAGTTATATTCCTAGATATGGATCGTGGATCGCGATAAAACTGATTGCAAGTCTTCTAACGTGTGATGTTAGAAAATTTTGCTGTCCCCCCACAGTTCAAGTCCTTATGTCCATATAGGTTTCAGGATTGTCTTACAGATAAGTAATTTGTTTTCAATAGAAAGTTTAGATTTTCTGTTTAGTAGTCTGTATAACTGGCCGTATCTTCGGTTGAGTTCTTGTCTTTTGAGTCTAGTATGTGGGTTTCATGTTAGTACTGCCGATAATAAAAATTTATATCATAGTGGACCACGGAAAAAAATTTAATATTGAAATATTGTTGGCATAATAATACGTACAAGTAAAGTCACCCTTGATATGAAGCTCAGAGAGAAATTTAACATCATCCTTCGGAATATCTAGGATGGTCCTTGCCCTAAACAGCCTTAGTCGAATGGAAGGTACGTTGATCCCATTTAAAGATATAGTTTTGAATATTTTCTAGTAGGCATCTCAATCATGGTATCAGAATCTTTCTCACGGCTCGAACAAGAAATTATCAATGAAATGTTCTATGTGTGTCCAGGGTGTACCGTACCCTGTCTCATGAGACGGTACAGATTTTAGGAGTACTTCTCGACCTCCTGGGAGGAGACACATTGAATCATATGTTTAAGCAATGAGGCTCAACAGGTCTGCCGTCTTAATCTTCAGGTGAGGATTAACGAAAATCGTAGAATATGAAAAAAAACATTATTCGGGAGGATAAGACAGAAGAGTAAAATCGGTAATGTGGGACAACTATGAAAGTTACAAGCAAAATAGTTCCTCCCACGCAGAGTTCGCTACTCTGAGTACAGAGTGCGAAATATTTTACTCAAATCGAATCACTATCGGAAATTCAATCACTACTTCAGTTAATCGTTTGACATCAACTGAGCTAGTAATTAAATTATTTGGTACTCAAAAAGGTCAGTATTTGAGTAAAATGCTGAAGGCGGGAAATGCTTGTTATTTTTCTGTGACAAAACTACTGAGCTCGCACATCTTGTCCCAGAATTTAAAGACTAGAATCTATAAAACCATTATCTTACCTACAGTTCTTTATGTATGCGAAACGTGGCCGCTTACATCAAGGGATGAGAAACGTCTTAACGTTTTTGAAAATAAAGTATTGCGTAGAATATTCGGACCAAAGAAAGATGAATTAACCGGAGAGTTCAGAAGGTTGGACAACGCCAAATAGCGTGAACTGTATTCAGTTAATATAATTGAGGTGATTATATCGCGGTGAATCAAATAGAGTTTGCTGTTGATATTTGCTGAACCGAATGGTAAACGCCCGAGGAGCAGACCAAAGCGAAGATGGGAAGATTGCGTTAAAGCCGTTCTGAAGGGACTGGGTTTGGATGCCGAACGGTGGAGGGAGGCAATAAGCGATTGGTGGTGAACCTCCGGGTTCGCTAAGCCTTAAATTATTATTAGAGTAAAACTCAGTACTTATAGTAGCATATGCTCATCTCAGCTTCTACAACACTGGGCCTTGCAAATTTTTACAGAGAATGGTGTCTTTCAGGATACACTACAATTTGGGAAGTATATCGAACCCATATGCTGCGGCGTCCTGAAATACGCTAAACACATCCTCTTAATTGTATTGCCTTGGGAATTCAAAGAACGATTTCCCTTAGTTAGTGACCAAGAATAACTACCCGTACTACGAAGAATTTTTCTACGGTTGGAAAACGACAGTGCACCCATTTTAATCATGAAAAGCTCCTGGAAGACGATGAGGGAAATTTGTTTCAGACAGTGTATAAAACTGGATGGAGAAGATGATTACCACCAGAGTGGATGACCAGCTTAACAGGTTAATGTTTTCATGGCCTGTATTTTCGAAAGGCAGGGAAGGTTGATACTAAAAATAAATATTAATTGAATTAGAAATTAGAACAATTTAACTATTCTGATTATTATTGTGAAAACATAACCAGTAAGTCTGTAGTTTTTTTTTAAACCATTTTTCAGGTTTCTGCATAGACTGTGTGAATCAAGTGCTTATGTATGTTGAAGGTCCGACAATTAGCACTTTTCCAACACTTCTAACAGAACTTGTAAAATTTAATACAAGCCAAGGAAGAATTCTTTACAGCAGTGACTTGATTTATGAAACTGTGAGTATTCAGCTTAGCTTTATTCATCCTCCATTTTTCATTATTGTAACATACTAATGCTTAATGAATTTTCAATTTAAAGAGAATTTATGATGTTTTCAAAAAATATGGAGGCTTATACTGCATTACAATGAAAAGCACCATTGACAATTTTCTCAACAAAGGGAGTTCTTTATGCTATGGCGTTTCAGTTCCAGAACCTGCTTGGAAAGTAATATTTTTTTTTTATAAAAACTTATTTAATATTTATTAAGACATTGAATGAGTTCTCGCTGTTTCTTAAAAGATGACACGCCAGTACAAACTATGTTCATTTCAGATAGTAACTGTCGGTAAGCTTGAACTACAGTGTATGTTAAATTACCACAGTACAAACAAAATATTCTCTCTTGGTTCTAAAAATGTCGATTGCGGAGTAATTCGACTTACCGAAAGTGCAATTTTATATTTTTAATTTTATAAATTGTTGCTATTTTACCGAAAATGTTAAAGCCATTTTTTTTTTTTTTTTTTTAACGGGACCACTTAACCCTTTGATTGCGGGAGGTAATTCAGGTGTTTTTACCAGATGGCGGGTTCCGAAATCCAAAAAGACGTTAAAAAAAACGGATTTTTTTTGTTCTCTTGTTTAAAATGCTATTTTGAGTCACCTTTTAAGATTTTAGCTTTCAAAAATGCATTTTAACGTTTTTATTTAACTTTTAAAAAATGGGATATATGCCTTCCAGGCCACACATAGCAATACAACATTAGAACGGCAATCCCGCAACACTTTGCTTTTTTGCGGGTTTGCTCATTTTTGGAAAGCAAAATAACTGAAAATTATCATAAAAATAACTGTAAGTGATCATAAAAATTAAATTATATTATTTCTAAAAAAATAGGACACCGATGGTGGGATTCGAATTATATATTTCTTTGTATTTACAAATTTTTTTTTTATCTAAAAAAGTTCCATATTGAAACATAGCACAGTTATAAATTTTATTATAGTATTTATATTTATTTTGACTTGCAAACACTTTTATATTATATATGAAACATATACACGGGCGGATCTACGGGGGGGGGGGCTTTCGGGCTGAAGCTCCCCCCAAAATGGTAAAATATAACCATGTTTTATCGAAAAAATATTAAAAAAGTATCTCTTAAACTATTATTATTCGTGTAATTAGATTTAAAAGGGCTTTAGGAATAACTTAAACACCATTTCATACAGGTAGTTAGTTTCTTTCTTTTTTTCCAAAGTAATTATCGTTATTTTTATGAAAAAAAAAAACTTTCGGGCTGAAGCTCCCCCCAAAAATAAATCCTGGATCCGCTAGTGAACATATATATTGTTTTTAGGTGTATGAAAAAATGATAAAACAACTAAAATATAAGTTTAATTTGTATATTTTTACATTTATTAATGTAATGTGTATTATTACATTGTAATTTTTACATTTATTTATTACATTATATATATATATATATATACATACATATATATATATATATATATATATATATATATATATATATATATATATATATATATATATACATACATATAAATATATATATATATATATATATATATATATATATAATGCAGGAAAATTGCATTGATTTGTTCAGCAGACAGAGATTCACTTGTATCAAAATCAGCATTCAGTCAAAACCTAAATTAAAAAAAAAAAAATTAATATAAAAAAGATCATGCATATGACACAAATAATAGAGAAAGGACATACCTTGGGTTCAGAATAAATCTGCAACTAATAGCTTCCAAATGGTCAGAATCCTGCAGCTACAGCTACAGAGGACTAATGAATGCTTCAGCCACAAGTCAAATGCTGAAGGCGAGACTTGCCCTCACCTGTTTAAGTGGCGACAGACAAAGTGGGAAGGCGTATATCCCAGCCGCACCAGTAACCCAACTCCTAACGGGAAGGCATGTATCCCGTCCATAGTCAAAGGATTAAACATTATTTTTGTATAGTTTCTTTCTTTTTCTTCCAGAGTAATTAATATTAAAATTAAACCCTGAATTAGTAAGTCGTATAAGGTGAGTAAGTTGATTTCAGAGTAGGTGACTGCATTTTGAAATATAGAATTGTAAATAAAGGTATAAATTTCCTTATTAGAAATATCACTAAAATTAATTTTAAAAATTTTGAAATTGGAGTAAGTCATTCTGTCAACTAAAAAATCCAAATAAGGTCACTTTAGCAGTGACGTTACAGTTATTTTTATTAACAATTTCAATATTTAAAAGAAAATTCCCACATAAATTAAATTTTAGGAAATAAATTTTCCAAAAATTTCAATCGTTGGAACAAAATTTAACTATAAATTAATGAAAAATTTATGAAATATTTTTATGAGGTACAGAAACATTTCCAACTATTTTGAGTTTAAACTTTTTATTTACCTTTTGCGAATATTGACATGACAATAATTTTGTTTTCTATTCAAACACATTGTATTGATAAAATACCAATTTCATAACTTACAGTAATTGGTATTTGTCTCAAATTTTAATAACTTTTTAAGTAAAATTGTTTGCCACACAGTTTTCAACTTTTTTGCTTTTAAAATTAGTGAGCGGTGTGTATGACACTGCTGTAATCAAATAAAAATAAATTATGAAAAAAAATATTAATGATAAGATTTTAGTAAGGGAACATTATAAAACAATTTTGTATGTTCCAGGCTTTAAAAATGATTTCAAAATTATCAAGTACTAAAAGTGTCCTCGAAGCAGTGCAAGAAAATTACTTACCCCGTCCTGAACAGTTAATAAGTTTTGATATTGAATTTGGAACACCGCATTGTATTGTAAAATAATCTCTAACTGATAAACTTCCAGAAATAAATATTTCTTAGTTTTTCCTCTGTTTTTTCAATAATAACTTTAAATTTTTACAGTTCATTTAAAGGTAATGGTTAAGGTATAAAATAAAAATGCAAACCACAAAGCCATAAGCCTCCATCTTACAAGGGAATAGTTGACTTACCAACGTTCCGCCAACTCAGGCTTCATCAGATCACATACATGCAGAAAGAAAAAGAAAAAAAAAATATTGCAGTTAACATCTCACAATACCATCCAAATACATACTGAAGGAAAAAGAAGGTTCTATTAATACCACTAAGTAAGGTTACATAATTTTTTTTTTTCTTTCTGCATATATGCGTTGTTTTTTCTGCCCTGAGGAAACCTAAATTGGCGAAACCTTGGCATGATAACTATTCACCTATATGTTTGAACTCATAGCTTTGTAGTTTGGATTTTTTATTTTATATCATAAGCACCTTATATCTTTTTATAGTTTTATAATTATTTTAGTTATGGTTAAATTTAAAGTTAACAGTATCATCTAAGATTATGAAATAAAAGGTATAGACAAAGAAAGAATTATGTTCTTATCTTATAGAGCATAGTAAAAATCAATATATATGGAAATCATTGAGGTTTAAAAAAGCAATCTAATCAGGAATGAAGTGAAAATATATAATGTTTGATGAGAAAGACACACACACACACACACACACACTTTCTGTATTAATATATCACTTCATAAAAATGTTACCAAAGTGTCATACATATTGAAGTAAAAGCAAAGTGTATTGTTATTATTAGGAACTAGATTTTTATGCAAAAGAAAAATAAAGAATGAATGAAAATTTTTTATTCTGGGACTAAGATCTCCTTAGAATAACAACAGAGTTAAAAAAATTTAGCACGCGAGTCTGGCTTGACGAAATAAAAAGAGGTACTTGTCATTAAACTGTTAATTACAATACAGTTAATTGAATTGTGTACAGTATATTAAGTAACAAAAGTGAATTTTATATGGTTCACATATATACAAAATTACAAAAAAAAAATCAAATCAAATGGTGCTTGTCCATTAATCGTTAATGAGCTATTGTAATTACAGAAGGTGGTTGTATGAATGACGAACGATTTGCTGAAGAAAGTAGTTTAATGATAGGGAATATATAAATCAACAGGTTCAGTTATGGTATTAAGAGAGTGGATAGAGGAACATAGAGTAAGGAGTTCTAGGATGTAGGGTAGATTTTTGGTTCTGAGGACTCGGAAAAGGAAAACACCAAGAAGGCATCGTCTTTATAAGGATATAGCCACTTCAAATAAATGGACCAGCAGGAAACATGAGAATGCTTGCGAATCCCAAAGATGATTCTTATGAAACAGTTCACAAGTCTCTAGAAGGCGGGGTGCTGAATGGACTAACGCTTTTTCACAGCACCACGAGTTGCCTGGCAACCACATAACCAGAGTTATAGGATATTAAAAAAGTAAGAGTTCGCGTCCTGGTGACAAAAGGGATTTTATATTCCCCACCATCACTCTCCGGCCCAGGAAAACCCTGTATAGCCTAAAAGGCGAGGAAGGGGAGGACAAGAAAAAAAAAAAAGTTTATGAGTCTCTTCAATCTTGTCTCAAGTCTTGCAGACAGTCGTCCATAAACCAAGCAACCGTAGTCGATATACATTTATAAAATATGTACATCTTTTTGTTTCTTCCTGTTAGGATTATAAACATTCTAGATCTTTTGCTGCCTCATATGTATATATATATAGGTAATTATATTTACACTTATAAGAAATACATAAGAAGCAAAGGTATTTAAAAAATAATAAAGCTGCTGGGATTGACGATATTTGCTATGAATTTTTTTAAATACTCCTTAGAAATTATGTAACATAATGCTAGAGCACTAAATCACTTTTTAACCCTTGGACTGCGGGAGCTCATTTGTGAGTTTCTACCAATTTGTTGCATCCTGATATCTACAAAGACATTAAAAAAAACTTAGCTTTCAAAAATGCATTATAACGTTTTTATTCAACTTTTAAAAAATGGGATATATGCCTTCCTGGCCACACATAGCAATGCAAAATTAGAACGGCAATCCCCCAACACTTCGATTTCTTGCGTATTCGCTCATTTTTGAAAAGCAAAATATCTGAAAATTATCATAAAAATGACTGTAAGTTATCATAAAAATTAAACAATTTTATATTATATGAAATATATATATTGTTTTTAGGTGGATGGATAAATAATAAAACAACTAAAGTATCAATTCAATTCTGTATATTTTTACAATTATTTGTTACATTTTATATAAATATATATCAAATGTAGGAAACTTACATTGATTTGTTTAAAATACAGAAATTCAGGTGTACCAAAATCAGCATTCAGTCAAAACCTAAATTAAAAAAAAAATTATTAAATTAACTTATTAACATTTATTTTATGAATAAAACATTTAAATAGAATATAAATAAGATCATGGCTATGACACAAATAACAGATAAAGGACATACCTTGGGTTCAAAATAACTCCGCAACTGATAGCTTCCAAATGGTCAGAATCTGGAACGAGTGCACCGAGTTTCAAATATTATTTTATATCATATTATTTTCTCATCTGACTGTGAAATCATAACTTAGATTCACATAGTAAGAATTAGAAAGGTTTCAAAGAAAAAATAGCATAAGAATAGAGCATGATGTAAAGTTTAAGAGATTTTTATTCATTTATGTCCATGCATAATGAAAAAAACATATATTACATTTATTTATTTACAACATTAATAGCATATTGAACTTATGGTATTGCGAACAATTCACTTTTCTTCTTGTTTTTTTTCTTAAATAAGTAAAGTTATTAATAATTATGAAAGGCAGATCTAAACAGCAATTCTTGAGATTCATTTTAAACCATGCTTATATTTCTACTGCAAAGTTGTATGTACATTGTTCCCTAAATATACATAGGACTCAAAGCTTTTACCCTTCCTCAGAAAACCCTTAAAACATAATTTCATTCATTTAGCGCACAAAATCCATCAATACTCGCACTTAAATTAATTCCACTATTGCCGTTTTTAAAATAAAATTTCAATAAAAGACCAAATTATAAAAAATAGCATTTTAAAATCTATGTGGACCTTTACCGAATCAAAGACTCTATCCAAATAATTTGTAACTGTTTTTATTTTATTTTAATCATACATATTTCTATTTTATATGGGTTATATCTTCCAACAATTAGAAAGCTAGTGTACAAAGAAATGATCCCAAAATTGTTTGCTATAACTTTATCTCAAAAAATATGGTGTTGCTTTCTTAAAATATCTAAACCTTATTTTTAATACTTAAATTCAAAGATTTTAAAAGCTAAAAAAAAAATATTTTGAACCAAAAATGGACAGATATGATAAAAAATAAAATTTAATTATCGATGTTGTTCATTGTTTAATTTTCATGAGGATAACCTTTCAAATTATTGACAAATGTTAAAAATTAAAATAGTTATAATTAAAATAAGATGAGCAGTAATTTGAAGGAGCTAGATTTGAATTTTAAATTATTACACTTATATTTTAAAAAGTGAATATACTGTGAAATTCGATCATTTTAGAAGTACAGCTAAAATATCTATATTACATCTAAATAAAACAGAGGTAAATAATGCAAAAATAGATAATGTAGAGACAAAACATGCAATGCTCGTAAGTATAACCCATGCCAAACTGCCATTTAAATTCAAACATATATATTTTTTTTAAATTAAGCTTTCTGTTAAAACCAAACAGTTAATTATATAAGTCCCATATTCCTTTGTTTACAAAGTTTTAAGAATTATAACAGTACAGAATATGTTTTTAAAAGAATTGCAATAAATTCACAACAGGCTTTATAAATATTGGCAGTATCATGATTTATTTTATTACACCTTATTATAAAATTTACAGCATTTAAATTATACTTTAATCCATGAATCTTTTTTTTTTTTTTTTTACGGCTAACATACAATAACAAGTAGATTTCACAAATTTATATTTAACATTTTTTTTTATTTTAGTTGTTAAGAAGTTGACTACACACTGACATTTACTATAAGGCTATTTATATCTTTAATAGAAAAAATAAAATAACAACAATGGACAATGAGAAATGGAATATTTAGCATTTAATTAAACATAAGTTATTCCCAACACGATAAATGCTTTATATGAAGTAATATATCTTATATTATACATGAATCAGAACACAATACAAAAAATAATTTATATATTGTCCTCTGTAGTTTCATTAATAAATTACTGGTCGATAAAAAATAGTGCAAATACAATATTTGAAGAATACCAATAAAATTGCAATATTATGGAATATAGAATCTTAGAATTTCCGATCATATAATAACTTCAATTTACAAGAAAAAAATATCAACAACTGCATTATGGATGCAGATTATATGTACATATATTATTTAGTAACATTTAAACATTAAATTTGGACTTATTTTTTAATATTTAATTTATGGAATTTTTCTATTCCATTTACAGTTTATTTTAAAACTAAAAATTCAAAATTCTATAATAATATAATTATAAAAGAACATGTGAAACGTTCCAAATACCTCAAAAGAAAATAATACAATAAATATTTATTTTAATCTCAATTAATTTCTTAACTTCAATTGCTTGAAGAAAAATAAAAAATAAAATTTAAAAAACTGCCTTATCATATAAAAAGAAAAGAAAACAAAATCTACCAGGAAAAGTTATTTCGACAATTACTTTTACAGAAATCTAATTTTGACTATCTTAAAATTATCAAAATTATATTTTTCTAGTATTAATAAATAACAATTGTGCAATTTTGAATCAGAAATATAATGTGTAAACACAAGAACGAAAATAAAACACGATGAATTATACAAACGCATACATTTTATTCAAATTTAATAATTATAATAAAAAAAAAAAAGACTAGACTGTTTTCATAGATCTTCTCCCCAAGAATCTTACAAAACTTCCAAAATGAATAAACATAACCTAAATCAGAAATAAAATTTCAACTATTTTGACTTCTAATGCACCGATCTAGTCCTTTAGTCATATATCCAAAATAATAAATTGTATAATTAACAATATTATTTTTTAGTATATAAATAAATCAAAATAGTTTTTTGTTTATTCATTTTGGCTAGAAATAATAACTTAGTGTGTTTTACCAAATTCTACAATTTAAAATTTCTATTTTAGGTTTTAATTTTTTTTGTTTTTTTAAAATAAATTGAATCAGCTGATAAAAATCGAAAGTGAAAAAGAAAATTCGAGGAAAGAGACCCATTATGTCTTCAAATCAGTCAGTCTTGAACAAATGGTCAACACATTTATGTCTTAGGTTTGTATTAATTACTCAAAAAAAGGGTCTCTACTTTTTCACTTTCATATTAGGGATCATACATTTTATTTTTTTGCATACTTTTCCTTACTTAACGACAGTTGTGTGCTCTTGTTTTTCTACGTTTCAAGCATCCCACTGCCCATACCAGGAAAAGCGTTGCATGCGAATTCGGTCAAAATAACACACAAAGACAGAAACTCTTATTACAAATCTTAACATGCTAATGCCTACAAATAGCGGCTAAGGAGAAGACAGAACACGAAACCGAAGGTTGGGTGGAGATGATAACCGGAACCGGTCACGTAAATGTCACTTTCCTTAAGAAGAACCTTGTCAATCACGTGAATCACTCCATTGGTACATTCGACGTCTGGGCGGAAAACGTGTATCCAATCATTGTTCCATTCAATGTAAAAACCTGGAAAATTAAAATAAGTTAAAATTATTCACTTGAATGTTTAAGGTATGATTTGTGGAATATATGAGGAAATTATAACTCCTTAGATTATTATATTTATAGATAATGGAGACAATAAACAATCATGTTAAGAGTATAAAAAAAAAAATATTGCGGGCTGAAAGCAATGCGAAGAACTGAAGATAGTCCATAATAAGATTTGGAAGTTAATAAAATTAGACATCTGCTAGCGGCGATGGAATAATTTTTTTTTTCTGTTGTCATTACAGACCTTGTATATCTTTTGCCGCCTTAATAAGCTCCATCTCTGCCTATTTTGAGCTATTTGTTTCCAGTTATCTTCATCCAGCTCTATTACATCTTCATTGATTTGATCTGTCTATCTGCCTTTTAGCCTTCCACCTGGTCTTTTGCCTATCATTCATTGTCATGAAGAAGCTTCCAGATGGATTGCTCTGAGCTACACACCCTGCCCATTTATTTATTAGTAATAGTAGTAATAATAATTTTTTTTCCCTCTTTCTTGCCTCATTGGCGTTTTACTATAATTTATGTTTTATTATAGTAATTTATAATAATAATAATAAAAGGCTTAGCGAACTCGACACCACCAATCCCTGTCTACATACTTCTCTCCACCAGTCACCATTCACAGCCAGTCCCTTTAGATCGACCTTAATGCAATCTTCCCACCTTCACTTTGGTCTACCATCAGATTCACCAGTCGGCACAGCAAATATTAATCTTTTAGGAATACCTTTGTTATTAAGTCCAACAATTTTACAAGCCTATTTAATTTGCCACGATGTAATCACCTCAATTATATTAAACAGATACAATTAATGCAATTTGGTGTTGTATAACCGTCTGAACTCTCCAGTTAACTCATCCTTCTTCGATCCAAATATATTATTTTCAAAAACCTTGCTCATCCCTTGATGTAAGCGGCCATGTTTCACATTCATAAAATCAAATCTCTTATCCGGTTGCCAGGCAACTCGCGGTGCAGTGCACACACTTTAGCCTATTCGGCCACCCCGCCCCCGCAATTTGGGACCTGTCAACAATGTTGAAGTCATCGGTGTATCCGAATATCTGCACGGTTTTGTTGAAAATTGTGCCATTGTTTGTATTCCAGATTCTCTTACCGCTCTCTCTTCAGTAAGATTAAAAACCACACAGGCTTGTTCCTTGTCTAACTCCTGTATTGAAATCAAATTCTTCAGACATGTCCGATTCATTCTGCAGAATGCATTTTGTCTTTTCCATTGTCATTTTGATGATCCATATTATTTTGGGAGAAAGTTGTTGTCATCCAAAGCCTGATACAACTCTCTTCGGTCAACACTGTCATAGGCTGACTTGAAGTCGATAAACAAATGGTGTGTTTTGATTTGATATTCGCGTGCCTTCTCAAGAATCATCCTAATAGAAAAGATTTGGGCGCCCTTGGATCGCCGAACCCGAATTCCCGTATTATTTTGGTATTTCTCAAGAACTCTTTTGGAATGGGGAACAAGTCTACCAAAGATGATTTTGAATAAGACTTTGTAGGCGCATGGTAATAGTGTGATACCTCTATAATGCTTACAGTAAACCTGGTCTTCTTTTTTATGGATGGAGATTATTAGGCCTCGTTTCCATGCTTGTGGTAGGTTTTTTTTCCTTCCATATCGATAATATTATTTCATGGAGGACTTTTCTGAGACCTTCACCACTGCGCTTCAGGAGTTCTGTTTGGATTCAGTCATATCCTAGAGCTTTGTAATTCTTTAATTTATTTATTGTATCCTCCATCTCTTCATCATCAGGTTGCTCTGCATCCGTTTCATCATTCCTCCCACCCTCATTCTCTTCTTCCATGTTTCCTCCATTGCTTTTTTTCTTTTTTGAGGTGGTTAACTAGCACCTGAGGCAAACTATAAGATTACTAATTCCAGATTATCTTACTTTCAGTTACCCCTTCTATTCCGCAATGCTTTTACTAGAAAGATTCATTCAAATATTTGTTTGTTTTTTGTTAAAAAAATAAAGAATAAATATTTTATTAAAAATGAAATATTATTCGTTTGGTATTCTGGCACCCTATAGTAAGTGGCACTAAGGGCGGCTGCCTTGTTCGTTCCTCTCTACTGTATACATATATAAATATACCTTGTATTAGATTGGTTGTATTTGCATATGCATTTATATTTACGCATTTATACAATAAAAGATGCTAAAAGTATGATAGTGAATCGTATATAAAATTTAAGTTTTATTCTCTATCTATTACATATCATATAATTAAACTCACAATTCAATGTAATTTTGAAATGTACCTAATCAATGTAAAGAGTGAAAATCAAATGTTAATTCTAAACAAAAGCACCCACCTTCATAAAAATCAAAATAATAAAAAACAATTAACTGTGCTTTATAGTTTTTATAGTATGATTGCAATCAGAAAACCAACAATGATATAAAGCAATTAACCTAGAAATTATCATTTTTTTATGTTTCTTATTGTGATAATATATAATGGAAAAAAAATATTCCAAAATTTTATAAACAGAAAATCAAATTCATAGAAGGATAATACTTAATATGCAGTTTTATTTCAAAAATTTAATGATTAAAAATATCAGCTTAATCAATCTGTAAAAAGCTCTTCGGTTACTGCAGAGTGCTCCAACATTATAAATAGGTGCCATGCATAACAGATAATTATTGTCAAAAGCCAAATTGACTTATATACAACACGAGATTGTAGACACTATTGTCGTTTAAGAAAAATATTTTTGTACTAAAAAAGAACATATAGATCGAGAGAACATTTTTAAAAGTCACTATTATACAAAAAAGTTTTTAGTGACGGTCATATTTTAACACAACAAAATAACATGACAGAGTCTAGATTGGAACCTCAAAATCAGCGAATACTTTGAGAAACGTGGAGGAGGGCTTTAGAGAAGGAAACGCGCAGCCCCGGACAGATCTGGTTTGAAGTCATAGAACTAGCTAAGATCAAGACGCCTGGCAGACCTTTGTGATGGTTCTATGTCCCACCTAAGAGGTTCTAGGAACCAATAATAATAATAATAATTTAGTGTGCAATGTTTAGGATTTTTATCATCTGTTATCAAGTTTTATTGTTCCTTTCAACGTTTCTGCTACAACCTAACATTTTCAAAGTTGGCTAATGTTTTCTCAATATTTATTATTTATAAAATGATTGATTTATTATATACTATTTTTATGTTATTATAAAATTTTCCATGTTTATTAAGTATTAAATTTTCCAGATACTGTTGGTATAACAGTAAATACTACTTGAATACTATTGCATAAAATTAATGAATATTACTCATTTGCAATATGAATTACTATTTTACGTTGTTCAATTTTATCAATTTGGCTTTTGATAATATTAAACATAGGTTTTTACGATGCGTGTATAAAACTGTGAGTTACGCCAGAATGATTACAAGAAAAAAGAAAATTTTTAGGAGCAGGTTTGCACTCACCCTCTGTTTCATTCATTTCATCTGGTAAAAAAAAAATAAAAAAAAATAATAATAAATGAAATAAACTTTTACATACAATTAAAATAAAAGAAAGTAAAGAAAATTTGTGATTTTTAACTTTTATTAGGTTATTCATTTTTTTAATAGTTAATTAGTTAATAATTGATAAATAGGATCCATATTGCTATGTTTAATCCCATAAAATAAAGCAGTACAGATGTTTAACAAAATGTTATTAAATTACTCTATATTTAATCAGTAACATTTCAGCCTTTTGACCGTTTTCAAACATGTTTTTTTTTTTAGCAACTTTGATTTTGGACAACAGTAGTGCCAACATATAACTAAGAACAAAAACTATTTCATTCAAATATTTAATGAAAATTATTCCTTGTAAATTGTTGTAGACTATGTTGTTACTCAAAATTGTAATACTTAGGTCAACCCTTTCTTCTTTAAGGTCTTGTGTTGTTCTTGATAAAAAATATATGTATTTTATTTAACCTTTCACAAGTAATATAGAAATGTTTTGGTGGCCTTATCTAATTTGTTCCCTCTTGTGTTAATATAATCACATTAAACTAAAAGTTTTAATTCTATTTGAGTTATTATATTTTTTAAAAATGTCATTTTTTCATTAAAACAGGGTTTTCTTATTCAAGTTCATTTTTAGTGGTATTTTATTCAAAATACTATTTTTCTTCATATTATATACTATAAATTAAACCACAATTAAACAATTACCACAATTTATAAAATTTTATTTTATAATTGTAAAATTGTATTTTATAATTTTATTTTATAATTTTATAATATATATTAAACCACAATTTATAAAATTTTATTTTTATGATAAAAACCACTAAAAATAATCCAAAAAAAAAAACAACCTAGTTTGAATTAAACATCAACAATTTTTTTTAAATATAAGAAGACAAATGGAACTTAAATCTAGGTCATAAAAAATAAATATGATACTTTTGAAAATGGATAAATTTAAATTTTGTTAACAAATATTATTACTTTATTTTTTTTTATAAAAATGGGTCCTATTTACAAACAATTAATTAATTAACTAATAAGAATAAGAATGAAAATGTACTTAAACAACCAAAAGAGTGAGAAATAACTGGCATCATAAAAGAAACCATCAGCTCTAAAAATATACATTTTCAAAAATTAAATAAATATGAACAGTTAAACCTAATACCACCATTCAATCCTTTTTAAAAAGTAATAGGACTGTTGATGAAAATTCCAATGAATAACCCTTAAACACGTGTAACTGAACATTATATCCATTGTATTTAAATGGAGTGTACTATATAAATACTAATCCCTACAAATATATATAGTGAACTCACAATTTAAATATTATTAAAAAGAATCAAAATTATTATGGTTATAACACACTCAAATGTTGAAAGGCAAAACAACCAACCACAGCCATTTGGCCATCCTTTTCTCAGAGCTGCTTCTATCTCTGTGATGACAAGAAAACCAATGTTGTTTTTAAGGTTCCTATACCCTGAGTATAATATGTCCCAATAAAACGATATTCGTCTCGGCAGCGATATGGTGATATAGCTGTATTACTATATATTGCATTATACCATTCACAGCGTGATAATCTGTAGTGGTACTGACAAAGGGCATCGTATCATCAGAACATATTGCGTTGTGTGTTTAATCTTTTCAATACTATCCAAGAAGAAGAAAGTAATTCAAAAAAAGAAAAAAATACATGGGTTTTATTAGGAATTCTTGAGACTAGAAAAATACTCCACATATTAAAATTTTATTTTCATTATGTTTTGGCAGTCAAGCCATCTTCAGTCCAGCAGTTTTTTAAAGTTATGAAGCATTTTATAATCTATAGAATTTTTAATAAATTAAGCCCCTTAACCTTAAGCTTAAATGTACCACAAAAATTATATGTTTTTGGCAAAAATGAGGTATTTCCATCCTGGGAGAGTTAGAACTTACATTTACTATTCTGTTGCTTAAAATAATTCTTTTATTCCTTAGAACTATCATCTTCTTGCAGCAAACCTTTCAATTCTAGTACCATTATTATTTTATTAATCAATAATAATGTTTATTATATTTATAGGGAGTGGGGTAGATCAGTGATAGGGTACTGAGCTTCCAATGCTAAATGTCTCAGGTTCTAATCCCGGCTAATGGCAGAAAAATTATTTATTGTTTCATTGGACGTGGGCGACCCTGGGCCGGGAGACCCTCCTGGGATACACCCAGCCTCTATAAAGTGGGTACCCTTAATTAAATAATTGATAAAGGGGGAAAACCTGGCAGTTGACATGATTCTGGATTGAAACACTCCCTGCACAACTGTTTTACTTGGAACAGTACTTTCTATAAATAGTACTGAACCCAAGACCCTTCGTGGGTTGCAGTGGTACAGCATTTTTTTAAATTATATTTATGACAAAAATAAACAGGAATCCTCATTGAATGTTGCAAATAAATTTTGTATAGTTTATTGAAACAAAATCAAATCTCGAAATCTGAAAATTCGGATAGAATGAGAAATATGCACAATAAGCAAAACAAATTATTTAAATAAGCTGACACCATTTCTTATGATTAATAAAAAACTATTTTTTATTAAAAAAAACTATACTATATAGTAACATTTATAAAACATTAAAATAACTTTTTCAAAATATTTCTTAAAAAAGATTTTGTCGAATGTCTTCTGTTTTCATTAATAGTTTAACTGAAGTGGGATCAGACTATAATAGTGTTGAAAATTATTAAAACATGAATATTAAATTTTAAAAAAGTCTAAAAATCTGATAAGATTATCCAGAGATACAGATCAACGTAGATTGTATAAACAAGGTTTTACTGTATTTGTGTACTGTAATTATTTACACCGATCTGATTGTTTAAACATTTTCTGTTAAGAATTATTGCATTTTATGCAGAGTTCTAGTACCAATATACTATCAACAATCCAGTGATAATAAATGTGTATGTATTGTCTTCTACAAATGTATGTCATAAAGGGTTTAAAAATGGGATATTGGGAATCAATGCATTGTGGGATTAATGATAAAGCATTAGAAATGATTTTGAGTGAGTTAAAAAGTGTTTAAACAATCACCACCACCAACCAGACCAACAAGCACCCGATATATCATATATTTTTCTTTTCTAATCGAAGCTATAATTATTATTAATGTATGTATATAATCATATTTGTTTTCTATTATTAATTAAACTCAATTTGATTCTGAGCAAGAGTTTTCTCTAATTTATTTTAAAAATTCATTGAACTTCTCTTTTATAAGACTTAAATACACACTTAAATACTGTAGCAAAAACTACAATACAATACAACTAAAATAAAATAACACTTAAATACTGTAGCAAAAAGATAAATAATAATCTTGAGACATTGATGAATCATTACAAATGTAAATGTACATAAGCTGTACCAGAATAAAAACAGGAAACTTCAAAATGTTTATATCTCAATTTTGAAAAAGTACCTACAACTACCATTTTACCAATTTTTAACAGTTTGGTGAGAAATTAAAATTCAGTGTTTTTTTTAATTCTTAATATTTTAATATAAAAGTACTTCTATCAGTTCCAAAAATGATTTTTTATGAAAAGCATATAGTGCCATGGGATGGTAAAATTCTAAATAATTATGCTTCCACGCGAGTTTTGACATAATTCATGAAAATCGAGCTGAACTGCGTTGTGTTGAAGATGTCATGGCGATTATGCATTGTGTAATACTTATCCAATGGTATCATCAGATAATAAATACTAATCAAAGCTTGTTAAAGCGGACCTTTCGTTAATTAGTAATGCTCACGATTATTGTTTAAAATTAAAAGTTAATCTTAATTTTTTGATCATTTAAAAATTAATGTTGAATTAAATTGTAACATTTTAAAAAAAAATAAAAAACTGAACTAAATTATTATTGAGGAAAATATTAAAATTAAAATTCTGATTTTTTTTTTTTCTCAAAGAAATATAATTGAATTTCTTAGCCTTTTGGCACTCTTCTTCCAAACAAATGATATATGAAAAATTAAAGTTTCATAATATATTTATTTATCTCTCCAAAACTAATAACCAAAATCAGATAGCAAAGAGTTATGATATCAGCCTGGAAAAGTATCAAATATATTATTACATAAAAATAAAGGTACTAATAATAAACATGATATATATTTCGTTCCTGTGAAAATTATGACAATAACTTACTTCTCTGGTTTTCCTTAACTTTGAACTTGACAACATCTCGAACGGTGGGTAGCTGCTTGGCCTCGTGCTGGGTCATGTTTGCCAGTTCGGCGATAGTGAAACTTTTGTCAGCCACGACCAGATGTCTCTCCAATATCTGTTTTGCCTTACAATAATGCAGGTTCATTAAAATCACATTATATAGAAGATGAATAGTGTAAATACTTTCAAATTTTTATTAAAATCAGTGGTTAATATTTTTTTTTCAATTGGCTCTATAGAGTATGTAGATCTTTGGCCTATAATTTTGCTTGGAGGAGCAAAGATAGCCTTAAGGGGGTCCACCCAACCTCACATTGCTACAAACATGGTGCAGCTACAGGCCACTCATAGTTTTATAGCTAATCTCTTTGGGGCCAATCTGACATTGTCCTTCCCAATGATTCACTCGGGTTCAAGGATAGCGTCAAATTGGTCGAGAGACATGAATTATGGCTGCTCATATAAAGCAAATACTTGAGAACCTATATATTTTTTGGTATTAATCAAATTAATTTTAAATCAATTTTTTTCAAAATATATTCCTGTAATTTTAATCATGATTACTTCTATTAAACCTCCCCATGATTATAGCTAAACATTTTAGCATTAAGGGCTCATTCCACCGTAACTTTGGATCAGGAAAGTCCTGATACATATAAATATATGAAACATTGTGATAAAAGAAACTTGTGTTAATATTATTTTCATAGCTTAACTTTTATATAGTAGGATAATATTATGAAACATAATTTAAGTGTCTAAGAATAATTAAAATACAATTGCAATTTACTCACATGATAAGCGAATTCGTGCATGAAGAGCTTCTTATGAGCAGAAGGATTCCGAGTTTCAAGCTTTTTCCAAGCATAATCTCTTGGAACAAAATAAGTAAATCTTTTATTCATATCGTCAAGCTGAGTGTTGAATCCTTGAGCTTTTCCCATCTGATATGTTTTACTTTAAAAAAAAATATATATATATACATCAGAATAAAATATAATTACTATACCTCAGAATAAAAAATTATTATTTAAATTATTTTTAATCAAAGTTCACCAAAAAAAAAAGTCCGTAACCTTTGAGCAGGCATGCTGTCGCACGGAATGTACCAGCCTTGGTTGTTAGTCTGTCAAATCTCTCAAAGTGTCCGGATGACGAGGTAATCGTTTATTGCACTAACTCTTATTATCCTTCTGTTACCTTCCCCTGACTCTTACAACCCCCTATACTTTATGAACTTGCTTGGAAAACTGTTGTAGCACACTTTGTGCAGTGCTCCATGTTATACTTTTAGTAATTCTTGGATATTTTTGGTGTTTATGGTTGAATGGGAGTTTTTAAAATGTGTGTGGAAGGAAAAGAAACACTACGAAAACATGTTCCAAGTGTAAAAAATACAAAGCCCACATTGTAATTGAGTCTAGTGCATTTCATGTCAACGGCAAGACGAATCTGATTACGATTAATTTGAATAACTGATTGATTTTTTGTTTTTACATTTTTCTAATTGATTTTTATAGTAAACTTGAGTTGTTCTGTAATCATATTTATGTTTTATGTTATCAAGTAGAAATAATTTATATTTATTTTTATATCCTCAGATGTAACATATTAACTTAAAATTCATAAAATATTTTCATGAACATGTCATAAATATGTTCTGCCTTATAATGATTAAGAAATAAAAAAGTAAACACTATTTTTTCCCTGTCATCAAATTAAGTTAAAAATAACAGAAAAAAATCAGTTATCATAATTTAATATAAATAAATACAATTAGAAATTGTATTTATGTGTATTAATGTACAAAATAGTTAATTTAGAATTTAAAAAACAGGAAAAAAAAACATTAATCACCACCAAAAAGGAGTGGTGCATTGCATGCACCGCACGCTTGCGGGTGTTACAAATAAAGGTGCGCCCACTGCAAGATTAAATATCCTTTTATTATTACTGGTATTTACTATAAAGATATAATTACTAAACAGAATCTTGAAATAATTTAGAACTAAGCATGATAGCTAATTTAATTTAAATAAGACTAAAATAATCTAACTTAAATTATATTATATACTGAATTATATAATATTTAAAACAATGTAAGTACATCAAGTTACCAAATTATGTGGTGATATTGAGATATTTTAATATTCTATTGACTAATAATAATTTTCATAGTTTATATTTGAAATGGCTCATGAAGCTGAAACAGCAGCTATAAAAGAATATTAAAGGAAATGGAATTTTTGGTGACATTTGACCATAAATGATTTAAATAAAAAAAAAAAAAAGACTTTATCTATACTAAAAATAAATATTAATCAAGTAGAAAAAAATTAACAGTTAATAGTTACAAATATAATAAATAAAAATAACCCTAGATTAAACTGTTTCTAATATGGTTGGACACTTCTGCCAAAACATATTTGATTGATAACACAAAATTATCTGTGTTGGTTTATTATAAATCCTTATTTTAAAATAATTAATAACAATTTAAGAAATATTAACTTACTTCAACATTGGGTCTGCAGCTAATTTTTTGCCAACGGTAGTATGAGCAACACCAAGGACTCTGTCTATTATGTGAACAATGCCGTTGATTGCAGCTATGTCCGGCTGGATAACGGTAGCATTCACACCACCTCCTTCTACGGTCAGCGTCTTATTGCCTCCGATGTTGATTACATTGAAGTAGAGATTTTTGCGGGGAGTCAGTGTGGGGGCCTGGAACAGCTTGTGTGTGGGAAGATGGAAGCAAAACAAAATCCAAAAAGAAAGAAAAACGAGGAAAAAGGAAAATATGTAAAAAAAAAAAAATCAAAGGGATAAAATTCAAAAAGAATGAGGAAAAAAGGAACAGGTTCAGGAATGAAAGGAAAAGCAAATTCCCAATCTCATTAGACAGATAAAAAACTATCGTGAACCTATCAAATGTGACTAAAAGAAAAAAAAAGTAGAACAATTTTGGCAATCGACAGACAAGAATTCGAATTGAAACATAACATAACTTCAAATTCAAGTAAAAATGAATGAGAAGAATGATATATCATTCAAAATAACCAACTATGTTATTACAGTAACAACAGAAAGAGTATTAAAAATCATTAATTGAGAAGACAACGAAAAAAACATCCAAATGATATTTTAAATTACCAAAACTATAAAATAATTAGTGGATTTAATTTTTTAAAATATCATTAAAAGACACATTAATGGAAACATTTGAAAGTGTTCTTTAAGTTTATTTCGGAGTACAAATAAATTTAAAATCTTTCAATTTTATAAATTAAGGCCGTTATTCCACCAACATTTTATTTATTTTTTATTTTATCTCGACAACGTTTCGGAACATTGGAGCCAATTTCATGTCTTAATTGAGTCCTCCACTGACTGATTGAGTGACTGATCAGTCTCTCCAGAGATGACGTAGGGGAAACATTTTAGTATCAGGACATTTTTAACTGTTCTCGGAAAAATAAAAATTTATAATTGTGGGTTGAAGGTTGACAGTTGGTAAATAATTGAAGAGAAGGATGGTTGAGGTGATCAGTCAAAATAAAATAATTATATTTATTTTTATATTCGCCGAAGTTCAGGCCTTCATCAGGGCTAAGAAAAGAATCAGATAAAAAAGGTATGAGAAACTATAAACATTGAATAATAAAGAATTAAAATTAAAAAGGTGAAAGGTAGTGACTAAAAAATGTAGGTAGAATAAACTTAAAGTAAAATATAATAGACAGAGTGAACATTAAAATAAAATAAAGTAGGTAGAATAATAACAGTAACATAGAACTAAGAAATAAATAATAATAACAACAACAAAGTACAGACTAATGAAATAAATATAATCAAAATAAGGTAACATAAGAAATGAAAAATGGTAATCTTAGACTAAAATGTAAAACAGAGAAAAGGAATATGAAATTATATAAGGAAATAATAAATAGAAATAGAAAATTAAGATATTGTAAAATCTATCAAAATATACTGACTACGTATAAGAGAATAAGAAGTTAAAATGTTTATAAGATTTATGAACAAATGCATCAATATATACAAAATAGAGATAACTAACATAAAAAAGATATAGACATATATATTCAATCCGAGAAGCTTGGAAAGACAACGGTATAGTAACAGGAAATAGTAGAGCTACTAGATAGCGCCATCTGTAACGGTTAACTGAAATATACGATCTATTATTTCCTTATATAACTTCATAAACCTTTTCTCTGTTTTACATTTTAGTCTAAGATTACCATTTTTCATTTCTTATGTTACCTTATTTTGATTATGTTTATTTCATTAGTCCGTACTTTGTTGCCGTTATTATTATTTATTTCTTAGTTCTCTGTTACTGTTATTATTCTACCTACTTTATTTTACTTTAATGTTCACTCTATCTACTTCATTTTCCTTAAAGTTTTTTCTACCTACATTTTTTAGTCTGAACTTCAGACTGAAACGTCGGCAAATATACAAATAAATATAATTATTTATTTTTACTACTTTTCATTTTTGACTGATCAACCATACCATCCTTCTCTTCAATTATTCACTACAGTCAACCATCAACCCACAATTAAAAAATAAATAAAACTTTGATGGAATAACGGCCTTAATTTATAAAAATTAAAACCTCAAGATACCAAATCTAGGTATAATGAATAGAATTTAAAATATTTCATTAAAATTAAGAACAGAACATGCATATCCTTCCTGCACTTTGATATTCAACGATTGTGATGAATCAGTGCATATTTTGAAGCAACGTATCTTTGTACTTTTAATTTAGTGCAGTAAATAATAAGGATAAGTTTCAATTGAAACATGCATAAATTTTGGTCTCAATCTATGTGAAATAAATTATTTTATCAAAATTATCAAGAATTGTGGAGTTTTATTGAATTATGTCTAATAAATGCGTGTGATGTGCAAAATATATAATTTTCTTACCTCTATTCAAGTTTAATGACTAATTAAATGGAATTTTTATTTATATATCTTCTTGGAGCTTATTAATACTGTTTCAATTTCTAAATAAGAATTTATAATAATAAAATATTGGCATAGTTTATTTATTAATGCAATTATGCATTGGTATTTATAGTGATTTTCCAGCAAAACAAAGCAAGAATTTAAAAAATATAAATGCAAAATTGGATAAAAAAAAGTAAATAAAAAAAAATATGGCTCTAGTTCAACTGAAACTAAATAAAATAACCAGTTCTTCGGTTCAACTGGTAAGAAATTTGGATTAATTTAAATTAAAGATAAAAGAAAAAATATATATACTGTTGTTACTGCCATATGTTACTTCTTGTTAATAAAGTGAAAGTTATATTAAAATGTGTAACTTTTACTTTCATTTATTTCATTCAGAAAAAAACATTATCTTACAAAAAAATTTCCAGAAATAACTTCAGGGGTAATCCACTCGGTATTAAAAAAAAAAGTAACAACAAAGGATGTGAAGAAACAATAACCTCAAAACAAAAGAACCAGTGGGCATGATAATTAAAGCAAAAGAGAGAAAAGGAAACTACAAGGAAATTTTGGGAACAGTGATTCTTGTAAAAAAAAATGGGTAAGGTACTAGATGGATTTAAAAAAAAAATGTTTGTTTCTATACAGGCAGAAAATTGTAATATATATATATATATATATATATATATATATATATATATATATATATATATATATATATATATAATAAATAATATATAGAGATGAATATATTTTATGAAAATACTACTGATAATGATAGTAAATCAAATTAAGCCAAGACAATATACTATAATTATTTTAGAGGATATAAATTTGAGAATCTTTTAGTATTTTAAGAAGCAACCTGTTAAGAAACTAGAACATTTTTTTTTATAATAACACAGGATATGCTAAACACGTAAAATACATGATATTGTAAGGCAACATAATTAATAAAAGCATAGTTATGAGAAGAATAAACAAATATTTTGTGCTAAATAAATTATAATAATATACCTCAACATAAAGATTATTTTGGCAAAATAATTATAAAAAATAAAAATGCAGATAGTGATAATAAACATAAAACATACAAATATAAATTAATAAAACTATAGGCCATTTATAGTTAAAGTATCAACAAAAATGAGTTGAGAATAATGTAACAGGTTAAGGTTTTCAAACTTAACACTCCGAAGGTCACAACGGATCTGAGAGATCCGCTGCGAGCTCTATTTGATGTATTTATATACCGCTTGGGAGAGGAGGACTTATCCCTCCACGTATTCTCCTGGCTTTTGAAGTCTTACAATTCAGTAGTGGGATGACCTGTGTTGCGTCCAATTTTTGTATCAAAACTTGCGGATTAATTGTAACTTGCGGACAGAGTACGTGGAAATTTTTCAAGGGAAACAGATGCAATGGCAACTCATATAATTGAAATCAATGCCTTTTCTGGGATGCCATATATAGCATGAATTCATACAACTGGTAGAAAAATCTAGATGTTTTGTAGGACTCAAGTGGCTTTGGAATTGAGATATTTTGTCTCACTATGAGTGTACAAAAGTTTCAATTTTTACTTTGATCTGTATGATTTGAAAACCGAGAAACATGTCAACAACATAAAGAAATAGACTGAATGGTATTTGTTCGGGACATATTTGAAGAGTTGGTCAGAAACTGACAATCTTGTTATTCAGTTGGAGCAGACTTGATTATCGATGGGAAATTGGAGGCCTTTAGGCTTAGGCTTTGGATGTTCATGTTGTGTCGTTTATTAAATTAATTTTTCTTTAATTCAATTTAATCTTATTATAATTGTTCCTAGTATCCATTGATTTTTATGTTTGTATATAATCGTATTTAAATTAATAAATAAATTTAGTCAACGTATTTTTTGTTTTGATTTTTAATATATTTTTTAAAATTATGTAACTGTGCTTTTACTCAATAAATATATTTTAAAACTCATCTTATATTTTTGTATTTCAGTACAATGAGAAATTTGTTGGTATTTTTGATTAATAAATTGATTTATTGAAGTGAATATCACAGATCCGTAGCAACCTTCCATGTGAATCTAAGGCTACCTTTGGAGTGTTAAAGAGAGAACTGATATAACATGATTTCATAATGAACACAAATAACAAAACTTACCATTCCTTATATTGTTTATTATACAAAGATCTTATTTATTATTATTATTTTTTCATTAAAATGATGGCTATATTAATATTAAAAACAAATAGCACATGAGTTGAAAAATGTAGAAACTGAACAAGCGGTCGGAATTATATATCAGTAATTGACCACCATAAAATAAAAATAAACCCTAATTCATTAATCATTATTCTCCTGTTACTCATTAATCATTTAATTACAGGAGTGTTATAAATATTTATAATAAATAATTCCGTATCCATATCATTTTACCAATATAGCTATACTGGTATTGGCAGCTGTATTATGTGCATAAATGATTTTAGTAAATGTGAACTTTAATGCAAAGTTCATGCAAAGCACAAACAAGCCCCCTAATCATTAAAAATAAAAACTTTAAAAGCTAGCAAATTTGTGAGAATTTAAAATTATTTTAATAAAATGTTAGGATTATACCGACAAATTATTAATTCAAAATAACTATTATCTATTTGATCCTCAGTGTGAATTTGAAATTATATTTAAAAAAAAATATTTTGTTTAATATTATGAAAATGCCATTTTTCCAATGAATTTATGAAAACTAATAGTTAAAGAAATAAATATATTGAAAAAATACTATGTTATATAAATCATAATTACTGTAGTAATAAAATATATTACTGATTTGTTTTTAGTGCACCTGATTACCCTTTTTTTAGGATTAATATATAAATGATAAAGCATAAAAAATATACGGTTTAGTTATATTTAAATCTTAAAAATTGTAAAATATTTATTAATGAGTGCTATGGACATGGATTGAAATTAAATAAAATGGCTTACTGTGGGGTACTTGTATGAAAAAAATATATAAATAATTTGAACCACAACAGAATTAATGTAATAAATAATGCTTATGGAATTGAGGATGTTTTTCTAAAAAAGGAGACAGGGATAGATTAGTGAGTAAGGCATTGTGCTGCTATGCACTGAGTCCAGGGTTCAATTCCGACTATGGCAGGTAATTATTTATTCTGTTATATCAACCCTGGACTGAACCTGGTATTTGGAGACCCACCTGGGTCATACCAAGCCTCTGTAAAATGAGTACTGTTAGTTAAATAATTAAGGTGAAAAATCTGGTAATGGAACGTGATCACAGTCAAATCACCTCCTTGTACATGGTTGCGTACAACGATTGACCAAGAAACACTACTTCCTTATGAAGTTCTGAACTTAAGACCCTTCATGGGTTATAAAAATTCGGGACTTTTAGCATTTTTTTAAACATAATCTGTACCAATAAAAATTGAAATAATATATGATGAAGTGTTTCGTTTTCTTTAGTGTTGCACATTTTGCACTCAAATTGTGCGGTAATTTTCACAATTTTATTATTAACAGAATTCATACAAGTTCCTCACAGTAATAATAAGAATTACCTACATTTTAAAAATATTTCTTATTTATACAAGACGGGATAAAATTAACTTTTAAAGAGTGGCGAGCAATGGATAACGTTCAGTTTATTGTATGTAGGTAACATTGAATTAAGGAAAGATTCATACTTGGAAACACTATATCATTCATCTGGATGTTTCTTTATTAATTAAAAAAGTAATTTATAAAAATTTATTGACGTTTAAATAGTAACATAATTTATATTATTATTTATAATTCACATACCTGGTTGATGTTCTTGTATATGATAGTTTCCATTGGCAATTTCTCTTCGACAAGATGCATGTGAAGGATATCTCTAATACGATTACGATCCCTCATAATGAGATTCAAACTCGGGTCTCGCCAGGCAGCGTTAGAAGGAGCAAAAAGTGTCAATTCTCTCATTCTAGTTAATCGTTCCATGAAGTCACCATCCGTATCCCTAATTACTTCATACAATTTATACAGAGGCCCATCTTCGCGATCCTGTGTATTAATTAAATTATTAATATTATAATTATTGTTAATTAATTATTAATTATTAATGAAAAAATAAGTTTAAAAGAATGAAATCAAATATATAATTTATAAAAGGTGTATTTATAAATTTTCTATGTATAACATGAATATAGTCAACCTATTACCCACTAGTAGGCATTTTAAACTTTATTTAGAAAAAAGGAATTTATCCTTTAATCTTTATTTATCCATATCTTTTTATTTAATCTATAGTGATCATTATGTGTGCTCACTTGTAATTTAAGGGTTTTAACAGTTTTTTATTTATTACAGTATAATCATGATAATTATTTGTCATATTGCATTTATTATGGATTAATATTGTGAGTATAATTTGTCTAAACTTGCCGTTGTTAAATAAATATCTATGAAGGCAGCGTTAAAAGGCTTAAAATAACTGATATCTTCCAATGGACTTCCAGATAAATTAACATGAATTATAATGATACATAATTGGTAAATGGTTGACTGTCGTGGATAATGAAGAGAAGAATAGTTGGGGTGGTCAGTCAAAAAAGAAGGCAAAAATAAATGATAATATTTATTTTTACATATGCCGATGTTTCGACCTGAAGATCAGGCCTTCATCAGGGCTAAGAAAATAACCAGATAACAAGGTAAGGCTCTTAGTTCTTACTATTGTCATTATTCTAACAATTTCATTTTACTTTATGTTTTTTAATAATTTTTTTCATTATTTTTTTTTACCATCACTACTTATGTTTCTCATACCTTGTTATCTGGTTATTTTCTTAGCCCTGATGATGGCCTGAACTTCAGGTTGAAACGTCGGCATTTGTAAAAATAAATATTATCATTTATTTTTGCCTTCTTTTTTGACTGACCACCCCAACTATTCTTCTCTTCATTAATTATATTGATAATTTTCCTTTCTATATTTATTAAATATTGCAATATTTATCTTTATTATACGATTATTTCATTTAGTTCATAATCTGAAATCTTTAATGCTTTTCTAATCTTACTCTAAAGGTAACTATATAAGGCTAGTCTTTTACTTCAGATTGTTAGGATGCAGTGTATATATGAACTTAAAATACCATTCTCAAAATTTATATCTTGATGAGTTGAATTACAGAAGAATCAACTATATAATTAATAAACATATACATCTTAAATAAAGATGGGATATTGAAGGCCCAATATCGATAGTCGATATTTTCATTGATACTATAAACACTTTTTAAAGATGAATATCCCCTTTAAATTACCCTGGGCATTGCGGAATAATCGAAATGAACTAGCTGATTGAGCTAACAAAAAAGCCATTTCTGATGGAATACCTTATCGGGGAGTACCTGTTGAGAATTTTATAACCATCATCAAACAGAAAATGAAGGCAAAATGGGAACAGATATGGTCGAATGTAACCGAAAATAAATTGAGGGAGATTAAGGGTGACGTTTTTCTTGGGCATCGTCAAATAGGAATAAGCGCAGAGAGGAAGTAATTCTTACGCGCCTGTATATAGGTCATACACGCCTTACCCATGGACACCTGATGGCCCGTGATTCTTCGCCAACATGCCAAACCTGTGCGACTAAAACACATTTTAACAGAATGCAGAGCTTAAGAAGCGTTTAGACTATCTTGTGACTTGACAAAAGGATCTATACATCATTTTACAGGATAATACGAATGAAATTGACAAATTATTTTCTTTTCCGAAATGTTCGAAACTTGAAAATAGAATATAATTCTCAATGAAAATAAGGCAATAATGACACTAGTGGTCAAAGCCTTTAATTTAAAAAAAAAAAGAAGATAAATATCAAAGTAAATAATAATTCTCTAGCACATAGACACATCAAAAAATGACACATTAATTTAGGTTGAAATTAATTAATGGATGGAAATATCAATTCTTTTATCCTCTTTAGTAAAATTAATTTTCTAGTTCTTTTTTATCTTTCTCATCCTCAGATTTTTTCCAGAAATTTCCATTCAACTAATGATGCCTTCTATATACCTATAGATCGGATTCAGTGAAACGCTTATATATTTGCATTATATATAGATTTCTTTGACAATTTGTGGCCTTGGTTTTTGAAGGTTCTAACCAACAAATTTGGACAAATTGAGTTCACTGAATGAGGAAGGTCCCAAGTGCGCTATTTAACTCTACTTAGTGATGGCTATTGATAGGAAATATCATAATTTCCAATACTACGCATTACATTCTACATGAAATAGGCAAGATAGGTATAATTTTTTTTTCTAACTATCAGATTCATATATAATTCCTAGCGCTTTCCAAAAACGATAGCTTTAATTTTTATTTGTAAATTAAAATATCATAGATACAATATCGAATATCGATATTTCAACTGTCAGCGATTGGTAACAGTGAGAAATGTCTTACTTCTAACAAAAAAAAAAGTTTTCGACAATAGGTATTAAAAGATTGAGAAACTTCATTATAATAGTAAAACTTTTCATTAGAGTACAGTAAAAAAAAAAACTAGTTAAGAAGTAGAATTTAAACACAATGATGTACAGTCAATATGATTATAATTTGATTGAATTACTAATAAATTTAATCTTTATAGTTACCAAAAATAATGAAAAAAAAATAGAATGTACTACAGTATAGAAATGTTATTGAGACAAACTTTAGTGAACTAAATAAACCATCTGTATTACATGTTCAGGTTGTTACTATACAACAGCCACTATTTAAAACCATTTCATTTTACATCTTAAAATTAGATGTTAAAATTAGTAAAAATTTGTTCACAAATAATTCGTCTCTCCAGACCAGACGTTTAATGTTAATGTCCTCGGTTGCCATAAAGTTAGTGAGAGGTGATAGATTTTCCATCTCAACAATTACGGAGTACACAGTGTGCGAGTTTTTGGCCTTAAATTCGATTAATGTGATGGAAAATTTCTCTTATCTTCTTAATTTGGGCACATGTAACTATTTCTCAATATATCGCTTTAGAAATAGAATTTGAAAGAAATGGAAAGTGTCTGAAAAGAAACATCACAGCAACTGAAGAAAATAGAGGACTTCCAACAATGATATCTTAGAGAGAGAATGGTAAAAGGGACAATATTGAATTATCTGATAAATTGTATAATATTTTTTTGGACTTTTATATGAATCTGGATAGTAGGAAATAATGTAAGAGGCCGTGATGTATGAGAGTGTTGGGACGTTGTAACCTTAACAGTTCAAATGCAGTCTAGGCAGGTTGAAATTTATCTCAGATTCTCTCACTCTGGTTAGAATATCTAGGTTAAAAAGATAAAATCTTCTTCTATCCCAGAAATATCCAAGCAGAGGGTGAAAACAAAGAAGTTATAGATGTAAGTGGTTATGGGGAAATGGATAACTTAGTGAGTAAGGTATTTTGCTTCTATAGTCCCAGGAGGTAATTATTTATTCTGTTTCAATGTTTTTAAATCAACCCTGGGATTGGGAGACCCTACTGGTGTACATCCAGTCATTATAAAGTGGGTACCATTAATTGGAAACATTTGACAAATGTTCATGATCATGGTCAATATATCTCCTTGCATAACTGTTAGCTTAGAAACAGGTACTTCATTACGAAGTACTTAATCAAGACCTTATTGAATTATAGCGGTACAGATATTTTTGTCTAGGTGAACTTTCTGGATAAATCTCACAGAGAACAAAATTCGCCATGCACTAGTAATCAAAACTTGTTTTCATCAAAATTCGAGTTAACCATTTATTAAGTTGGCACAGATTTAAATCATTATATGTGTGTGTGCAAGTGTGTATTTGAGAAAATGAAAATTAAATTATTACTTCTTGATGATATAAATAATTAAATTAGGCAATAAATTGAAGAAATTATGTGAGTACTTACAATACCCTGTACATGCAGACATGCGAACATCATGAACAGACATACACAACAAATACACAAAGCAAATAAAGATCATGAAAACTCATTTTATCAATCCAAACTTTGAAAATGAACTTCATTGATAAAACAACAGATATTTTAAATTTGAAAAAAAAATACAGGTAAAATATTTCATAATTTAAAGTTAACAAGGATGGAAATATAAAAAAAAAAAAAAAAAACAGTTATAACTATTAGGTATTATAATAAATCATCATGTAACTGTCCATGTGAAAAAAACATTATTTTCATAAGATGACTTCATTATGCTTAAAATTTTCTCTCAGCTTTATATATGGTGATTGCCAATAATAACTTAAACAGAAGCTGTGCTAGAATTACTGACTACAGTTTTCGAGATTGATTGACATTTATGGTTACTGTTCTGTTTTTATGAGTCATGGCATGATGTAATAATACCTAATACCATTAACAATAAATGGTATATCGGGCTGATAGTTTCTGAAATGAATGCATTATAAACTTTTCTTCAGCTTAATATATATTTGAATAGAGGTATATTTTACTTTAGAAATTGAAGATTAGATATCGGAGAGTCTAATTTATAATGCAAAACTATTTTTCAAACATTATCAAATGTAAGTATACAAAATTAAACATTCAAATTCCAAAACTTGGATTGATTTCCATTATCTTTGAATACAAAAAGAAACAAATGAGGGGACAGAAGGTGAGGGGTCCAAGTAATAAAATCTATATATTGCGTTATTTTAATTTAAAATATTTCTAATCTAAAAATTCTAATACTATAGAATGCATATTTTTTTTTATCTATAATTGTTAATTACTAAATGTAATGATTTAAAAAAAAAAATCTTTTTTTACAGTGTTAAAAGTTTATTTCATACTTGGATCTCTTTACCATTTTCAACATACAGATAACCTAGTGTTAATTATTGTTTTCAACCCACTTTTGAATAAACTCTACTTACATCTTGGCTTCTGATCCCCTCAAATATTCTCTGTGATTTTACAAACACAGGATCAAAAATCTGTGATAGATCAATTTCATACAAGAAAATTAAAAAAAAAAAAAAATCCTTCTATGTTAACTAAAACCTAAACCATCAAATTTTAAACAATAAAGAACAGTCCAAATAAAGCTACTAGTAAAATATATATTCAACAACAAATAAACTAGGCTACTTAATTAATTAAAAAAATTATCAAATATATATTTAAGATAGCTTCGAATTATTAAGAAACTTTGTAAATTCATTAGAAATATATTCATGAATTTAAGTATATAAATAAATAGATTCTCCTATATCCCCGAAAATTAAGGAATCTATGAACTAGATGACAAATACTGAGTATTTTTAAGAATATAAATAATTATTTTTTCTTAATGCCAGAAAATATTGAATAAATAAGATTTAGATTTGATTAATTAACTAAGATCAACATTGCATCTTCTATAAATCTATCCTTATTTCTCAATTACAAAACTGTGGTACAGATTCAGTATTTGAAGAAAAGGAATTACATTTTCAGATTTTTTCAATTATTAAAATTTTGCAGTAATGACCAATATAAGTAATTGTTGCATAACTATTTTTTTAATATTCTTTTGGCACTTGTTTTTTCAAGATTTAAAGTATTTATGATTCTCAAAATTCTTTCTTTTTTCAGCTAACTTTTTAAATGCGGCGCTTTTTGAGTAGAGGTAATGTATGCTTAGTACTGAACACAGGGTAGGGTTATTAAAGCATCTTCAACTGAAAAAAAAAAAATTATTTGGTGAAGCATCCATTAATAATTGCAATTACGATTTTTAATTTTATAGTTTTTCACTCCTACCCAATGCCTGACACAAAGCATACATTACCTAAGCAAAATTAGTTATGAGGCATGTCCAATAAAGTAAGAGTACCCAGTTTCTGTATTAAAAAAAATATATAAAAACAATTACAGGCAAATGGCAGGTATATATGTTACTAATGTTTCCAAGTAATCATGTTTCTGTTCCGTTCAGGTTGTAAGTCATGGCCTCCTCATAGAACTCTCCGGCCATCTCCTTCGTTCACTTAAAGACTTTTTGTTTCACCTCCTCACAGGATAGTAATTTTTTCCCATCCATGTAAATCTTTAGGAAGGTGAAAAGATGAAAATCTGAAGTCATCAAGTCAGGGGAGTATGCAGGGGGTTCACAACATGTCCCAACCAAATGAGTTTGAAAGTACCTTGTTGGCGTTGACCGTGAGTAGATGGGCATTGTCATACAACACTCTCTTATTTTTTATTTTTCTCCTCTTCCTCGCCTTTAGGCTATAAGGGTTTTTTGCTGGAACAGGGAAGAGGCCTGGGGGTTTATGCAAAAGTTGAAAGTCCCCCCTCCCCCTCTCCCGGCATCAGGGTTCAAACTCGAAATATTCAGTTTATAAGGTTGCTCTCCACATGCACCCCCCCCCTCCCAAACACATGCCTTTTGTCAACAATTGTTTTGAATTTCTCTCTTGAGCTTGTTCTCACAGCATTGAGCTGCAGTAATTATATCCTTTTTGGTTCCAAAACATGAATACCATGATTTTTTTGGCCAAAATTGAAGTTTTGAATTTTTCGGCAGATGCAGAACCAGTGTGCTACCACTGTGATTAAGTATTTTATTTAGATCTGTGTAAACATTTCAGTCAGCGTTTCCCTTTTATGAGAAGAAACCTTATGACAGCTTGTACCACCCACATGGCGGGATTCCTTATTGACATATTTCATGGAAACAGACAAGTTTTGGTACTGAACAGCCAGTGCTTGCTGTGTTCGGAAGACCCCCCCCCCCACTACCATTCAGTGTTGCCAAATTTTGAAAAAAAAAATCTCACAGCACGACAGCCCAATAGCACTCTTACTTTAAGGAAATGCCTCATATTACTGAATGAACAATGAAACATTACTATTATCAGCATTATAATTTGTAACATTTGTGTTTATTCATATCACTAAGTGACTACATTATTTTTAATAGTTAAAGTTTATTACATATTTTTATTGATTAAAAAATTAAGCATTTTTAAAATGATGAATAACAGTTTAAAAAAAAAATTATAGAAAACATAAAATTATAAATTAACCAACAACTTGAAAATTTAATCAATATGCAAAACAGTCATATCAAATAGATTCATGTATGCAGATACATATAAATTAAACATAAACACACACATCTACTATAAACTAATGTGTGGTTTTATGTGTAAATTAAAAGAAGAAACAATGTATTTATTTATAAATTCATCTAAAATTCGAGTAAGAAATAAAGAGAAAATGTGAATATACATGCCAGTGTGCAAATAAGAAAATAAAAAAATAAGACAGGAACAAAAAAACAAAGAAACATTTTATAAGAAACAGAAACAGTTAAATTTCATAAAAGCAGAACGACATTGTTAAAAATATTTGACCTTACCTTAAACGACTGTTGACCAAAGTAACAGGAACAAAAAAATAGAAAAAAATAAAATAAACATTTGTTTTTCAAAGTAAAAATAAATAATATTATTGTGACAGTACAGATTTATAATTACATAGTTCGATCATGATTTTAATTTGTTTAATATCCACAATTTTTTAATGCAACTAATTATGTTTGAATTATAAAAATTTGTATTTGTTTGTCACAAAAATTGATAAAATAATTTCTTCCTTTTTTTAATTTTTTTTTTTATAGACTCGAACACTAATAAAAGCTATTTGAAAGTAATAATAAATTAATGCTCATTATAAAAATGACAGATGATTTCGGGTCTTATAAAAATGAATACATCAAACTAACCAATAATTTAAAAAAAATGTTGCTCATAATTTTTTAAAAGTTTATTTACTTTCCATAGAGAAAGTCTTCCAGTTAACCATGTACTCATAAGACAGGTATATTTGTATTGGTATATCTATTATTTAATTTAGATAACTTCATAAGTCAAATCAAAATAATTAACCGATGTTTATTTTAAATGCTGTACGTGATCATATCAATGGCTGTTTTTTCTGTATAATGTCAGAAAATATTTAACTTAAGGTTAGGATAGGAACCTATTTAGTTGACTCGGGCATTAGTTCGAGATCATATCATTGAATAAAATCTTAAAAAATATAATCTCTAAAATGCAACAGTGTCGTTGTTCAAATAAGCGAAGTTTTAAAAACAAATAAATGTGAAGAATTCAAAAAAGGAATAAATCATGAACAGTGTTTTAATCACATTGAATATATCAAATGCATTTTGTAAAAAAAGTGGTGAATATAATTTTGAAAAAAAAAAAGATTCCTATGATTTATTTAATGAAATGGCAGATTAGCAATAATAAATATATTAGATGGAAACACTTTAATTAACATATTGAAATTGCAGTAGAATCTTGACAATTCGAATCTTTTTAGTTAAGTATTAAGTTAAGTATAAGAGTTTAGAATATAAGAACAAATTAACAATATATTCCAATTCAGAGTAAAATAAAATGAAGGAAGTAAAAAAATATAAAATAACTAGATTTTAAATTGCACATGGATTAAAGAAATATAAATAAAATAAAGTTTAAAAAAAAATTATAAATATTTAAATAGATTGTTTTGTACAAGGCGATTATGCCCGATTATCTTGTTGCAGTGAGTGGTGGGGGCAGATCAGATAAGATCTGAAAGATAAAATTTAATCCGCACCAGCTTCCCGTAGGACTGAACCCATTCCATCGCAGATATCGACGTAGGGAAGAACTAGCAGACTTGAGGGTAATATGACGTCTATACCAGCATAAAAATGGTAAGCTGTTTTTGCACATATAACCTACCAATTCATCAAAATACAGTCAACTGCATAAATAATTCGAATGTTGCCAATAAGTTTAATGTTGCCTATTTCGAACTCATGAGAATTATTTGCCTTAATTAAAATTTGGAAAGTTGCCTAAACATAGATATTTAGTTCAATCCTTGGACAGGTCCTTATTGAATATTTATTTAAGAAAATCCATTTCAGTTTACCCGATTCAAAAACCTAGAAGGTTAAATTTAATTAAAGATTTTATTGAATTTAAAGGGAGGAAAAATACAATCGGACCTCAATAATCTAAGGCAGGGGTCTTCAAACTACGGCCCTTGGTCAGGACTCGGCCTCCAAACACCTCCGATTAAGTCCAGAAAAGTTTCTTTAATTGCATGGTACAACTTTTAAAATTGTTTGAAAAATATAAAATTTAGTAAATCACTCAATGGTAATAACAACTTTTATCGCATGAACATTTTCTCTTAGAAAGCTGATTTCAAAAGTACAGACGTTTGTAGAAATATATTTCAGTTTTTGACAAATGTCATTGTTTGTTTACCATGGTTTCTGACCAAACCACTTAACCAAATTATTAAGTTGTACTAATTTGGCTCAAAATTTAACATTCTTTAACTTATTAAAAAATCAATCTTGTTGCTTGGATCTATTTTATTTGAAAAACTGTTTTTTTAAAAATAAATTGGCCATGTAGAGATTAAGTTATAAATTACTGGAATATATTATTAATTGCAATTATGCTGTAAAATTTAGTAAAAATACTGTTATCTAAAGTTTTTTTATCTTATTAATTTTTATTTAATGAACATTAAAAATAATTAATATATTTAAAAATTAAAATTTCATTAAACTTTTCACAGGAATCTATTCATAAATTTGCCGTTTAAATTCATAATAAGTGAAAAAAAATATCATTGACTCGTGGGATATATACAGTGTCAATATGAAATATAAAAAAAAAAATATTAAAAAATAATGTTTGGGATCACTTACCTCTAAAAATTGAGTAACAGTCGTATCGACAACCATCAGTGGTCTATGTATTAGATGTACAACACCGTTCCTAACAGGAATATTTGCTTTCACAATTTCTGCTAAAACGACGCCATTAGGATGCTGTTGATCACCAACAATAGTATGGCTTTTAACATATTCTGAAAAAAAAATGAGTATATTATTGTTTATAAATAAATAAATATTTACTTTATTACTTTTTTGTTTTGAGATAATTAAGGTACAGTGCATCATCGCGGTCTAGCTACTGTTAGTGCAAAAGGTAATAAGTATGTAACAATTTTATATGTTAATTCTATTTGTGTTAAAGAAGGCATTTTGTAGTCTGCAACTAAAATAAATAGTCTGTTACTATGGAAAATAAAATATGAAATTATAATAACATCAGTTTTTATGTTCTCTTGTAAGAAAACTCAATTTTTACAAACGACCTTTTGCACTAACAATAGCGATGTGTACATGATGATAAACAGATGCCATAAGTTATAAACCACTCATGGACTCATTATAAAATATTTTGTAACAATTTAAACAGATGAAGTACTTACAAATAAAAAAATCTGATTTAAAAAAAAAATATATATTAACTAAAACAAAATTAGAGAGAACGAGGAATATAGCCTTACTTCTTATTTCTTTTCCATCCTTTTCGGTACTAAATGAAATTGTAACCTTCAATGTATCTGTGTAAGAAAGTGTTTCAAATTCTTGGCCATCTTCAGTTGGAGCTGTGAAGAGAACTTTATCAGGAATAACGTGTCCATCGATTACTTTATCGTCTATTTTGTCTGGCCTGGGAGGAGGCTGTAAAATAATACAGAATATATTTTATCAATTATTTATTTAAATAATTTAAGAATAATATATTTTAAGATGAAAAAATAATGTTTATTTATAAAGATTTAGTTACTTTTCAGCACTGTGTTTTTCAAGGAAATTTAATGGACTTATATACGGGTTGTCTTCATGGATTGGATAAGCCCTTATAATTTTACTATTCAAGTCATAACAACGTTTTGAGCTGATTGACTCATTTTCAAGTTATCGAAAATCCAACATTTTCCAACATGGAGTGTCTTGTTAAACATTAGGAGGAGATAGTACAGCGTTCCAGGTTTTTAGGATTGACATGCATTAGGCTAAATGTGAATAAAATGCAAGGAACATTGTGGTTTTTATATTTATGGACCAAAAACAAACATTAATATATTTACAGAATATAGAAATATGTTAAATTTTTTATAACTTGAAAATGAGCCAATTGCCTTGAAATGTTGTTATGCCTTTAATAAATAATAAAAAAAGTTTTCCCCTTCAATGGTAACGCAAATCTAGATAATATATAGAGATTAGATGGGACGAATTTTTGACCTGATTCAAAATCTGTGAGGGTACAAATTATAAGAAATGAGTGAATGAATCTCAGATCATGAGAAGACACGGTTTTAATAGCCTCTGGAACCAATTGAGCATTTCCTAACATAGAAGTCTGAAAATTCATATATTTCCATTTTGGAACTTGGGTCATTCTGTTAAAATTTTATTTGAGTATAATACTTTTTAAACTCACATGAAATTACAAATATATATAGTTGTTTAAAACAATTGTAATCTCAACGGTAGCAAATACCTGAAGTTACTTTTAAATTACTTAATACGTTTAAATTACTTTGTAATGAGAAATTAATGATTTTATTTTCTATAAAAAAAAAAAAAATTCATACAAAATATTTCTTGTGAAAAATATGAATATAGTTATAATACATTAAATACTTGGAGCCTATTTGATAGGAATTATTTGAGGGTAATACAACAAAAATGTATTCATGCAATACTGCAAATAATCCATCACACTGGATTTTGTAAATTTTTCCTACTCGTGATAACAAAATTATGGTTTTATTAAAGTGATCAGTCTATTATAAATTCTACACTATATCAGTAACAAATCCTAGAGGAGAAAAAAATTATAGAAATTAAAATAAAAATTCAATATAAAAATAATTTTGTCATATAAAATTCAATTTTTCGATTGTAATGAAAATTCCTTTAATATTTAAATATATTTACCAGTTAAAATTTTTCGATCTAAACGAAAATTCTTATTTAAGGGTTTTAAGCGGTGCAAGAAATAATTCAATTTGAAAAAAAAAAAATACAAAACTTCTTCATCCACACATCCCTTCAATTAAAGTGCAAGTTAAGGAGTTATAAGAACCCAAAATGCTCTTTTAAATCATTTATGATAATATGGGGTTTTACAGGATGCTTTTTACGAGAACAAAAAAAAAAAAAAAAAAAAAACCTCAAAGTAAAATTATGAGGTTTTATAATCAGGCTGATTATGAAATACATAATGTTTTTTTATCCAGCATATCTACTAAAATTAGAGGAAATACAACACGAGGAAGGTGCAATACCCAAACAACTGTGGTAGGGGAAAATAAATGTAATCCAAACAACCAGGTGAAATGTCAGGCATACCTTACCTGGTCGTTAGTATGATTAAGTCGACGTTTAGTCTGAAAAAATTCATAGCCTAGTTGAAATATTACTTTTCATTAAGATAGAAATGACTTTTTTTTAAAATTAATTTTATGTATTGGTTTGGCAAATAAGTTCTTTTGGTCTTTCTGTTTATTTTTTTGTCACCATAACACACTTCGCACACACAAATTAATTTCTGTAATCACAGATGATTTAATTTCTAAAGTGGATTGTTTATTTCACTAGCGATAAGTCGAAAACCATTTCTGTAAAATATTGTTAGAAATTAGCATTATTTTTGCTATTGCATTGTGAACATGGAGGATATACCATTCATTATTAGCATATTTAGCTTTGTTATTTTAAAAAAATGCAAGCTAATGAAAAAATTGTATTATTTAAGGAGACGATAACTTAACTGAACAAACATTTCAAAATTAGTTTGCCAAATTTTGTTCAGGAAATTTTTGAAGTCATTGATGCTTTACAGTCTTAGCGTCAACCAATCACCAATGAAATATAGCCATCAGAAGCAAAACAATGAATTCAATACTATATTGCTCATAATTAACGAAATTGGACCAACTAATTCTAAAAAAACGGCATGAACTGGCAAATTGGAGGAGAGTTATTTCCAACCAAGACAAAGCTAGGCTGGGACCTACATCTCATTGGTCATTCACAATAAAATAAAAAGCTTTGGAAGGGACCTTATACCACGTGCTTCCTACTCATCAGACCTAGCTCCAAGCAGCTACAACTCGCTCTTCCACTTATATTCACTTTTTTGACAATAAACTCCAGATGTTCTATGAATGTGGACTTATGCGGTTTGTGAAAAGATGTAACAGGTCACAATAAATAATGAACGATACATTGCAGATTAAAATAAATTTTATAACTATAATAAACTGATTTCATCCTGAAAAACCTAAAGGACTAATTTGCCAAACCAATATAACTAAATAAAATTGGAAGTATGCATTTTAAAATATATATCGAATTATATGTTGTTTTTTTTATAAAAGAAATGATAAAATTTAGTGTTTTACAAAAAATATACCACTCAGCAATGTTGTATTTCATTTTCATTCATAAATACAGCAAAAAAAAATAAAAAATAAATAAAAAAATAATATCTTTTTCAAATGTAAGTTGACATAAAATAAAATATAATTTTAAAATAAGATGTTAAATGAAAACAATACCAACTAATTTAGAAACTATTTTAATTATTTTAGGGTATAAAATAAATATCCATTGGTATAGTGTAAACATAAAATCTTATGATTCAAACATAAATGATCATTTTTATAAATTAAAAAAAAAAAAAAATCAAGAAGATACCTTAACAGCCCTTAGAATCCTCTATTCAATAAACGCGGAAATTATAATTTGAATAGATATTTGAAATAGGTATGAATAGGTATATACAAAAATTAAATATCTTTAAAATAGTAAATCAAGACACAATATTTAAAAGTGTATTAACAAATGAATGCAAATTTAGTTACTATACCTGAAATCCTTCATCAACGGGTATGAAAAAAGTGAACTTCCCTTCTGCCGTAAAAACATTTTGCTTATTATTGTAGTTAACACGATGTCTGAAAGATCTATAATAAAAAATAAATAAACATGTTACCTATAAAAATAAAAAGTTTTGAGATTTAATAGTTCACTTAACAAATGAATGAATAAATAAATATTAACTTTTTATCATTCAGATCCAATTTTTGAAAAAAAAAAAAAATTGTTACCTTATCCTGTGGTTTTCAAGATCAAGACTTTCAGAATAATTCATAAATTCATACGCGTTAGGATTATAAATAGGCACTTCCGGAGATGTAGATCGTACTGGTTCTAAAACTCCTTCCAAAATATGCAATACCTAAAATATGCATACTATTCTTAAAATGTGTATAACATATAATTTGCTTACATACATATAAATATAGCTTATACTCTAGAACAAGAAATTTTCAATCTTTTTGTGAAACAGATCTAGAGATCCTGTATAAGGATTTTACTTAAATTTTTAGAATAAAGATTTCTTGTGTCATAAATCAATTAGGATAATCATAAACCATAGGAAAACTCTTATTTATTAGAAGAAAAAAAAAATCAGCCAATGAATGAACATGAAAAAATGTGAATGAACATCAGCAAAACTCATATCATTAAATGCAACTAACGAACCGCAGAAATTTATTTCAGTCGAATCTCATTTAAAGAATTTTTTTTTAATGAACCACTGAGAAATATTAACTAGATAGAAAAAATATGGCGTTTATTTTTATAAAAATAAAATATTATTTACATCTTTATTCAATTAATAATATGTATTTAGTAATCAAGTTATTTTACTTATACATTTTGGTAGAAGAATATTAAAATATTTAAAGGATTTAAAATTCCAATTAATTTAAGATTTAAAATTTTGTAAATCGTTGAAATGTAGTAAAAAATAAAACAGTAAATGTGTTTAAACGTGCATTAAAAAAAACGTATATATATATATATATTAGAGAAAATAATCCAATTTAAAACATTTGGAATCGTTCAAAAAATTGTTTTAAAATAAAAAAAAATATATGTTATGTATAGGTTTGTTTTCTCATTCGAAGAAGTTTAGTTAGAATAGAGTACAATTTCTATATATCGAACATAAAGGTGTCTTACAAAAAATTTAATATTAAGAAATTTTGATATGAAAAAATATTGCAATTTTTATTTCTGTCATATTAAAAACTATTGCTTTTTTTAATGATAAGAAGTATCAAAGAGAACTTTTTGGGGTTAAAGAAAAAACAGAACAATTACAGTACCAAGATTGATATTGAAATGTCTACATATAAACATAAATAATGACCTTATTAAAATTTATTAATGTCCTTATTACAAAATTTTTCATTTTTTATTCTATTTGTGCAAAATGTGACATTTTTTAGGCTGCAACTGATATAAGTAGTTTGCTACTATAGAAAATAAAATATGAAATTATACTAATAAATCATAAAACAATAATCAGTTTTTAATGCTCTTCTGTAAAATACTCAATTTTTAAATATGATCTTTTGCACTATCAGTAGCTATATATCAAAAATATGTAATCATACATAAAAATAAATTTGTTTAGTTTTTGGGCAAAATAGCGTTCAAAGTAAGATGAGTTGATTTTTATTCAGATTCTCATCAATGAATGTGAGGTAAATTCTTACTGATAAAATTACACTTCATAATTTTTTAAATGTGGCTTTTTGTTCGATATTTATAATTATTTTTTAATATATCTGTGCTCTGGAGATAAAGGGCACCATATCAATCTTTTCCTTATATAATTTAGTAATTAAGAAACAAATTTTAACAGCTCTAAGTTATGAAAAATTGGTTTCCCACACAAATACAAAAATGGTACATGGAGTACTTTATCTCAGGGTACAGATTTAGTAACTAAAAAATAAATTTTAATAGCTGAAAGTTATAGAAAAATTGGCTCTCCTGAAGAGATAAAAAAATGGATATGGTGTTATTTGCTTACAAGGTACAGATATACAACATTTTTTTCTAATAAAAATTAAGTGCACCTAAAAGAGTTTGTGATATAGAGATAAAATTAACTGACTTAAAATAGATCCGCATATAATATTGGGTAACATCATTGTATATGTTTATAATGAATAGTCTTCCCCTACTCCTATAAAAATAACCAGTCACAGAATAGAAATGAGACTAATAACATGTGGGTGACACATGATAAGGTAATTTTCACTTATTTGAATCAATTAATAAGAAAAAATTGAGTAATAATGATGTTATAAAATAATTAAAGGTGGACATGACAAGAATAAAAAATCTTATTATGGGTAAATGCATGTAATTCACATAAATGAAAAGGACAGGTACATGATGGGTATTTAAGTATATAAAAAATCTTAAATTTTGAAATATGTAAAGTTTAGATATGATTGTAAATTGAAAAAATTTTTTAGACCTGAAAATGGTTCGACAAGCCGAAACGTCGTAATTGAGATATGTGGTCATTAAGTTGACAAACTTAAAAATTGGTGAAAATTTGGCTGATAATAAATAAACTTGAAAAAGAAAAAAAATATATAGAGATTTTAAATATATGGAATATTATTGACTGTACACCAAACTGAACAAAATACTTACTTGCTTCTTTCCTAAGTTGTTATTCTGAACGAAATTTGACCTTTGTTGAACTACTCTAGCATTATTAATGTATATTTCATCCTTGTTTTCATATCTCACTCGACTAACCCAAAGAGGTGGGTTGCCCTCATATTCAGACGAAACGGTATATCCAAGTTGATTCAACTTATGAGCTGAATTAGCTGAAAAACAAATTCAAATTAACTGCCTTTGAAATATAAATACAAATGTATGCATACATATATACCTAGAAGAAAAATACAATGATTGAAAAAAATGATTCTTGAAAAATATACAACACTATGTATCATGCCTGATTTAGTAAAAATTAGAGAATTTTGTATATCTACTAGACTAATTTACTCTCCAGACTTCTCTTCTGCCATCTATTACTTTTCTAGACATCAAAATAAATTTTAAAAGAAAACATGATTCAACTAAAACCCTCTGGAAAATATTTATTTATTTTTAAATTCATAAGCCATGAAGACATTAATATAATTTTGAAAAGTTTTAACAGATTGTATCTCTCTGTATGTGATTTAACTCTTTTCTGCAAATGATTTCCGTCATTAGACTTTCTTCTATTATCAATATTTAATAAAATCATTTACCACAGTGGAGTGAAGTTTATAAGAGTTATAACTCTTATTATAGCAATTGCTAATCTTAGTAATAATTAGTAGTTCTTTTATTTTAAACCAAAATTAGCTTTTTGCTTGAAAGTAATATGGACCGTTCCTCTGTTAATTTCTAATTACCATAACATTAATAAGAATATATATTAAAAACAAAGCTAAATAGTCTAACAAAAGCTACATAGAACATAATTATATACTTGTGACTTAGCTGGTCACCTGATTGCTATCCACCATTGCTTATAACCTGAACACTGATAATGTTAATACCTTCCTCCTTATTCACATTTATAGAAATTATAATAGACAAAAAGAAATGTAATAATAACAAAATACTCTATTTCAATGACTTTTCCAAGCTCTACAACGTTTTTAGTTGAACTGTAAAACATATTATGGGCACAAACCTCTCACAAAAATCTATTCCACTAGACCAAATTTTTATTTGATAGTTCCAGCTGCTCTTTGTTAAATTATGAGAGCAGCCGTAGTAAAAATTAAAAACCGTTCAAAAGGATAACTCATGACCCCTCTAACCACGTTCCTTTTCTTATAGAATTATTTTTCCTGCTATTTTGATGAAAACATCTCCATTTTGTCTTTTTGTCAAACTCCATTTGATGACCTTCACACTATGTAATCTTTGGAATCATTCCGGACTTCTGAAAGTATTTCACAGCTTCTTCTTCTGAAGACGGCAACTGCCAAAGTGTTATTATAGCCATTTTAAATAGAAAATAACAAAGTTAACAAAAGAAGGTAAAAAAAAAAAAAAAAAAAAAAAAACTGAAAACAATGAATAACGCACAAATAACTAAGCAGAGACGAGTGATAAGAAGAGGTTGCATGAGATAAGAAAATAGGTTTCGGCTTTCACAAGTACCCATAACTCATTTATACAAAATAAATTTCACAAAATAATACATAAAATAAATTTCAAATACACTTACTTATATGGTACAGCACCAAGGATTCATCCGGTTTTCCTTTGAATTTTTGGAAAGCAAAATTAAGGGGAGCGAAGATAGTAACTGCCCTGTATTCTAGAGTGCTTTTTGCTACCTTATCTCGTTCCAGCAACGAATAAAACTATAACAAAAAATTATAAATTAATATTTGTAGAAAGTAAAATAAATTAACATTAGTAACTAAAAAACAAAGTAAGTGGATGTTAATTGGAAAAGAAATTATAGGTATTTTAAATGAATATTTCATATAATTAATATAAACTAAGTAATAACACAGATCCCTCATTCCATTTGTTTCCTTTTTCTGGAATTAATTACCTGCCTCCATAGGCAAATAGGCAAATCCCCTTCCTTAACCACATTTGACACCTTCATTTGACTGTTATATTACTGAACAATATTGTTAATTCGAACAAATATGTGAACACACTCATATATATTTATGTACAAATTAATATGTTTACTTGTACTTAATTTATATTAATTTTAAGGTAGAATTATTATGTTACGTTAACTAATTATTTTTTATTTTCTTATAGTAGCAGACAATTGTCATTGTTTTTGTTCTCTGTGGTTATTCATAGGGACTAAATGTCCCAGAATAAAATTTACATTCTTCTTCTTAAATCTGCCGTTGGGTTCCATCAGGTGGTTCCTAAACACAGCATAAATCGCTGTCTATCGGTGCAGGATTCAAGAGATTGATTCCATAGATGGAATTAGCGACGTGTGTTTGCACTATTACATTATTTTATGTATTTGACTGTCATTGAGAAAATAGCCCCGAAACCATTACAAGTAAATAAATTCATACTTTAAAAGATTTTGTTTAGTCAAACTGTTAAACGAATTTGTTTTTAGATTTTCTACAAAATTTAGAAGAAAATTACTAAAAACATAATTATATTAAGTATGTAATCGTTGACTATATTTCCCTCCCCCATTGTTTGAAATGGTTCCATTTGCTTCTCTCCCTCTTCCAATTTTTCAAATGATCCGTATGTTTAAGGCACGAGCGTAAAATAACTTAAAATCTTTCATAATTGTTTAAAAATGAAATAGAAAAATAACTTCACTATTATTATTGTAGGTGCATAACTCTTCCTTTGCCTAAAATCAATTCATATTTAGTCGCATTTACACATTTTCCGAAGCTTGATGAGAACGAGCGTTTAAAAATTTAGTTGTGGTTTGTTCGTGTAACTCTAGATAGAATTATCTTCCGTATCTCTATGGCAAGGTCAGAAGTTTTAGAAAAATGTTTATTTCTTTAAAACCCTATGTTTTTAGAATTTTTTATTGAACGAATAATTCGCGAGTGTTAAAGTGTTAAGTGTTTTTTTTTACGAGTACTAACTTAAATGGTATTGGTATATTGGCTAATATTCCCATTCAGAATGCCACCAAAACAAAAAAAAAAAAACTTAAATGATAGCAGATTGACGATTTGTTAATCAAATCAGTAAGAGAACTAACAACGAAAGATAACATTGACACTCAATTGAAATCCTAAAATACATATAATCACAGGCGGATCAACAGGGGGAGAATTTCGGGCTAAACTCCCCCCAAAATGGAAAAATATAAACACGTTTTATGAAAAAAATATTTAAAATAAGTATTATTGTTCCTCTGATTACGTTTAAATGGACCTCAAGAATCAATTAAATGCGATTTCATATATGTAGTTAGTTTATTTCTTTTTCTTCCAAAGTAATTATCATAATATATATAAACAAAAATCTTACGGGATGAAACCATCCTCCCTCCCCCCAAAAAAAATTAAATCCTGAATCCGTTAGTGTATATAATTCAGCTATGTTATAAATATAATTGATGTTCTCAGAATATGAGCTTCCCTGGTTCTCTGCTCTCTGTTATGGAGAAACTTATAATCAAAATACTTCCATGAAAGTTGTCCGTATCAGTAATAGTGTTCAATATGAGGAAGATCTCAATACAACAAAATTGTTTAATATTTGATGGGGTTTATAAAATTGACCGCTATAGAGAAATTTCCACTTTAAATTATGATCCTCGTTCTTTAATAATTGAAACTGAACGACACTCATGAATGCTGACGTTTCAGCCCACATTGCAGGGCTTCATTTAATCAAAATTTCTCCATACGGCTGTCCGAGTTAAAAGGGCTCGAATTGAATTATCCATTTAGAAACTTATTGTCAGGCGCGAGTTAGAACTTCGAAATACTTGAGATCTCCCGTTTGATCTTCTGGCAAGTATCCTCCGAGCGGATTGTTAACTCCATTAGAGGAGTTAAGGAGCGAACAATATTAACGACTCTTGGTTAGCTGACTCACGGACCTTTCTGCTCCTCCAGTCAAAGAGATCTAGTTAGCCCCCCCTTCCAGGGGGAGGGGGCGCCAATGTGCCATGAAAATAGCCCCGCCTTATCGGGGCGACGCTTCATCTTCCGCTCCACTCGAGGCAGCAATATATTGGCCAGTCTGGAAGTGATGTACTGCACGATCCTTCTCCTTCGTTAATTTTCGGCCAATTTCGGGATTTTTCGTAAATCAATACTTATTATTTCTAAAAGGTGTTTTTTTTTGTCGGTACGCCATAACTTTGTCAATTCTTCATCAAATCCAATGATTGACCACTCATTTTGAAGATATTCTTATTCTTCACAGGCGAAAAATAGTCCAATCCTTCCGAAATTTCTGGGAAAAAAGTTATGGAGGAAAATAATCTTTATTTGCGAATAACTAAAAAAGTATGCATTTTTTCTTGATTGTACCCATGAAAATAAGAAAGATTACTAAATTACCTACAAAACAAACAAAAAAATTGTAAAAATCGATTAGAAATATGTAAAATTTAAACAATTTGTATTTACGGAAGGAGTAAAGTGTGTTGAAATTTTTTTTAATGAGGATGAGAGTTGAGATTTGTATTTCGCAGCTCGAAAGACCCTCGAATACGAATTTTCATTGCGATCGAAAAATAAATTTTTTTCCCTTTGGTATTTTTTCGAAAATCATAAAAAGTGTTATAACTTCAATATTCTTCCACATATATACGAAATTTTACATGGTATAGGGCCTTATAAACTAAACGAAATGACACAAACTGTACCTTCCTAAACAATTTAGAGCTGAAGTTATAAAATAAAAACCTGTTAGGAGTTTTTATTTATTTACTCTTTATAGGGGTGTTAGATCAAGAAGTTATTTACAAGGTCTTGAAAAGCGATAATTTAATTTTTCAAAGGTTGTAGAAACATTGAATCAGGATAAAATCCTGAGGAGTTATGAATGTTTCAGTTAACGTCAGGAAAAAACATCATAAGGAAAAGTGAAGTGAAGTCGTTGCCATAACGACTATCTCAGCACAGCTCTTCTATCCTATGTATTATTTCTAAAAGGTGTTTTTTTATCGGTACGCCATAACTTCGTCAATTCTTCACCAAATCCAATGATTGACCACTCATTTTGAAGATTTTCTTATCCTTCACAGGCGAAAAATAATCTTTATTTGCGAATAACTCAAAAAGTATACATTTTTTTCTTGATTGTACCCATGAAAATTAGAAAGATTACTAAATTACCGACAAAACAAACAAACAAAATTTAAAAATCGATTAGAAATATGTAAAATTTAAACAATTTGTACTTACGGAAGGAGTAAAGTGTATTGAAATATTTTTTTAAGGAGAAACAGAGTTGAGATTTGTATTTAGCAGCTCGAAAGACCCTCGAATTATTAACAAAGATACAGTCTATTTGTTTTGGTATACTTAATAATGTCTTCCGATTTAAAGATATTGCATTTAATTATAGAATAGTCTATTACATTTTTTTCGCTGGCTAACTTTTATTATTTCTTAAATACATTTGGTTGTTGTTACATTTTATTTTTGTAATAATTTATAATATCCTATGATCGGGGCATTATTTTTTCTATACTACTTCTATTATCTTTCCAGTTAGCGTTTAAAAATAGGTTCTAGCAAAGCAATTTGTACAAATATTTTGGTATATTTTATTTAATGGAATATTGTAATCGACTAAGGAAAAAATATTAATTCCTTCCTTACATAATACATAAGAACTAGTTATTTGAATATTGTTTTGCTATCTCTTCATTAAACAAAATTGTGTGCGATTTTTTTGCACGGGCCAACTAGTCAATACTTATTATTAATTACTTTTTTTTTCTCTTATATAAAATAAATAAATGCCTGAACTTACTTAAGGTTGGGATACAAACTTAAAATGTGGTAAGTAAAGAAATAAAATTATGGCCTCAACATCTTCTCTGCCCCTCTTGCCGGAGAACGGTTTCCTCTTCTATTCGGTCATATTTGAGGGATATTAGATAAGAAAAAAAAATAGCGAATTATGCCTGATAGCCTTTGAATTTGGTGACTACTGCTGTTCTTCGAAGAGTAGCCGGATTAGGAATGGAAAGATGAGAAAGGAATTAGACACTGTCGTACTAAATCAGGGGTGTCCAAACTTTTTGGCCCGCGGCTCACATTGATACCTCCACTAAGTCCCTAGCCGCATTTTGACTTCCAACCAAGCCCCACGGGTCCATTACTTCAGACGAAAAAAAAAGTTAAGGTGTGTGCTTCAGACCTTAAACTTATGGGATATTTTTCAGTGAGAAAAATCAATCACTTATTGAGTAAATTGTTTTACTTTAATAGCCGTGGTAAAGAATTTTCATTCAGGGGTGGCCGAGCGAGCTAACGCGGAATATATTTATGAAAATCTTACAGAGAAATGACATGGACATATGTAGGATCTAAGATTGAACATTGGAGGGGTTGTTAAAGAGATAATAAATGGATAGATGGGGATGTTCCCAAGGGGTGGATCGGGATGTAGATTGAAAGATAACAATAAGTCGGATCTAGTCAATTTGGACGGAGCTGCAAGGAGGGGAATACGAGGGAGGGGATGCTTCCGCAGTGGGACAATGCCTTCGAGATCGTTAAGTATCCGTAATTTTATTGTTACATTGATATATGGTAAAATTAATTTGAGGCGATGATTCGGCTACAATCTTATCGTTTAAGCCTTCAGGAAAGAGAAAATCATCAATCGATAATTGATGAATGGAAATCGAAGCCTTCTAACGGTGAGAAGAATC